TACAGCAGGCATGTCCAAACTATGGCCCGGGGGCCAAATGCGGCCCTCAGACAAATTTTTCTTGGCCCTCAGGCTTCCAGATGAATTGGCCTAAATTACCTTGCATCAACTAAAAAATATTTTGTTACTGCAAGTTTTTTGAAAATTTACCTTGATAAAGTTAATAATTAATATTTACTGTGTGGGTTTAAGGATCTTAGCATGAATAAAGTCTGATGGCTCACTCTAATGTGTTAAACATGCACATATTTCAATTATTCACTGTACTGAGCAGCAGTCTACGGCCCTCGATTGGCCCTCTGCGTCATCTGTGTTTAGATACATGGCCCTTGATGAAAAAAGTTTGGACACCCCTGCTGTACAGTGAACAAATAGCATGGTTATTTCTTCTGATCCTACATTTGGGTGAGTTGCATTTTACTTATTTATTGATTTATTTATTTTTTACAACAAAAGGATTTTATGGGGTAGTTTCTTTACCAAATTTCACAATTTCTCACATCACTGACATTATATAAGACTGTTTTGCTGCATCATCATCAGATTTTTCAAGTCCTGTTTTGTCTGACCTATAAACATTAATCAAATTAATGAAATGTGTGCTATGAAAAAATTAGGAGATAGTAGTGACTTATGTCAAGTATAAGCTAAATGTGCCAGAAAAAAGCCATCAACAACTGAAATGTAGATAGTAAAATATAAGAGCAAACTGATTTGACAATGGCTGAAAACAGTTGATTTGGGCTTTGCAGAGATTCTCTGCTTTACCTAAAAGCCATTAGGCGCTCTATAGGCACACTTTGCCTAGGCAAAGGAAAGATTCATGATTTTCTAGAAATGACTTTGCCTGTAATGCATGTGGAAGAAGACGATAGCAGAGGACTGGAAGGTACAACTTTTCTATGGGTGTGAACTGGTTTTAAGGAACAGGGTAATTTCTACCCAGAAATTCTTTAACAGTGATGTGTGACAAATGTTTGCATGGATTAATTTCCAGGTTGAGGAAAGAGGGACTGAGGTGGCCCATGTTTCTGTGACTGTGAAGGTTGCAGAGCATATGGACAGGATAAAGGAGGTGACAGAGAGTGCATTTATATTTGAATGGGATGTATATTTGAATACTGCTGTTTGTCCCAGGGAAATTACCAAATCATGCAAATCATGTTTAATTAAAGAGAACATTTTGGTACACATTAGTTGACCTTTTTTCATATTCTTTCCTGTCAGAAACAAATCAGATATAAGATAAAATAAGCCTTTATTGTCTCCAAAAGTAGAAATATGCCTTGGACACCAGAGGAACAGTGAAAATAGACAAAATCCAAACAAAATTCATACCCCACTCCCCTACTCAATGCATTCAAATGACATAGCTACACAATGCACAGAAAAAGAAAAGAGCTATTACACATATCCACATCCACAGTCCATAGCCAATGTTTGCAGCCTTTTTTAAAAGTGTGTGTTGTATGCTTTTTTCAGCTAATATCTTGTAAAAGTTTAGATATGTGGTACTTTACAGGGCCTGGCAGGATGCCCAAAGTTACTGCCGGAAATACCACACTGACCTGGCCAGTGTAAGGAATCAAACTGAGAATGACCAGATACATACTGAGCTCTCTATTTTTACCTTTATCGTACTCTACAGACTCTAGTGGAAGTGGTCTGACAGCAGCCCAGTGTCATTTAATAACTCTCTATGATATTAGCATGGTGGCTGAAAACTGCACTACACCCTATCCCTTTGTCTGTAATGGTGAGCTGTCACATCTAGTCACAAACATTTTCATTTTGATAATAAGCAATATTTATTTCACCTTTTATGTTTTAGATTATCCAGTGAGGCAGGTGGTGAAGGTGAAAATCACCAAAAATTCTGCTTTGAACCTCGAAGCAGGAACTGTATCCATGTTGGAACAGGTAATGACGGAAAATACTTAATAGTCATGCTTTTAAAGGGTTAATAGTATTTACTATTACACTGTTAATGTGTTTTTATACCTGATCTTGTAGAGATAAATATCATCTTTGTCGCATTATTAATGCAACATAATGATTTAAAAAGTAATGTTGTTGTTTTTAGCTTAAAATGATTTTGATGAAGAATGGATTGGAAGGGAATCTAAGACTTACATGGAAGAAACAGTCAGACGGAAACATCTTTGGCCCCGAATGAAGAGAGACACACACAAATCAATTAATGTGTATAAATGAACACTTTAATCCATTTGTTTCTTCTCTCCAGTCAATGTAGAACATGTAGCCTATGTAATAGAATTATGTCAACCAAAATATACGAAATATGGTTTAACATGCACTGAATAGGCTAAGGTCAATGGCCTTAATGGAAGGAGTCAGTTAAAGTGTCACTGAAAATCTCCATAGTGCATGTGCAATGTGTGTGTGACATTTTTGGATTTTTGGTGTACATGTAAACACAGTTAATGTCTGTTTATCACAATATGTATCAAATAAAAATCTCTGGAAACACACGTGTGAATGGATTAAGTTATTTTGCATAAAACAAATGAGAGAGGTATATACAAGTTGCATTAGAGCTCTCATTCTAAAAGAGAAGACAATTTTCATCGTGAGTGTCATTAAAACATTCATAGTCCCTTTACAGTGGGCAAATATGATCATCAGGTCCCTTCTTCTGATCCTGCATTTTGGTGAGTTGCATCTTACATATTTCTTGGGATAATTTCTTTACCAGTTTTTACAGTTCCTGTAACACTGACAATCTTGATTAGATGTACTGTAATTATATACATAGCCACATATTGTTTTGTTTTGTTTTGATGCATTATCACCTAATTTTTAACCCAAAGGCCTGTTTTGTTTGTCCGCCCGTGTTCAACGAGCTTATCGAGTCATTGAGGACAAACTACCATGGAGTGAAGCTCAGAGCTACTGCAGAGCCCACTACATAGACCTGGCCACTGTAAGCGATGAGGAACAGTTTAACCTCCTGATAAATGTTACACAGAGAAATTCTCCTTTGGGCCACATCTGGACTGGACTGTACGATGACATCAACAGCTGGAGGTGGTCCTTTCAGAAAGAGGGCTACTATGACGGAGGACTGGACCAGTTCAGACTGTGGGCACCAGGACAACCTAGTAACAATAATGTACGCAGGTGTGGAGTAATGCTTTTGGATGGGACATGGAAGGCTGATGACTGTGGTTTACTAAGGCCTTACATCTGCTACTCAGGTAAGAAGAATATAGTAGCTGGACTTGTAAACTATTTTAGTCATGTTAAATGAAAAGGGGTTTTAACACCACATAATCATGAAAACAAGTTTTATTGAAAATAAGATGACAGAAGACTGACATTATGGGGCATTGTTGTTTACATGTTTGCAGCCTTTATAAAATGTATATTGTGTGTCCTTTTCAGCTAGTGCCCCACAGAAGTTTCAGTATTTTTCAACTTTGAGGTCCTGGTCTAAAGCCCGAAGTTACTGCCAGCAGTACCACACTGACCTGGCCAGTATAAGGAACCAAGCTGAGAATGACCAGGTGTATGCTGTAATCTATGATATGTTTGTCCACATCGGACTCTACAGAGACTCATGGAAGTGGTCTGACAGCAGCCCAGTGTCATTTAAGAATGTTGTAAACTCTGACCTTCACTGTGTGACTCTGTATAATACTAGCATGGTGTCTGAAAACTGCACTACACCCTATCCCTTTGTCTGTAATGGTGAGCTGTCACATCTAGTCACAAACATTTTAATTTTGATAATAAGCAATATTTATTTCACCTTTTATGTTTTAGATTATCCAGTGAGGCAGGTGGTGAAGGTGAAAGTCACCAAAAATTCAGCTTTGAACCTTGAAACAGTAACTGAATCCATGTTGGAACAGGTAATGGCGGAAAATACTTAATAGTCATGCTTTTAGATGGTTAACAGTATTTACTATTACACTGTTAATGTGTTTTTATACTGATCTTGTAGAGATAAATAGCATCTTTGCAGCATTATTAATGCAACATAATAATTTAAAAAGTAATGTTGTTGTTTTTAGCTTAAAATGATTTTGATGAAGAATGGATTGGAAGGGAACCTAAGACTTACATGGAAGAAACAGTCAGACGGAAACATCTTTGGCCCCGAATGAAGAGAGAGACACACCAAAGTCAATTAATGTGTATAAATGTACACTTTAATTCATTTGTTTTTTCTCTCCACACATGTAATAATAATGGAAACGTGTCAATGATAATAGAAGTCTGTGGTCAACGTTATAATGTTGTTTAGAATAGGCTTATAGTTGGTTTTGTGTGTTTAGATTATTTTTTAATAGCATGCATGGGAAAAGGTGTTTGTGTGGCATTGTGTGGACACAGCAGACAACATTTATGCTATTCATTATCTGCCAGTTGGATTGCTGACTTTCTTGTATTCGTTTGGACTGACTTTGAATAAACTATGTAAAGCCTTTGAAATTTCCTCTTTATGTTCATAACCAGAGCTCAGGGGGTGGTCATTAAAAGCGTGCAAGCACTGGACACGTGCGTGGATGCTCCACTCATCGAAAAGACACAAAACACATAGAAGCCTATGGCCAGTATTTAATAAAAATTCGGCTATACATGTGGCTGTTGTGAGGGGCAGACCGACACTGGTTTGCACTCTAAAAAAGAGCTGGTTTTCAGTGGCTTCTCGCTGTACGCTTCGTTAGACCTACATAGTCTATTTCAGAAAAGTCCCAAATCAAACTGTTGTCTGTGCGCACTGTGGCTCCTCTCTCGTTAAGTCACATGGAAATGATTATGCGCGCATAAAGGGCAATTTGTGTTTCAGGCCTGAATTAACTTTGGTTCGAGCAAGACGTATTTCTTTCATGAATCGACTTGAGGTTTAAACTGCAGGATTTCAGAATACACCTAGACTTTGATGAATACCGCAATTATACGGAGTTCTGTTTGTATTGGGGACATTTTTATGTCACCGAAGGGGGGCAGCAAAGCAAAAGCGTCTAATCTACTGGAAAGCCACGAAGAAAATCTCAACAGCGGAAGTGGGGTTTCAGCGGTCATGTGGCTTTATTGACAAAACCTTTAGCACTGTATTTTATTCATATTTGATTGTTTGGGGGAACATTCACAAGCGAAGCAAACATGTCCGACAACGAGGACAAGTGAGTGCAAAGGCCAAATGATACAATTTCTTATTTTTGAGCAACACGTGAAATGAGGCTAACTGCACTGTAGTTTCAGTGGTATTTCGACTAGCCTAGCTTTATCTTTGTTATACTGTGTTGTAATTATAATATTTTAATTCTGTAGTTTTGATGATGGAGATTTTGATGATGCCGAGGAGGACGAAGGGTTGGACGACCTGGAAAATGCAGAAGACGTAAGATTTATATTTCATAGTTTTTATTAAATTGGTTATTTCAATGAGATCCTTTGCATAGCTTATTTTGGTAATAGAAAACTTAGGTTATAGCTATATTTTAATAATTCCAGATAAAATAACAGAAAAAAAGAAATTCAAATGTGAATCGAAATCCAGTCAGGTGACTGGGTATTTTCTTTTTAATCTAGAGATCTAGAGCCAATCTTTCGTCAGTAAAAGTGTGTGGTTTGGACCACAGTTTTGACTTGGAAAGAATCAAGTAGATATTGTTTATGTTATTTAGAGACTTGTTTAGATACTGTCTCGTTTAGAGGTGTGAAATCAATGCTTAAATTAAGCTTCTATTTACTTTTTGTCATGAAAAAAATCAGCCCTACAAAGTTTATTGCTGCATTGTCTAACAAATGCTTATGATTATAGATTAATTGATAACCACTGTATTTCTGTCACAAAATATTTTCCTTTTTATAGTTTATGAAAGCTACCTTAAATTAATGTATTTTTTTAAATAAATGTCTCTTAAGGTAACCTTACATACAAGTACAAATATTATATATTATATTATATATTTATGGAGATTTATTAAGTAACTTCAAACATGTTTCTGGCTTACATATATTCAGCTAAATGAAACTGTGAATAAGATGTGTCTCTGGAAACAGGAGGACCAGGAGAATGTTCAGATACTTCCAGCAGGAGAGGGCCAGCAGGCCAACCAGAAGAGAATCACTACTCCATACATGACAAAGTATGAGAGGGCCAGAGTTCTCGGGACCAGGGCATTACAGATAGCGTAAGTGTAACACCTCCCTTTTTGTCCTGCTACTGTAAACAAATAAAACCAAATCAAGCAATTCAAATAACTACCAAATCAAGTAATTTAATTATCTCTTTGCACGTATTACTTCAAAGAGGTTCAGTTTGGTCTTCCAATTTTATATGCGAATATTTGGAACCTCTTCGCATCCTTCGACACTTGCTTCGAAAGTTGCTTTCAACATTTATTTTTTCTGACAAACAGGATGTGTGCCCCAGTCATGGTGGAGCTGGAAGGAGAAACTGATCCCCTGCAAATTGCCATGAAAGAACTTAAGTGAGTAGATAAAGTGTCAGTAGCACTGACAAAAACATGAATGGGTTTGCATGTCACAAGCTTAAGTAAATGCCTGGCTTATTTGGGCAATCCAGGCTCATTAAACCTTAGTTCCATTCCACCAACAGGTCTTGACGTTATAAAAACACTCAAGCACAAACTTGGTTGGGACCAGGCTAATTGTCAAAGCTAAATTATTTTAACTTTGTCTCCAAGAATGTTTAAAGACAGGCGCTGGTTTGAACTCTTGAGGATGAATTGGTTTTCAGTGGATTTTGGCTATGCGCTCCTTCATCACATCTGTCTCTCCTTCTCTCACCTCTCACTCTGTCAAACTATATCATAATCGCTTTGATTGGCCAGGTCTCTGTACATATGCAGAGCGCCATTACAACTCTACTTTTCCCAGTGGCCCCAGCTTCAAACAGGGAAAAAGACAAAACTTTAAGACCACTGCACTTTACAAAAAGTATCTGACAACTTCATATTCTGCAGTAGCCTATATAAACCACTCTGGCACTCTGTGGGCAGAGAGGGAAAGCAAATGGGAAAGGAGGGGAGGAGGAGGGGGGGTCTTTTCCTCGTTACGTATTCCAAATCAAACCATGCCTAGTCCGACTCCTATCTCGTTTTGACTGATCATAAAAAAACATCACAGCAGATGTTGAGCCCATTTTCTATGATGTTGTTGCTCCATTGCTGTGGCCTTCACAGGGAAAGCCCAAAAAGCGCAGCTTGAACTCCAGGCCTGAATTAACACTGGTCAGACCCAAGCTTATTTCATGGAGCGTCTTGATTTTTAAACTGGAGATGAAGCTAGTTTCATCCCAGGAATTCTGGATAAACCTGGACTTGTTAAGCCACTTTGATCAATTTGAATAAACCCATAAACTATAAACTTATGACTTTTAATACTCAAACATTTCTTGTTCCAACAGGAGCAGGAAGATTCCCATCATCATTCGCAGGTATCTTCCCGATGGCAGTTATGAAGACTGGGGATGTGATGAACTTATTATAACAGACTGAGATGTCAGTACAGTATTTTTGCCACCTTCAAATGCTTTGTGTGCAAGTTGCATAGCACTAGTCATTCTTAAAACTGCCCATTACACAGAAAAACATACAGTTTCCATATCTTGGTAGAATACATTAATTTCTTTATCTATTCACTGTAGCTTGTAACTTGATTTTGTTTTCTGTCATGTCCATTGGACATGTTACTGTGTCTAGGGAATTTTACAGAATTCAAGATTCTGAAATGGTGGAATGAGAAAATATGTTTTATGTTTATTTTGTGTGAAGACTGAATATTGTTTAAAATGCATAGGGATGTTACCCTTTGAAATGGGCACTATTGTTCAACTCATAAAGCGCAATATTAATCAAAAAAATAATTAAATGGAAGATAATTTTGAAACATAATATTGGCTTGATTTAAAGAAAAGTCAGGAAAAGTTGCTAATGAGGTGGAATACATTAGAAAAGGTTTGTATTATTTATCAGATCATTACGTGCCAGTCACAGCACTCCACCTGTAAAATCACCAAGAACCACAAGGGGGCAATGTAATACAGTTTCTTGTATGTTATTTTTATGTTGTAAAAATAAACTTTTTTTAAATGAAAAATTAAGCCTTAATAGCATGCAGTTAATCACGATTAACCAGTCAACTCTATGTTTCCAAAAGGAGATAGTACACTATACATTAAACTATTAATTAGAGTTTAAGAGGACCAAGAATCTTAAAGAAACTTCGACACTTTCACTTTCGCATCCCTTCGTCGTTTGGTAATGCTCTTAAAAACTACATTTTGCCTTCTTGGGTTTACTGTTGTTGCTGTTTATAGAACTCATGTTTTTATGATGTTCCCCTCACCCTGATACACGCACGCACATCACATCCAAACAGTTGAGGTATTGTGTAGAAACTGGGTTGCAACTCAAGCAGCAGGATACTAGACATAGGATCTCTCCCATTTCCAACATCGCGGTAGTGTGCGTTTAATTAAAACCAAATCAAGTCTGACTATGCTGAAAGTATTCAAATTTATTTAAAACACACAGAATATTGTGCATTTGTAGTATGTAATTGTCCAGTTGTTCAGTAGCAGCATGTTTTTGTTCACAGAATAAGTGGTATGCTTTATTTTAGCGTGTTTTTAACTGTTTAGTAGTAATAGTTTAGTGGTCATGAGTACAGAGGTGGTATTATGAGTCCTTTAATAAAGTATACAGTTCCTCGGGCCACTTCAAGGAGGCGACCATGTGACTATCAGCAGCACTAGCCTCAGTTGTGCTGCTCTCAAGTCATCAATACTTATGTCAGATGCTCAGGTCTTATTTATTTTACTTTTTTTACCCTCCACACCCCTTCAGGTGTCTTTGGTGAAATATGATAATTTATAAGATGACAAAAGTTTATTTCTGTTGCAATGATTTATTGTGATACGGTAAAAGGTTTAACTAATGATGAAATGAACATTCCTATGTTAGGACTAGTTCATTCTAGTTCAAGATGTGTCTGTACAACCAGGAGGACCAGTAGAATGTCCAAACCCTTTCAGCAGGAGAGTAAAATAGTCAGATTTAATGTCACATTTGAATAACACCTACAGCTGAAGTGAAACGCTCATTAATTTCGTTTAAAATGCATGTATTTATTTATGTATTTTCAGACTTTGCAGCCAGTTACAGTCCAAGCCCCTCCTCCCCCAGTGGTACTTCATGTCAATGGGCTTCTTTGTCCTCCCAAAGTATCACACTGTTCATTACAGTTGGGGAATTAGTCAGGCTTAGTCCCAAAGTATATACACAATGTAGTACACAACTTTCAAAATATCCAGAGAGGTACCCACTGTTGAATATTGTCCTCATGCAAGACTACAGTCTGATCTGGTGTATGAGAGTGTGCAGGTGAATGTTGCTTATAAGCATCAAGTAGCCTTTTACCTTTTTACCATTGTTGTAAGGACCTGGTTAAATCTCATTAAAACATGTTTGTTGCTGCTTGAATCATATCCTTGTACTTTGAGTTGTGGTTCTTGGCAAGTTGCTTCTACTGTTAAAATAATATATGCATATGTATCATTCACATCAGAGTCACTTTAGGTTTAAACCAACTGGATTTCAGCATTAAAACTGTCAACTCAAACGAGACTCGTGTGGTTAAGGCACACTTTATGGTCCCAGCAGGGAAATTTGTACTCTGCATTTGACCCATCCCTCAATGCCACTGGGGCACCTCATCAGGAGCAGTGTGTGCCACAATGCTGCGCCCAGCAGCTCTTTTCTGTGATCTTGTTTCTAGGCTTGATCAAGAGTTCTTTACCTGGAGAGTTGTACTTATGCTGAATGTTTTTTGTGTTGTGTTGTGTTAAAATGCTAAAAGGGCAAACATGCCAATAAACAATATGTAGCTTATATTGTATATATCTGAAAAATGAAACATAGTGTTTGAAACTGCTTTGTGATACATTTTTATGGAGCTTAAAGGTGTGTTACTGACAGTGCCACATGCATCAGCTTTATATGTGTGACGTAAAAAGTAGTGCAAAAAAAAAAAAAACAATATTTGTAGAATACATATTGTGCATCACATGCCATAAACATTGTCAGTGTTTTATAGTAAGTAACAGTTCACAAAACCTTCAAGTGTATTGAGAAACACAGTGACACTAATCAGAGATTTCTATTACATTCTCAAGGTAGTTTTAAGTTGGGAGAAACATTTATTGGTGTTTCTTTTTAATGTTTGTTTCCTAAAAACAATTCAGTGTATTGTAATGACTTCACTTTAATGCACAGTTTAAAATTGTATCTTTATATTTTTACCATTATATTGCCACAAAAGGCATTAAATGAGGCACAAAAATAGAGGCATGGCATTGTGAGTGATCACTGATTATAATACAGCTTTGTATCTCTACATCTTTGATCCACACTGGTGTTCAGCTTTTACATGCTCCACCCTGTGGCCTCCTCCCTGCCCTTTCATCAGGCTTCCCAGAGCTCATGCCTTCAGTACTCTAAAACAGACCTGGACCCCCACCACACTGACACTTTTTGTGTCTCTTGCACTGTGGCAGCTTTTCCTTGGGGCCCCCCGCTCTGTGAAAGCACCTCTACCTCTGAGCCAACAGCAAACAGGGCTGGGCCCTGTCTGCCCCCCCAGCCCACTCTCCTAGTGCTGGTCCACTCCCTCCAGTCCGTAGCACCTTCTCCTCTGCTGCTGCAGGAGCTGCTCCTAGGTTGTGGCATGGATCTGGAGGCAGACCCTGCACTAGTGCCCTGGGTGTTGGTTGTTTGTCATGGCCGCGTCAGAGTGGTGTAGACAGGCTGTTCCCAGTGTGTGGGGCTGTGTGATGTTTGTACACTAGCTGGCTCAGTGATTGCAGTGTACAGCGGCCTCTGTGAGGGCCCCATGTAGGAGAATGCTGAGTACAGCCCTGATGTTTGGCTTGAATGGGCATAGTAAGGACCTGATCCCTGATGTTCAGCATACTCTGCAAATTGGGCCCTGGAGGCTAGAGAGGGGAAGGCTGAGCTGTAGTGGGGCAGGCTCAGAGAAGTGTAAGCTATGTGGGCCCCTGCTGCCTCAGAGAAGGGAGCTGTGCCAGTGCCTGACTCACTCTTAATCTGGGGTTTAGTTGCTTCAGCCCCAATAGCAGAGCCATGGTGGGGCTGCTGTTTGGACAGCCAGGCTGAGTGTCCACTCGCTGCGGCCAGAGCACTAGAGATGCCATAGGTGTAGGACGAGACAGGGGAGGGGGATGACCCAGATGCTGCACCTGTGCTCTGGGTCACCCCTGGGTGCCCATTCGGAGGCAGATACTGATCAAACTCATTGACGTCAAAAGGCTCCATGTTAGCTATAACCTCATGGCTCATCTCTCCAATGTCCACATTTCCAAAGTCAATGTGAGGTTTTCCTCCAGGGCCTCCCTCTGTTGCCATGGACCCCCGACAGATCCCAGCACCTTCCCTCTTGCTGTCTTTTCCAGGCTGCAGCTCTGTCTTGGGAGTTGTGGGTGGTGTCGGAGGGCTGTGACTCTGACCTGTCAACACAATACAAAGAGATCAGTGTTTGATATGTTCTCCTTATGACAGTCAATATACATTCTTTTGTAAACTGGGGGAGTGGGAGAGGCCTGCAGCCACCTGCAGCATGAGGATGCTGCCCACCTGCCAAAGGGGACCCATCCCCCCCACTTTCAGTCTCCTCCAGGTCAAGGCCCGTGTAGTGGGACTGCCCGAGCTCACCCTCCGAAAGGCCGTCAGCTTCAGTGCTTGAGCCTGAGCCCATCTTGCCATTCTTGCGTCGTCTTGGCTGATACTTGTAGTCTGGGTAGTCCTTCTTGTGTTGCTTCCTCAATCTCTCTGCTTCCTCAATGAAGGGACGCTTGTCATTTTCATTGAGGAGCCTTAATCCAAAAAAAAAAAAGTTAAATACTACAATATACAAAAAAAAATGTAACTACTACAATATATTTTTATACAACGCAGTTCCATGTAGGCTATACGGCTTCTAAATGGCACAAAGACACGCCAAATAACTCCATAGGGTTTAGTCTCAGGATTGCACTCAAGGTAGGTTAATTTAACCTAGGCTTCTGTTAGGCACATTCAATTCAACCAAAATAGGACAGGCACCCTCTCACCTCCAGAGTTTGCCCAAAGTTTTGCTGAGCTCGGCATTGTGCAGATGAGGGTGCTGGTCCGCCAGTTTCCTCCTCGCGGCCTGGGCCCACACCATGAATGCGTTCATGGGCCTCTTCACGTGCGGCTTGTTCTTACCACCGGTGTTCACCCGCACGGGCATTGGCACGAGTGACCAGTCATAACAGTTGAGCACCTGGCTCACGGCCTCACGGATGCCAACGGGAAAGCGCTCATCCTCGTCGTCAGACTTGACGGAGGATGGTCCCGCGGCTGCGTCCAGCTCGTGCAGATGCTGCTGTCGTCTAGTGAGGGGAGAGTCCCCACCGCGGCCTGGGGACAGCGAGTGACTGTCGTCTGACCCGGGGCTAAGCTCCACGTCCGACAGGCTCTGCTCCTCTCTGGACATGGTCCCGCCGTGCGCACAGGCTTCTGGGTGTGCTGCGCTCGCTGCTCTCCGCTTGTGTAAGAAGACAGTTGTCCTACAGTAGCCCGTGTTATGCCCACTGCGGCTCTTTGACCTGCCTCTGCAGATTATAATATAAACTGCCAGTCAGTCTCTACTCTTAGCCTCCGCTGCAAAACTCTGTGAGGGTTCCACATTAAAGTTCTTTCCATCCGGTTGGCTGGTATCATAGGCGGCTCAGTGCGCACCTTGGACCCCAGTTTACCTAGTTGAGACACCACGACCTGTGTCAAATCCACGAAGTCTTTCAGCAGCGCGTCCTGGACGCTCTTCCGCGTACCACAGCAAAATCTCCACGAGGACCTGAAACAGAGGGTCAGCATCAGCAAAACATCAGTCCAGACTCAGGGCTATACATTCGTGGCTTTTTCATGTCTTCTTTGTTTTATTTGAGGACAGTTCTGAATGATTTTGCAAGCTTAGGCATGAACCGTTCTACGCGTGGACTGTGCGTCGCGGCCGCTTTCACTTGCAGCTGGTTTTGACAGTTCCAGAGGATTTGAAGCTGGCGCACAAACCCAGAGAGTAGTCCTGTATAGGATCAACACAAAGTGGATGTAGACACACAAACCAAGTAGTTATACACAGTTTGCTGAGCTAAGCGCTCTTGTTTAGCCTTCCGCTCGATCACTTCTGGTCATTTATGGTTAGCTACTGTGAGAGTAGTTTTCACATAGGCCTACAAATCACAGGAACTGATTGAACACAATTTGTAATGATAAACTGTAAACACATTGTTGAACTGATTAAACTGACTAAAAATACTTCATGCAGTGAGCCGTCGAAGTAATGTGCGTAAAATATAGCTTCGACTCGAATCACGCTCTATTGTCCTGATATTACGCTCACATCAATAATGAGTGTGCTTTGTGCTTGTGCTCATTAGCCATGCCTCACTTCACAACAATTTCTTATGGTGGTTGTGAAAAAATACTTTACTTGATAGTAATAATTGTAATTGTAATAATGTTTAACTTCTGGGAGCATTCCAACGCAAAATAGGCTCCTGGCTAATTAATCCAAATGTAGTTTTTAAACCGGTATGCACACTTGTTGCACGTAGAGGGGACAAAAGTTAAGAAGGTTTAAGTTTTAAAAACACTAAGCTCATGTTATCATTTCATTAAAAAACCCTTTCAGAAAAAAGAATAATGTGAGTTTTGTTAGAATGGTTGAAACACTTTGGCTAGTTAAGTGTGAAGACGACATCTACGCGATTAACTGATGTAACAGCGTCAAGCACTAAGTGTATCTTACTTCTTGAATAGCAGGTCTCCAGGTTAACTCGAAAATCCACGAGAGCCTTGTTTCCACTGATGCTCCCTCCCTTGCGCACTTGTTCGCCCTTTCGCCGCTCGCGCTCGGTGCTGCTGTATGAATGTGTGCTCTGTAGTTACCAGGGCTTAAAGAGCCCCTTGTGTAAGGACCAGAGGGAAAAAAACGCACACGTACAATTTTTAAAGAAGCAGTGGTCTGTGTCCATAGAGCGCATTGATTGGACCAAATCTGATCACCATTAAATGTACACAGTTTTCAACTATAGTTAAACAATAGTTCAACATTCAGTAGCCCGAGTGTTAGTAAGGCTACTCACAAACTGTTTTAAACTATGTTATCATTGGCAGTGTTGTCATATCAGTTTTGATCTGTTCTTCATTTACAAGTCGTAGTTAACTTGGTATTTTATAAGGATCCAAAACGCACCAAACACTCCGGCCGTGTCGTTTTTGTGTACCATCAGTGCGCACAGGTATGACTCACGCGCACCCACACCTACAGCGCGGCTGTTCCGCCAACAATGACCCTTGTGAACTTGCCATGCGACACAGTGGCCCGGATAAAGGACTGATGTTCACTGTAGTAAATAACCAAATAAATAAGGGCGCGGCTTGATTTTCCAGCGCAAGTACAATATTTCTTCTTATTATTAACGAGTTCTTATAAATCCCATTAGACAACTGATTAAAAAATTCGTATTTATTTTTTTTTATTGATAAAGCAATTTAATTCCATATAAATACATAGGCCTATGTGACCTGTAATAGGACTACTTTTATTTTATCACATATATGTAATAGCAGGTTCATGTTAAAGTGAGGCACAAGGACTCATGGGAGCAACAGCGCATTGATTTGTATACAGAAACAGAAAATGAAAAAAGTAATTACAAATGACGCAAGAACTGTAATTAAAATGAACGTGAGTCTGGTCGTTCATTTCGGGTGTGCCACAACATGTGTTATTTCTTTGCGGCCTTTGTTTTATCTCAGGTGAATTGCAATCATAGGATAAAAATGAGCGCCCCCATTTCACGCCAAAAGAGAAGAGGGCAACAAAAAGCACTTTTGTCCAAATGAGAAGAAAGACAAGCAGCCTACACTAGGGAGAGAGTCAGCGTCTTGAGACCGGGGAGTGCTGCACATCATGGGCTGATGAGAGGCCTTCCATGGGACAGGCCACACGCGAACGTAAGTGGAGCTTTTTGGCCCAGCGTGCTACTTTTGGTGCAGTAGGCAGATTTGAGGAGCAGATTTGGGTAGCGTCGATATATTAACTCAGATATTTGAGTAGACCTAACTTTTTCATAAAGTTATAACCTACCTTTCTGAGTAGGCTAATCTACTTGAGTATAGTTTTGGTTATATACTTTTACAAAGTAAAAGTACTCTTATTTCAGTAAAAGGTTTAGTTACTTTACCAAGGACAAATGCTTACTGCTGACAAGATAAGACAAGAGGCTATGATAAGCTTACTTTTTCCTACATCGCTCTGATGACTTATAGTTTTTCTAATTTTTGCAGTAGGACCCATGAATGCCAGGTTTTATTCATGCATAAATATTTTGTCCTTTAAATTACAAATTAGATGTTACATCCAGACACGCAGTTACCCTTATTTAATTACTTAATTTCCTCAAATACTTTTTTACTACTTTGCACTATTTAAGTAATAGTATTTTGAAGTGACTATATCCAAGGTCAAGGTGTGTAAATTCTATGACCCCAGCTCCAAAAAGCACTGTGCATAATAAAGCACCTGTATCATGTGACAATAAGTATCAAACTAAAATCCAGAAAGCACACACGCACAGTAAGAATTTGTTTAGCAAGATTACTCTTGAACCATATAGGTCCTATCAGGGTTGCCTTTTAGAACAGATCTACAGTCACAAAGATGCCATGTCTATTTTGCTATTTAATTATCAGAATTACACTGCCGGAAACCTGTTTCCTAACAACTGGATTTACTATATTTGTGTACTGTAAACATTTTGGTCCATCATCAAGTGAGTGTCTCTGTAATAAATTTTTATAAGCATCTAAGTTTTCTGTAGTAGTGTTGAGATTAAATTAATTCTTTAGTCTTGCAGTGTACACACTACTGCACACTTTTTATGATTAATAATAATGGCAATAATGTCCTGTAAAACAGAAGGCCTATGCATTTATGCATTTTCAAGTAAAAATGGTGCTGATAGCCTTCACCATTTCTTACTAAAGCCACAGTATTACCAGCAGTTACTCTTTGGCTGTTTTTCAACTAATATGTCTCTGTGACATTATCAGAAGCGTTTCAAACTTTTTATGTGCTGTGCGACTATGGGGCATGCTTGAAAAATGATAATTGGATGGGATGAGAGGCAGGGGGACATGGAGATCATTTGCAGGAAATATGTTCAAGAATTCCGTGAACAAAAGTGACCTTTGTTCGGATATTTTTGTCTGGCAATAATTGCTGTTTGGGACGTCATTATGGCTTCCTCCAGTGAATATTCCAACATAACTTGATAAAACAATTATGAAGTCTTAGAAAAGTTTGTTTGTTAAATGAAACATATACAGTATTTATTAATGTTATTCAATATCTATATAATCAATCATTGTGTGAGTATTGCCTGGATTAAGCTGTTTTAGTTGCTTTGCAGTGTCAGTTTCTATGCAGTGTGAATCCAAACAAAAGTCATATATGGACAAAAGCCATCATTGGACATGTAAATAGAACACATGTCTGATACTGTGGATTAAAATAGAGGGAAGACGGCTGGTGTATCATCGTAGGAGACATAGGAGGAGTAAGAAGTCACTTTCCAATCATGGGATTTTCTCGGAACATTGAATTAAGCAGCATGAACAGCAGGGGCCTGGAGGGTCCGGGGGTGGCTTGCCGCAGAAATGCCTGCATGAAAGAGCTTGTTGTTTGGTTCTCGGAGAGTGAGATGAAAGTGGAGAGGCAGACTGTTGCAGATCCTTCTCTCATCTCCTTCACACCCTGCGGCCTCCCTCGCTCTGCCCATGTGAGCTGGGGTTCAAACTCCGGGCCTGCAGCTGGGACACGCACACTCTCTGGGCATGGGCATCTATTCTCTGCCTCCCATTAAGATTAGCAGTCCTGATAAAAAGTGTTGAGATGTATATTTTTGGATTGTAGTTTTGGAAACTTTCTGATCCATGGGCCACAGTAACCATTATCCAGACTTGTTAACCCTCACAAATATCGACTGATCAGTTAATAATGACAAACTGGTTGAAGTTTATATGAGTAAAGAGAAAGTTTCTTAATATAAATTTGCATGTAAGGAGATTAAACAAAGAACTTGGACAAATTTAAATCAAGAAGCACAAACAAAGCTAGTCTCATATAGCCCAGTTATAATTATTTAATCTCTACAAAGACTTGCATGCAGTCAATGAGTGGATGATGAGATTGAACCATCGACCTTTGGCTCTCCTGCTGAGCAACAAATACAAGAGGGTGACAGAGGAAAGAGAAAACAAGGATTTGAAAGGTTTACAAGTTGTAGATGACTTTATCATCAGGAGTTTTGAACCTGGGGCTATAAAGACGTCAATCCTTAAAAAGCGATGGAACCAATGAGGAGATCACTCGCACATATCCCATAATTAGCATGCTAACTGGCAGTTAAATCCTGCACAAAAGGCCAACTGTTGCTAACTCAAGGGACAATGGACAAAAGGAGACAGGAGGAGCCCCCATATCACCCTAATAGTGTCCCAGCCTGGCTTCTCCAGTTCCAGTTCACCCAACGCACTAATTCATTCACTCACTGACTTGCTAATGAAAAGCTGATAGCCTCCAGGCCTAAGGTTATGGGGAGCTTGAACCTTCATCCCTGTTTTCATCGCTTTTCATCTGAGCAGACTGAAAACTCTCAGGGAGCACAGAGCTGCAGCATATGGCTCTCTCTTCCCCTCCTGGCTGGGTGCAGGGGATTTTGAGTATGGGAACAGTCTGGAAAACAGACAAACAGAGGATATGTAATTATAGTAGGGATGGAGGACTAGCTGCTCGTTGGAAGTGCAGAGTAATAGAAATGTAATGAGTTTTTTTTTCTTTTTTTAATTAAAATCAGGAGTGTGAAATTGCTAGGTATTCCTGAAATGATGCAGACAAATAATCACATTTACCTTCATATAGGCCTCTCCAGATGATAGAAAGCTCATTTGTTCCTTCTCTAAATTCAAATGAAATTACAATTTTTAACAAACACTTGGTGTTTCATATTTAGGTTAGCACCAACCTGAGTATGAGGTATGAGATAAATGTATTTTCATACGCTGTAGTCATGTTAATTTCATTTATTGTCTTTAAAATAATGTAATAATTTCAAAAGTTAAAACATGCTGTTACTCCATAATTGCTAGAGAAACAAACACACACACACACTCACAAATTGTAATCTGTCTTTTTTCTGACCAAATTATGTGTTTATTTCATTTGAGAATACAGACTTCTAGCAAAACTGACCAAGACATTCACCATTATATTGAAATTACTGAATACAATTAAAATATCTGGTATCTCTTTATAATAACTACACCTTAATTTGCCGTAATAAAGCATTAACAAAGACCCAAATCTCAATTGAACAAATAGTTTATCAAGAGTGATTCAGGCTTAGTAACCTAATTAAGGGGTTGGGGTATCAGGGATTATTGATTGTTATTATGAATGAAGTCTTTCATACTAATTGAGATTAATCATATGGGAGTTATCATAAGTGTTTCCTAAACTGGGGTTTTCAGATTTTAACACATCATACTTCCCCAGATATGCTTGTAACACATAAGGTTTGTAGCTCTTTATCTATGTAGTATAATGGATTCCAGGGCCATCTAGTGGCTTAAATTGAGCACTGCAAGTGAATTAAGTACTCAGATGTCCATTATACTGTGGATATCAAAAAACACATGTCAAACTATCTAATTATTTTCTTTATTTGTTTGTATTCTCAGCTTTTAGCTTGGACTTGTTGTGTGCTCCGGAGCTTAAATAAAGTAGGCCTATAAATGTACAAAGCTGGAAGAATTAGCAGCCGAGACCATTTGTATGTTGCACAAATTAACATTCACAGTCTCATCAAATCTTCCTCTCTGCAAGTTTATCATTGTCCAGGTTCATTTGACCAGCAAGAACATTCTGTACCGTACCACAATACAAAAGAAAAATATTGCACAAACCAAATAAATATTGCACAAACCAAAAGATGATGAGGCCTATAGCCCCTGTATTTTACCTAGAAAAAAGGTGCAAAAATTACGAAACGAAAGAAAAATGTGTTGTACTCTGCAGAAGAATAACCTGCTGAAAAAGAGTAATTGGCGCAGGCCTGATTTGATATTTGTTTAATACAAATTAATTAAATAATCAAATTCTGACTACACAAAACCCTTAGAGAAAAATCATATCCATAAGAAAACATTAGGTTGCACTAAGTAAGGCAAATGGGTTAAAAAGTGTGCTGAATATCTTGTTCACTTTTGTAGGTGACTGGATCCAGGGGTAAGGCGCTCTGCAGGATGTCCAGCTCCATCTGGTTGTTGTCCATGTCCAGCACACACATGACATTGTGGTTCCCTGATGTGATGGAAGTCCTTCTGTCCTCAGGCCAGTGGTTGCCTGATGTGATCGAAGTCCTTCTGTTCTCAGGCCAGTGGTTGCCTGATGTGATCGAAGTCCTTCTGTTCTCAGGTCTGTCCTGACCCACTGCTGGACATGCAGTCAACAGGTCTTCCTCTTCCTCTGCGCTGCTCAGAGTCACCTCGTTTTCATAGCAGAAAGAGCTCAAAGATTTTGGGATCAAATCTTTAGAGGTCTTGCATTCTGAGGAGGCACGACTGCATGTTTCTTCTAAGTCTTTGACACTCAAATGAGGTGTGGACGGCACCTCATAAGTGTTGTGAAAACGGGCATAGTCAACCTTATAACGATCTCTGTCCTTATAGATGACTGGCTCAAACCTGTGCCCCCAAAAGATTTCTTGTGCCAGATAAGAACTACGGAACTGTGTGGTCATGGCTGTAGCCTCCACCATGCCCTCCAAGATCACTATTATCTCAAAGTCATCCGTTTGCAGATCATCTTTGCTCAGTGTATACAGAGGACTGTCTTTGTCAATCTCATGCACTATAACCAGTGGGGACACTAAAAACAGCCTGTCCGTGCCTTCATCATATCCCACATTCAGGTCCATCTGCTCCAGTGGGATGAACTCCCCTTCCTCTGTCACATAGGAGCGTATAAGCTGGGCCCTCACGTGAGCCTCCACAATGTGGCTCTTCCGTAGGTTGCCCACCCTCCACATGAGACACATCTTACCGTCTCGCAGGGAGATTACAGCATTTTTAGAAAACATGAGAGTCTGGTTCCTCTTCTTGGGACGTGCCATCTTGGCCATGATGGTGCCAATCATAAAAGATTCAATGATACAGCCCACAATGCACTGCACCACCACAGTTATCACTGCCACAGGACACTCCTCTGTCACACAACGCCAGCCATAACCAATGGTGGTCTGAGTTTCCATGGAGAAGAGGAGCGCCCCCACAAAGCCCTGTATGTGGAGGATACAGGGCATTCTCAGAGGCTGATCAGTGGTTGTTTGGCCCATGTTTGGTCCACTCATCATACCATGTCCGGACACATTACCCTGAAAGTCCCCATGTGCCAGAGACACTCCATAGAAAATCAGTCCAAAGAAGAGCCATGAGATAACGAAGGCAGTAGCAAATAGGAGTAGCAGGTACCTCCAACGTATGTCTACACATGTGGTGAAGATGTCAGCCAGGTAGCGTTGGCCCTTTTCCTCCATGTTTGTGAAGACCACATTACATTGTCCATTTTTCTTTACAAAGCGGTTCCTTCCCTGGGTGGAGCTTCTGGTCTGGATCCTGCCGTTCATGCGCTGTCTGCTGGGTCCAGACCTCCTCCTGTTGAAGTCATCTCCCTCTGTGTCACAGGCTGTCTCCAGGCAGCAGTTAGAAGAGCCATGGCCATTTCTAAGACGCAGACTGCAGATCTTCTGATGCTCCTCTTCTGGTAAAGTGTCGGACACAATGCTGTACCTATGATAAGGATAGACCAGGATTTGATCAGAAGTTATCACTCCTCCAGAATATTACATCATTTTCAAAGTGATACTGTAACTGGAAACTCAAATCAGTCTGGTCAAATGGTTGAAATCAGCATGCTTAAGTCAGTTTGACCTGGCCTGCTGACATGATGTCCCTCTCCTTCAGCATTATAATCTGGAAGGTGAGTAGAGTTTATCTCTGTGGGAAGAACTTTTGTTCCCGCAGCTAATGGGATTATATTCTGATGCCTGGATTTATTGGATTTCGAATATATATGTTAATATATGATCTGAAAATACAGATCAGATTTTAGGCAAGGGACAAAGGTAATTATATATATATATATATATATATATATATATATATATATATATATATATATATATATATATATATATATATATATATATATATATATATCCATCCATCCATCCATCCATTTTCGTCCGCTTATCCGGGGCCGGGTCGCGGGGGGGAGCAGCCTAAGCAGGGACTCCCAGACTTCCTTCACCCCAGACACGTCCTCCAGCTCCTCCGGGGGGACCCCGAGGCGTTCCCAGGCCAGCCGAGAGACATAGTCCCTCCAGCGTGTCCTGGGTCTTCCCCGGGGCCTCCTCCCGGCGGGACATGCCCGGAACACCTCCCGAGGGAGGCGCCCAGGAGGCATCCGGAACAGATGCCCGAGCCACCTCAACTGGCTCCTCTCGACGTGGAGGAGCAGCGGCTCTACTCCGAGCTCCTCCCGTGTGACTGAGCTCCTCACCCTATCTCTAAGGGAGTGCCCAGCCACCCTGCGGAGGAAACTCATTTCGAGCGCTTGTATCCGCGATCTCGTCCTTTCGGTCACTACCCAGAGCTCATGACCATAGGTGAGAGTAGGAACGAAGACTGACCGGTAAATCGAGAGCTTCGCCTTTCGACTCAGCTCCCTCTTCACCACAACGGTCCGATACAGCGACCGCATCACTGCCGAAGCTGCACCGATCCGCCTGTCAATCTCACGTTCCGTCCTTCCCTCACTCGTGAACAAGACCCCGAGATACTTGAACTCCTCCACTTGAGGCAAAGACTCCCCACCCACCCGGAGAGGGCAAGCCACCTTTTTCCGGTCGAGAACCATGGCCTCGGACTTGGAAGAGCTGATCTTCATCCCAGCCGCTTCACACTCGGCTGCAAACCGCCCCAGTGCACACTGCAGGTCCTGGCTCGATGAAGCCAGCAGGACAACATCGTCCGCAAACAGCAGAGACGAAATCCTGTGGTCCCCAAACCGGACCCCCTCCGGCCCCTGACTGCGCCTAGAAATTCTGTCCATAAATACAATGAACAGAACCGGTGACAAAGGGCAGCCCTGGCGGAGTCCAACATGCACCGGGAACAGGTCTGACTTACTGCCGGCAATGCGAACACAGCTCCTGCTCCGGTCATACAGGGACCGGACAGCCCTTAGCAAAGGGCCCCGGACCCCATACTCCCAGAGCACCCCCCACAGGAACACCACGAGGGACACGGTCGAATGCCTTCTCCAGATCCACAAAACACATGTGGACTGGTTGGGCAAACTCCCATGAACCCTCGAGCACCCTATGGAGAGTGTAGAGCTGGTCCAGTGTTCCACGGCCAGGACGAAAACCACACTGCTCCTCCTGAATCCGAGGTTCGACTATCGGCCGGATTCTCCTCTCCAGTACCCTGGCATAGACCTTACCGGGAAGGCTGAGAAGTGTGATCCCCCTATAGTTGGAACACACCCTCCGGTCCCCCTTCTTATACAGAGGGACCACCACCCCGGTTTGCCAGTCCAGAGGTACTGTCCCCGACCGCCACGCGATGTTGAAGAGGCGTGTCAGCCAAGACAGCCCCACAACATCCAGAGACTTCAGGTACTCAGGACGGATCTCATCCAACCCCGGAGCCTTGCCACCAAGGAGCTTGCCAACCACCTCAGTGACTTCGGCCAGGGTGATGGATGAGTCCGCCTCCGAGTCCCCAGCCTCGGCCTCCTCCTCGGAGGACGTGACGGTGGGATTGAGGAGATCCTCAAAGTATTCCTTCCACCGCCGGACAACGTCCCCAGTCGAGGTCAGCAGCTCTCCCCCCGCACTGTAAACAGTGTTGGTGAAGAACTGCTTTCCCCTCCTGAGGCGCCGGACGGTTTGCCAGAATCTCTTTGAGGCCGTCCGATAGTCCTTCTCCATGGCCTCCCCGAACTCCTCCCAGCTCCGAGTTTTTGCCTCCGCGACCACACGGGCTGCAGCACGCTTGGCCCGCCGTACCCGTCAGCTGCCTCAGGAGTCCCCGAGCCAGCAAGATAGGACTCCTTCTTCAGCTTGACAGCATCCCTTACTTCCGGTGCGGGTTCTGGGGTTCGCGACAGGCACCACAGCCTTCCCCCAGCCCACTCGGACTCCATCCCGGAATCCGGGAGAAGTCCCGGAGGTGCGAGTATATATATATATATATATATATATATATATAAAATGACCTTTGTCCCTTGCCTAAAATCTGATCTGTATTTTCCGATCATATATTAACATACATATTCGAAATCCAATAAATCCAGGCATCAGAATATAATCCCATATATATATATATATGTATACTAGATCTCTATCTAGAAATGTCTTACCTATTAGACCGACTTGTTCCCATGGCAGTGGGGATCATTGGAGAAGGCCAGACTCACCTCACTTTGGTAAACTGATTTTAAGTGTCCTGTAACAAATTCATAAACAAAGTCAAGAGCACTGAAATAAAGGCATTTACTTATTTACACCTTAAAAAAACATGCACTCATGCTGTGAGGGGTTTCTTCTCCACAGACCTGATTTGTATCTTTTCTGGTGGATATAGTCTTCTGCTTGACATTATTCCTTTGCCTCAAATATTTCGCAGACTGATGTAAATTTGATCAATTGATGTGTCTCTTGGAGACTGTTCCTAAGAACCTGCGCAAAACCTAATGTGATTTCAATGAGGAATTTGGGACTGACCAGAAACTATCACAAAATATGAAAAAATAAGGGGTTTGAAAATCAATAAGCGCTCTGATACATGCCAGTTTTATTGTATTTGACATTATTTGTTTATTCAAATATATTTAAACATAAATACAGGGTTTTGAGACTATAAAATAGTGTGTGTTTTGTTGAAAGACTTAAAACCCTTAGCCATAAGATCTGCTGTGTTGAAAATGTGTTATGATCGACATTTTAAATCCAGTCATCTTCATTCTTCTATTAGCAGCACATTTACCTTTGTCCATTGTGACAATTATCAACATCCTTAATGAAGCTGTGATAATTCAGTCATATTTAAAGACAGCTCTTTATCGGGACAGTGATGGAACAAGGCTTTAGGGGGTCTCCATGGTAACGTGTGCTGTGACATTTGGGATAGGCTTTAAGTGCACTCTTTCAATGAGTCACACCAGAACAGAACAATACAACATTCACTCATAAATGAGAGATGTCCCTTATCCCATTCAGACTTCAATAGCAATGACATTATAAAAGTGTACTGGTGTAACACAAAGATGATGTAGGCTGCATCACCATTTTTTCAAAACATTTCACATGTAAAGATGCTTGATCACGTAGACATTGTTATAGTTGTTTTGATATTAACCCTACTGTTTGCATTGCCTAAATTGGTAATCAAACACATTTTAATGTATGTGTATGTATTCAAATTATCTTAAATTGTAAATTTATAATTTGTCATTTAGATTGTCAAGCCTTATTTATCAAGTATTATTCATAAATTTACTTTTTTTTACATACATTTTGAAATATTTGGAGTAAACACAAAATATATTTAGTTACAGAATACTGAATACCTGCATTAACATATAATTTGTACTTTTACATGGAATAGTATTTAAATTATAGTGTAAAGATGCAACATAAGATTGAAAACAGCTTCATGTTCATCTTCTTCATATTTATCAGTAACTGGAGAAGAAAAAATATGCATGCACTCTCTCACTGATTATGTGCAGTTTGAAGCCTAAATTTTGTGATTAAGTACTGCAATTATTCCATAAATTTTAGAAAAGTAACTGTATTCTGAATGCAACCAAATGAAAGAGGAACTGTACCAGAATACAGTTACTCTGAATTAGTATTCAGAATACGTGTTCTTGGCACATGTATTCAGTTACTTTCCAACACTGAATATAATGGATACTTACCCAGTTAGTCACCTGCCACTTTTATGTTGAATTCTTTCCCTCAGTTTCCTATTTCTCCTGTAATCCCTTATTGTGCTCTGGTGCTTTCTTCTCCTTCCAGAGGAGTGTATAATCCGTCTGTCTGCCCGGGTCTGATCACTCAAACTGCTGCGTCAGTCCTCATCCACACAAACCCTTTCTCAAGCTTTGTCTCTCACCACCAGCTTGTTTACATTCTAAATTCATTTGTTGTTATTGTTATAATTTTTATTTTTTATTTTTTGTAATCAAATGTAATTGTGTAAATTACTTTTGAGTCACAGTAAACCCGCTCACTAAATGTGTTGCCTATATTAAGCAATTTACAGTCTTAAACTGCAGTACTACAAACTGTGAAGAAAAAGGATGCATGGAAATAAAGCTGCAACAGCCTTCAAAGTTGTCATTGAAAAAGCAGAAGTTATAATACTGAAGATATTAAAAAAAAATCTGTATAAAGTTTAAGAAACCTGTGTATAGTGTATTTCTATTTCTTGAGCAGTTACAACCAGTATGATCTTAAAACAACAGCAACAACTGAAGAGTGCACCCTCTCCAGTAAAGTAGCTCTCTTTCTTGCCTCTCTTGCTTCTCTATCCAAAGAAAGTCATTATAGTGACCAAGATGGAGGGACATAGACAGACAGATAAGACAAACAAGACAGTGACAGAGGGAGGCACCTGAGCAGAGATGACCAGTGAGACAAGGCGACCTTTATTGATATATAAATAGCTGCTAATCAGACCTGGCGTCAGATTAGTTACTATAACCTTTTCCTTAGTGAACCTACAGGTCAATACAGACTTTGCCCTCTCTTTCTTCTTTTGCATTGCACTTAATTGATATTTAATGGTGGGTGTTACACGTGTCATTTTAACTTAACAGTGATTTGAATACACTTGTTGGCACAAATTCCAAAACATGTTACTCGGGGACGAAACAATCAACTCATATTGGCACAATCTTTCATCCATTTTCAAGCCTTAATGACTCCCATATCAAAAATACATGTCACTTTTTGAAGGATCTTTAACAGAGTTGTCTACTTTTAAACAACTGTAAAAGCTGTTTGTTTGGACTTCAGTCTGTCCACAAGATTACACACTTTAATCAGTTCACTAACAAAAGACAAAGGAGACACAACAAAACAAAGGAGTCACAATATGAAGATATTTTATAGTAGTATTAGAAAATACATGAAAAAGACTTAAGTGATAGTTTAGCATAAAGTAATGAAAATGGGTGTTTTTGATACATAAATGATTGTGTACAGTGTTTTATATTTGCCGCATATGAATCTACCTCACTATAAAACTATCAGGAACAGTGTGAAACTGGTCCTGATGGTCTCCTCCTTCAAAGAACAAATCAGAAAGTGTTGTAGCATTCTCTGGGCATTGTCTGGATGATGATTAGATACCCTCTGGTGATTGTATTTCAGTCATAAAGTGTCCTTTTTACACAGTGTGTTTTAAGTTTTGTCCACCATGTTAACCTTTTCAAATCTCCTGAATGGCTATGCGTTACTTGAGTAATCAGACTTTCAATGATGCAGACAAGGATCTGCCACATGTAGACCTATGTTAAGTTTCAAAGAAATACCATAGCGATTGAAAAAAAAAAAAAAAAAAAAAAAAAAAAAAGACCAGTCCATGGATCCAACTCATCTTCTCACAAATAGTCTTTTGTCGCCATCTGCTGTTCAAAATGTAGCGCTTTTTTAGCCTACAATTTCTAAATGTGTTTTTAATAATACTGTCCTAAATGCCATTTGCTTTTATTTTCTATACCTCTTCATGTGAGCAAGGTTCTTTAATTATCATTTGTGATATTTTTTGCATAAAATGGAATAAAAGAATATTTAACATTTTGCGACGAAATTATACCCTATACGGACCTTTTAAATGTTAAAGATCTAGTAGACCATAGTCCATTTAATAATAGTAGTAAAGAGTAGTACGAGCATGCCATTCAAAAGACGATCTATAATTATAATGTTTATTTTGTAAAAAGAACAAACCGGAAAAGTAACCCTATTTCCTCTTTGTGGTGAATCTGCTTTGAGGCGTGAGCCACGTCACCTCCTCTAAAACAAGTTTCCCCCCGGACCAGTGAGCGCATAGCTGAGTTGGCAGGACAGATAGATGCTTTAGACCTTTATCACGTTTGGGCTTCTATTAGATAAAGATCCTGCCGACTGGAGGATTCACTGGAGTTGACTGTAAACGCTTTAGCTGCTTTTTGACTTTTTTCTACAAGTACATTGTGCATTCACGTCTGCGCCTCTGTGGGGTGGACGTGGACTTTTTGGGGCTCTGCAAAACTTTGGATAGTGGGGGAAAAGAACAGCTATGAATATTTTTCGTCTTGCCGGTGACGTGTCACACCTTGTGGCCATTATTATTCTTTTGCTGAAGATTTGGAAGTCCAGGTCATGTGCAGGTAGGTCAAAGCTGACATCCTTGCCTTTATAATAGTTAAAAAACATGTTGTGTTGGATTCAGCTGTGGCGAAGTTCACACATCTCTATAAGGCCTGTTGCACTTTTCAATGAACTGTATTGGACGATGAATCACATTTTTCTTGTTCTTTCTATAGGCATCTCTGGGAAGTCTCAAGTGCTGTTTGCCCTGGTATTCACCACCAGATATTTGGACCTATTAACTGTTTACATCTCTGCTTACAACACAGTTATGAAGGTAGGTACCACACAACTAAGTGTCTGTGTAACGAATAGGGTGTGTCATCTCATTTTAACCGCAGCATAAGCCATATAGTTAGTAAGAGCTAATGTAAATACAACCACAAACCACAATGTACGCTGTTCTCAAATTATTATTTAGTCACCAACCTAATGCAAACTAAAATGGAAATCCACCTTCCTGTTGTACTCAGGTGGTGTTCCTGGCTCTGTCCTATGCCACAGTTTACATGATCTACATGCGCTTCAGAAACACGTATGACTCTGAGAATGATTCATTTCGTGTGGAGTTCCTCTTGGTGCCCGTTATTGGACTGTCCTTTCTGGAGAACTACGCTTTCACCCCAGTGGAGGTTTGTAGTAGTATACATACTACTAGTTGCTTTTAGATTTCTTCTTGTCGTAAATCAAGTCTGACTTTCTTTCTCAGATTCTGTGGACTTTTTCCATCTTCCTGGAAGCTGTTGCCATCATGCCGCAGCTCTTCATGATCACCAAGACTGGGGAGGCGGAGTCGATCACCACACACTACCTGTTCTTCCTGGGCCTGTACCGAGCCTTATACATCGCTAACTGGATCTGGAGGTACCACACAGAGGGCTTCTTCGACCAGATCGCTGTAGTGTCCGGAGTCGTGCAGACCATCTTCTACTGCGATTTCTTCTACCTTTATGTCACAAAGGGTAAGTAGATTCTAAATTCCCCTAGTTCCCTGTACTGTACATAAGATTTGAATGAATTTTTTGGGACAAATTCCAAAACATGCCACTCGGACAGGAAACACTCAACTAATATTGGCTCAGTCTTTTATCCATTTTCAAGCCTCCCATATCAAAAGCACAGTATACTTTTGCAGTATATTTAACACAGTTTTCTACTATTTAAACACAGATTACAACTGGACAAGCTTTTTGTTAGTTTAATCAGTTCACTGACCAAAGACAAAGGAAACACAACAAAGCACAAGTCACAATGTGAAGATATTTTATTTACTTGGCCAGCCACAACCACACACTATGAAAGAAAGTTTACAAAGACGAGTGGATCTGGAGCCTTATCCTGTCTCCCTGATTTCAGAGGGTGTGATTGACATGCGGATTAACCAATCAGAGAGACGCATGCTCCGTTCGCAACAAAAACAAACGTGGCTGCTTACACGCAAAAAGGAGAAAAAGCTACATAAAGGACTGAGAAACAGTGTGGATTATTACAGAATCAACATTCGAAGCGCCAAACTATTACTTATTTCAGGTAAAAGAAGTATTTTGTTCTCAATGTCATGAGAATTTTCGAGAGGAGATGTCTTCTGCTACAAATTAGCCGCTGTGGTTGGACCGTCTCAAGTTTCCAGTCCCTTCTGGATTCCGACTGAATGTAGAAGGGACTGGCTGGTCAGGCAAATATTTTATAGCATCACTGTATTAGAAAGTGCTAAATTTTCACAACATTGTACAGGTCAATAATATTTAATACAGATGGGGGGCAGCTAAAATTAATACTGAGGAAATGTTTTTGTTGTAATACAGAAAATTCTATGGCTGAATGACTATAAATTCTTCAGTTCAATGGTTCTGAAATCACCTTTGCAGGTTTTGAGAAAGTGATGAATTTTGAATGTTGAAGTTTGAGAACAGTTACACTAAAAATACAGTGATTAACACACACACAAATATGTCATCAGGTGCTTATGATGATCAGATACTGGCCATGTAAATGTACCCAATTTCTCTACAGTAATTGCAATAACTTTCTTTTTATTTCTGTGCAGTGCTTCGTGGAAAAGGAAAAATGTCACTGCCAATGCCTGTGTAGGAGAGAGGTCCACAGGCCACAGATCACCATGTGCCTGCTACATCCGCCCGTCCAAGAGTATGAAACTGTAAATATAATTAGCAAAAAAAGGGACTCATGATCTGACTGATTAAAAGGCTCAGATTGTCAGATTCTTCATTGAGTGTCAATCATGCCCCCAATAATCATGCAAAAGGGAATGTAGCGATGTCAAGTGTTTTCTTATTTGTGATATTTTTGTGATTTCTTGGGCTCTGCTGAGTTTATGCATTTTTCACTAGTTCTCCCAAGATCACTTATTGACAAATGCATTACAGCTTAATTTGCTCTCAATTTTTTCTTCATTTATTCTTCCTTTTTTTCTTTTTTCTTTGTATCTTTTTGTGTTTTTTTTTTCTTTTCTTTTTTTGTCAAGTATTGTCATGTATGCAGTACATGTTGTGTTGGCGTTCAAGGGCTATTTGCCATGAAGCAATATCCAAAAAAGTATGCCAATTCTAGGTCCTAGTCAATTTTAAGCAGAATTGCACACTATTTGTACACCTTTTAATAATATAAAGAGTCTTTTACGTATTCTTATTGTATGTTATTTGACCAGGATGTTTACTTTTCGTTGCCCCACCCACAAAAAAAAAAAATTCAAAGTGTCATTGTTGAAAGACAAATACTGTTATGTCCTCTCAATGCAAGAATGTTTTGCGATGCTTAGAGAAGACTTTAGTTCCTTCTCTCATGGCTCCCCCTACCACTTTGGCTGCTGAACCTATAGAAAGTGGGGAGGCCGCCAAAGCAGCTATTTTCTTTATCGCTTTTCCTTTCCCCTTGTTTTTACCCACAATCCCAGCTCCTTCAGCTGCACCTTTGCCCATCGCCGTCACCAGTTCACACCAGAATAGTCTCTCTGCTCTTTTTCTGGCCTCTTCGTCTTCAAGCCTCCTTCCTTCAACTTCCTCTCCTTGCAATTTAAGCCCATTTGTTGCTTTTTGAGGAGACGATACGGAGACGTTTTCACCCATCATTCTTTCTTGTACCTCCTTCATGGCCCTCTCAGCTTCGTCAAACATATCTCTGGTATAAAACCCATTTTCATTTTCAGACACCATCTTGTCTATCTTCTTCATGAGGTCCATTATCTGCTCTGAACTTTCTGTATTGCTATTATCAAAGACATGATAGCCTCCATGACAGCCACTTACAAACTCTGATAGCTCCTCACTCTCCCCAACATAGTCCTCTATACGTTTTCCATGTAGCTTGTCTCCACAAGTAAACAAAACTAAAGTGTATTTCAAAACTTCAGAGCCAAAAGTAGCTTTAATCCAATCCAAGCAGTCTTTCTCCTCTTGAGTAAACTTGCAGATCTGGACTGTCAGTATGAACAGATGGGGTCCTGGTGAATACAGTTTTATGCATTGTCCCATTTCGTGTATGACCTCCTGAAGGGACATACTGGTGTGGAAGAAGCCAGGAGTGTCCACCACAGATATGCTCACTTTGTTTACCTGTCCGCTCTGTTTTCTACACTTGGAGGTGATGGAACAGGGAGAGGTCTCTACCCAAAATGCACTTCTGCCCAGTATGGTGTTGGCTGTAGAGCTTTTACCACTGCCTGTCCTTCCCACCAGAACAATTCTCCAGTCACTGTCAGGGTCAAGGGCGGATGTAGTGCATTCTGCGATATAGAATTAAGTTTATTATAGTTACTGCTAAACAGGCAAAAAAAAAAAAAAAAACATAGCCTGAGTAAGAATGCATGACTTCAGTGCAATTTTTTGAACTAATCACTGTAACATTATTTCTTTTATTGAAGATATCAGCGCATAGGCTTTAGAATACAATATTAGTGAAAGTCATCTATATCACTCTTTCAAATGATTGTCTTTCTTACAATAAATTAAGTAGTCAGTTGAGATTAAATCGACAAAACACTACATAGACATAGTATTAACTGATAAAATACTACAGATGAATTGCACAGTACACCTGCATTTATTCTTTGCGTATCTAGCTTGCTTGTCTTCCAGCACGTACCTTTGAGTGACGCAGCATTTTCTTCTGTCGACATCCCTGCAGGCTCCCAAGAACTAGGCCTACCAGGCTATTTCCGCACAAGGGTTTTTCTGTCAAGAGAATAAGTGTCGGATATGGCTTATGTAGAGGCTCAGATTTGTGCAGCAGAAATGCCAGACCACTCAAATGGAGTGAGTGGGCGCAACTTTGTACCACGTGACGGATTTGATCCAATTTCAATTCCAAGATTTGGACCAAGTGTATAGCTACTAGATTTGATCAATCGTACGAAAAGAAATCGTATTATTGTACAATTTAGGATGAAAAGAAGTCTTGGACTTCGATCCGTATTTGAGTATGTTGTCCACTTGGTGGCACCAGAAGACTAGATGATCATATTAAAGGTCCCATATTATACCATTTTCTGATTTATATTATGTCGTTTCCCCATCACAAACATACCTGGAGTAGTGTTTTGTTTCATTCACTCGTTAAACACACTAACCCTGCATATTTTTCATATTTAGAGTCTATCTCTCAAACATAAAACACTGTTCCAACTTGTGATGTCATATGGTAATACATGAAGTGGGCCACTGTGTTTTTAAACTCCATACACCTTCACTAGAATCATTCGGTTAATATCAGCCCCGGAATTGCCATTTGCTACTGAACTAAAGGTAAAAGGAGCTGTTAACATGAAAACTACCACTTCATGACAGTGGTGGAACAGAGCATTTTGAGCTTTGGAGATGTAGACAGACTAATAATAAAGGGTTGCTCAAATGTGTGAATGAAACAAAACTAACATTCTAATATGGCTTAAAACTCACAAGACTCAATTTTGAGTAATATAGGACCTTTAAAAAGGAGGCTACTGCCTTAAAGAAAGCAGAACACAGTGCAGACCATTTCCTTGTGGTTTAGATAGCTTTTACTCTTTGTAAACATACAGCAAACATATTTTGAGGTACCTATTTCCTAGACATTGTTTTAGTTTAAGGAATGACATCACCTTTTACTCACACATTTAATGTGGTTTCTTGGTGCTAAAATAAAAACACTTTTTCACATACATACCCTGTACACCGGAGAAATAATAAAAAAAATGTAAAAGTGAAGTGTGATAGCCAACATTAAAAAGATATGGTTACCATGTCTTCATTTAATCAACCAAATAAATACCTTTGGCTTTTTGGTACGTTATGTTGTTTTTTTTAAGTTGTTAATTGATTAAAAAACAGAGAGACACTTGATTTGTGTGGTTATATATAAATAAGCTACCATTTGCCCATAATGTTGAAAAAAAAATCATCCTTGTTTAGGACTGCTTGGTGAAGGGTTGTCAGTCATAATATTTACTATATATATATATATATATATATATATATATATATATATCTTAGTCTTCTTAGTACTAGCTTTGTTTTGTCTCACTGTAGTGTAATACATAAAATTATATAATATCATGTTTATTTAAAAACAAAAAGAGAGAGCCTGAGAAGGACTTTTTTAACATTGGTGAAACAATCTGATACATGAACAGTACTTTTTTGGTACCACAGCTCTACTCATGTGCATAGTTTACCTAAACTATCTGTACTCTAAAAAAAAGGTACCAGATGTACCAGATGGATTTGTGGATCTGTCAAGATGAGCTGTTGGTTGGTCTGTCCCACTCCACCTGGCTCCTCGCTGGAAACCCAGAGGGCAGCTGCAGCCTGTCTGTGTCCTCAGAGGGAAAGTTTAAGGTGAAAATAGGTCTTCTATCACCTTCAGCGACAGGCACTGCTGTGCTCTGTAGATCTGTATTCTCAGTGAGGGTCACAGTGTTGCTACTGGACTGTGACACCAACCCATCTCCACTGGTCAAGACTGGATTTTCTAAGTTAAAAATAGTATTACTTTCACTGATCCCCAGACCAAAGCTCTCTAGCATGTCCATGACAGTGGGGCTGGAGGGGTCACTGGGGATCTCTTCTTCAATAAGTGTCAGAGTGGGTATGATATCCACCAGCTCAGCCATCTCCATTGGCCGAATGACGTCTGTGATGCTTGAGGGGTACTCTGGCTCTTCACTCTGGGGCACTTCCACATTTAAAACTGGATAGCCTACTTCTAGTTGAGCTGCAGCTGCAGGTTCCAGTCCTGCTTCAATCAAAGTACTGGCACATATTAACTCAGGCTGGTCCAAACTGGTCAAATCCACAGTTGATGGTGAGGTGATGTCAACAGGGTACCCTCCCTTTGCAACACCCTCCATTAACACCAGAGGGGGCTCTTCAGGGATAGATGTGATGATCCCAGTGGGAGCAGGCACCTCTGCTGAGACAACATTTGGAGGAGTCACACTCAGATTTTCTGAAAAAACAATATGAACAAATTAGTGTTGAATAATTGTTTCTAGTTTATATACAATAATGTGACAAATGTGGTATTTCTTGAGCCTTGTGTTTGAAACTGACATACTTTGTTATGATCACAGACTATTAAAGAATAAAACACTTACATTTTTTAAGAAATACATACACAAACAATTCACATAAATTTTGCATGTAACACTTTGCTTTTCCTTGATTGATTGTATTTGAGCATTTGAAACACCGGTCTGTGCTGTTTTTAGATGCCACAGCCTTTTCACATTTTTTTCTTATTTCAAAAATAATATACACTGAACTGTAGTTATTTCCAACAGTTTTGTACCACTCTGCTAAATGTACAGTTTAGAGCCAGAGTCTTAAATTTGATATTTCAATATGAAGGTGATATTGTTAGTACCTGAAATAGTTCTCTGAGGTGGTATTCGTCTGGGCCACGTCAGTCTGCCAGTCAGACTCTCCTCCTCTTCCTCTCCCTCTGGGCGCGGGGGTGGGTCTCCTCCCATCACCAAGCCCAAAGGCACTGCGCCCACCCACTGCCTGGACCGAACACACTGAAGACAGTCCATGATCCAGCGCGCATCCCGCCACACAACATCCAGCCTCTGTAACATCCACACAAAAGCTCCTGAACAGTGACCTTTTTACAAGCAGTTCTATTGTTTAATCTATTTGTTATAGTTAGTCTCCAAATTGAAGACGATGCTTGTCTTTCTGCAATTGTCTTTTTTTGTAAGTGCTCCTCACAAAAATAAGACAGTTTTTGCATTAACTTGTTAGTGATCCTGGTCCCTGCTTACATGTGCTAGTTCAGTGATGCGGTTGAGGCGTTCCCGGGCCTCCTGCACCTCTTTTGTGTCCAGAGCCTCCCTCAGAGCCTGCTGGGCCAAATGAGTGTCCAGTTCCAGCCTCACCCAGGCTTGGCAGTAGTGAGACAGGAAGTCACGCTCGTACGTCCAGAAGTGAACTGAAAAAACAAGAAATTCATTAGTTCATAATTTTGACAAAGAGCCAATCCTGAGCTGAATCTGCCCATGGTACCCTGCAATTAGGTGTTACAGAACTAAAAGATTCTAGTATATGAGAATTGGTTTAAAATTTATTAGAAAACTTTGCATGGAGATCAAGAAAAACTACAAAGGATTGTTTGCTGAACCAATTTAATGAAAATCTTAAAATGACTGGACAAACAATATTGATTTTATATCATCTGATGTCGGCCTTCTTGCCCTTTGGTTGATAAGTGAGTGAACCCCTTTCAGAGATTCCTCGACAACTGTTTTAGTATAAAAGAATAGTATAAAAAGTTGTTATTATTTACACTTTAGTCATAACTTACCAATTTCAAAGATCTGCAGTGGCATTGTCAGACCAGGTTCCTTGGTCCCCACTAGGGGCCAATAACTGGAACTGAAATCCTCACTAGGAGGCAGAAGGAGCAATAAGGACAGCTTGTCTCCAAACTGCACAAGTTCCCGAGTGTAGACTCCATACTGATACGCCTGCCAAAAGAAATACAAAAGCTAAAGAATTTGTATACTATGATATACCCTGTACAGAAGCACAGAAAAAGGAAAAATTAAAAAAAAAGTAAATAATGTCCAGATCCAGTTGTATTGGTTAAAATTAAGCATATACACTTTTAATGATTCACCCCTGAGGAGTAGAAAAACATGAATATCATGAAACACAAAAGAGTTTACCCTGTAGAGGGGGATGTTGAGCTTTGTCAGCAGATGTGTGATGGCCGCTCTCAGGGATGTGACAAACTCCACCAGGCTGCTCTCAATCAGGTTATCATCGTCTCCTCCACTCAGCAGGTTCTGGACACTGCCATTGACTGTAGTGTAAACATGACTCTGAAGCCACGCCCACTCGTCCCTACCACACCATAAAAACACACTTATGTAATGTCAGCTTACTACAGTTGAACTGTGAGGTCTGACGTGTTGACGTATAAAACAAGTTTGTGTGTGGCAGACAGTACCTTGTTACGTGGGCGTTGTGTCGGACCCTGGTGTGACAGAGCAGATTGGGCAGCCTCTGAGGCACCAGCACCCGGATCTGCTCCACAGAGCTGCACAGCTTCAGTATCCCAACATAAAGACCAGGCTGGGCCCACTGGGTGCTGTGGCGGTGATATGACAGCTTGTCCTACACGCAGATGGAGATAACATGGTTAACTTTTACTTACATGAACAGCAAGTCTGCTTCTACACTGCAGCTCTAAAGTTCAATTTATTATAATGCTGTCGTGCAGAAACTGTGTGGTAGCAACTTGGGCCAATTACTACCAGCAAGAAGGTTTTAGCCAGATGTTCACTTACAGCAAAGAAAGTTATTGAAATATTTTTGTCAATGAACTGGATAAGTAATGTGGGGTTCAGCAAATAATGTATAGATGAACTATGGCTGAAATTCAGATTCCACACGATAGTATCTTATGATTATGGGATGGGACCAATTACTGTAGCAATACCTGAACTGTTATGTTGGTTTCTGTGCAAGTGGAGTAAAAAAAAGTTACACTTGAGCTTTGAAAGTTGGGAGACTTTGGATGTGTTTAATCTGCCAAGCTAATTTGTTTTGTGTGCTATTTAATTCCACTACATTAGATTTAAAGTGTTATCTTAGTTTAGCCAGGGAGAAAAACATTGCTCAATAATCCAGTCAGGAAAGTCAATACACTCAATCACTATGTACTCCTTGCTTCAATTCACTTGCACTGCTGCTTTGCAATATGTCCCACTGATGAGTCACACTGCTTTTCTTTCTTTTTCCCCAAAGAAAAAAAGGACATAGAAAGCAGTTCACCTTGAGCTGTTCATAGAGCATATCCATGGCGGTGGGCTCAGGCAGCAGGGGGGTCCGACTCCGGTTCTTTTCCAGCCGTACGATGGGCATCCAGTGGAGCGGCGGGTCAGGGGGACTGTGAGTTAAGTGAGTGAAAAGGAACACATTTTTCAGCTATTTTCAGCAACTATGATCAGAATCACACAGCAGCCAGTGATATCCAAGGACAACATCTGTATGGATTCAGGGCAAGCTGACGATTATGCAAGATTACAACATTATTTCCTGAGACATTTGTATGAGACACTTTAGTGCCTGATTGGGTGTGCCTCCTACATTGATTAAAATTCCACCTGGGAGAAATTTATTATGTTTTTTCAAAGAAGGACACACAGTTTCTAGTAGATTAATAAGATAGCTCTGACCTCTATCAGTAATCAGAGGTCGGAGCGCCCTCTGCTCTGATGAGGGCAAAATCCTTTAGATTTAAGCTTCAGTTTTCTCATTACCCTGCTCAGTGTGTGCCAGGTCCACTTATACCACAGACAACACTGTAAAGACCATTAGGTTATTTTATGTCCTTGTAACTTAAGGAATGTGCCTTAATTTGTAACAGCAAGTAATCATACAAATACAAAGCAGGGTCTTGCATTGTAAACAAGCCCAGAAACATGTTCTACTACAAAGGGGGGATCCATTATTGTAAATATAAAGAGAAAAGGTTGTACTGTTAATAATGCCACATGTCTTACTTGGGAAGGTTGGAGAAGTCCTTCAACGTGACTAGTAGCACATTTCCCTGGCGATCTTTCAGAGGCTCATAGTAAACCTGACCTAAGTCCATCATTCCTAGAGAAGACTGCAGGCAGACCAGATAAACATGAGGATGAATAATTACCAGCATATTAGAGTCTAATTTAGTAGGAAGTGGTTGTGGGGTGACAGGAATGAGATATTAGCACTTGGAAAACTGTGGGTGGAGGAAGGGGGTGTAAAAAGGTAATTAAGCTAGCAATGAATGTGGTTCACAGCTTCTTATCAGAAAAATAAGCTGCTTAACTTCCTACCTGCAGCTGTGAAACTGCTTTTAAAATGTTGTGTCTGTTCTGAAGCAGGGAGGAGGAAGATGAATGAGCAGAGGCTAGAGATTGCTGCAGCCATGGAACTTGTTGCCACGCACAAGATAACTGCAAAAATAAAACATAAATTCACAGAACACAAGTTAGACATGAAGAAGGGGGAAAAAGGGGGGGAATGTGTGACAGGTTTGCTTTGTTTTAAACTACCACAATATGCAGAAAGACAAAAGAACATCTGTGTTCTTGATGCACACCTTGGCAAACCAAAGAAAGTCCTGTGTGATGGGCGTGGAGCAGCACTGGATCTCCACAAGAGGTATCTGATCTTCAGCTGTCACCAGGATGTTGTCCTTGTAGTGGAAGACAGCTGCCAGGTAGACACCTCTATTCATGTCAAAATATAGGACATCAAGATATTCGTACCGCTGTCAGTCACAGCCACACATGCTTTATACTGGATACTGCGCTGTCACATGAAGCTCAGAATTGTGAATTAATTACATGTAATTACTACCCTTTTCTCCACCCTCGCTTCATTTCCTGAAGTCATAGTGTAAACATGGACTTAATTATATACTCGTACATTTAAATTGAAAACCCAGATAATCAGATTACAAAGTCAATTTTCTGATTGTTCCCTGTTCTCAGTAAAGTTTTACTTGTCTGTTTGCTCAACTCTGTCAAATTCTATAGTCTATAATGTAATAAAATTGAATCAATGAGGAAAAAATACATTTTAATAATTAAATTATAATACTTTAATTTACTGCAAAATTATTCCTTTTTAAAAATAATTTACGATGATGTCAAATGACAGTTACCATATTATGCAAATGAGCTTTAAATCTTGTTATAATGTTGTGACCTCATCAAAAACATAACTGGATTTGTTTTTTGTTTTATTCATACATGTTTGAGTAACCCTTTATAATTAGTGTCGTCTACATCTCCCAAGCTCAGAATGCTCTGTTCCACCTTGTGATGTCATAAAGTTGTAGTGTGTTTCAAGTTAACAGCTCCTTTTATCTTTTGTTCAGTGGATGGGGAATTCCAGGGCTGAAATTATACAAGTGATTCTAGTGAAGGTGTATGGAGTTTAAAAATATCACTTCCTGTATTATCTGACACAAGTCTTTTCTGTCTGAGAGAAGAACTCTCTTTGTGATGAGGAAACAATATTATAACATAGATCAGATTAACACTAGCCTGGGCCCTTTAAACAAAGCATAGGTTTTAACGCATCAAGCAACCTTTTTCACTTGGTCAATGGTGCATTTATTTTGTCCAACCAGTCCACTGACTGCTCATTGCAGTTCAGAGCATTTGTCACTCACTTGGTCTCTGTCACGCCCCACTGACCCCTGCCACTGAGCCACTCATTAATCTTTAGACTCATACTGTTTAAATGTAACTACTCCTCTTTGGCCAGAACAAGATAAGAGTTTGGACATCCTTTGTTGTTTTGCACCACTACAATCCCATCACTTTAAACTGCTTACTACCGGTAGCCTCAAGACACAGTGGGGACTGGTGATGTGGGAGTACCGTTGGAGAAGACGAACAAACTTGGTGGCGGACTGGAAAAGCTGTTTGATGCCTCGAGACATAGACAGGCGCTTGCTGGGACTCTGGGGCTTACAGCTCTCTGTAGAGTAGAGGAGAGGAGGACAGCATGACAATCTTCATCTGCCAGTACTTTCACAGCTACTCAGCATCTTTCTTTAGTAGAATTTCTTCTCACGTTGCAGATGTTTAAATTGTATGAGCTAATATCGTAATACAAATCTAAAACTCATTTGTTAACAAAGAGTAATTTGATGTGGGTGAGAGGACTGAGTGTGTTCACTGCAATGTAGATCAGTATTTCCCAATGGGATAGATTCCAAAATGGGTCGGGGAGATGTCAGTGGTTTAAAATGTAGTGCACATGCCACTAACGCAAGAAATATTTGCCAGGAAAAGTAGGTCAAGAAATTATTTACAAACCATGTCATGGTATATTCTAAAATCAGCCATATAGTGTATTTTCGTTTGCTATCTCAGTTATAAAAAATATATTTAATGCCATACTGTGGAACATTCCAAGCAAAGCAAAAAGGTCTCCATGGGAAAAGCAGGTGACAGTCCACCATCTACCATGAAAGCAAAAATAGTTCAATCATAAGTTTTAAATTGTTTACAGTGGTCCGATGTTATTCCTCATTTACATAAGCACTACCCTAACATAATCAAATTATTCACAACGATGAGTTTATGAACACTTTTCACAGCTATCAGAGAATGTAGTAGGAGTTTTGCCTAACAACAAAGCTAACAACATATTGATTCATAAAACCCACGCTGGAGACATATTTTGACCTCAAGAACTGCTTTTACAATATAGGTCTATTTGTATGGGGGGCAAGACAAAAGAACATTTTGTTCAAATACATGGGAATAAATGGGTACAGGGGCTTTAAGAGCACAAGTCTGTTGGGAAAAGAGGGAAAAAAACAGCAATTACCAATCCAGATGTCTACTCAAGCGCTCCCACATCAATGTTCTTTATATTCTTAGCAGCAAAACACTGTGCTGGTGTAGTCTCATCATGTGCATCAGTGTGTAAATATACTCAGTGTGCTTACCTATGCAGTATCCTCTGTACTGTGGTTCACGGGCATCTTCCAGCAGCTTCCTCACAAGGCCCTCGTGGTTCCTAAACAGCGATTTCACACCCACGCACTCTCGCCAACCTGCATGGCAAACAGTTTTTATAAAAAGTTTCGTTTTGATCCCATTAAAACAATCTTTCAAGACATCAAAAACTAATTTACAAGTCAGTCCATAGAGGCGCTTCTTTTCATTGTATCCTGGAGATTAACAGGCAGAAAAGGTTGGCTGTAAAACTGCAAAAATAACGATGTGTGTATCATTTGGATTAGTTTAATTTGTGAAATGGTCCAGACTAATCAAATGATCCACAAAAGAGGTATTCTGTTGATGCCTATTTGACTTCACTGAGCAATTTGAAGAGGAAACTAAGAGCAAGCAATTCAGTGACAAGAAAGACTATGTGCGCCCTATTCTCCTCAGCTCTGTGACATGGCCCATTGACTTCTTTGACTGCTTTAGGTCTCCATGTTTTAATAATTCATAAATCCACAGACTGACCACTGGATAGGAATATTGATTATTTGAAATCAGGACAGCAGAAATGCACAAAAAACACCTATGGTTTGATCTTAAAAAATTATAACTATCAAAATTCAACTACCGGTAATACAAAACGAGCAGAGGTGAATAGTAAAAGTAGTTATATTTGTTTCAGTCCATAAGTACTACTTACTAATGGTCAAGCAGGTAATGGAGGCATTTGTAGTGGTGCAATGTAGGACAGTATAGTGTAGTTTTTATTATGAACCAATGATAATAAAGATCTGCAGTTCTCTATACTTACTGGAGGGGGCAGCACTAGCTGGGGTAGAACATTGAGGTTGGCCCCATCCTTTTATATTGTAGGCACTGACTCTGACAAAATAATGTACGCCCTACAACACATAATAAAACAAAAAAAAACATGTTTATTTTTTCATATAAAGGGGTGAATGTTGTTGCAGGTCTTACCGTTGTCAGCCCCTGTATAGAATATGTTGGGTTTTTGGTCTCTGTAACTTGGGCTGAGCCAGAAATACGTTTGAATGTCTCTGTGTTGCTCCATTCCACTGCAAACACAAACAGGCTTATTCACAGTTGGTTCCCTGGTTTAACTCTGAGACCCTGGTGTGGGAAAACCGAGAATTTGAGTGTTTTGGGATCATAGTGTAAAGAGGCTTAATCTACAGTTGACTGCACAGTCGTTTAGGATGAAACAATGAATGAAAAGGCAAACATGCTCAACTGTTTACTGTCAGATTATCAGAGTGATCACATTAAGGTCAAATTAAGGTAAACACATTAAAACAAGAACCAGTGTTACCATGTGATGGATTTTCATGCAGTTTATTTCATGTAGTGGACCCCAGGAAGACAAGTGACCACTTTTTGGAAGCTAATGGGATTCCAAACAAACAAAATATATAAAAAAAAATCTAAATAGCTTACCTCTGTAACGTGTAATAAGACCAATGCCTGGACCTTCTGGTTCTTTGATTACCACTAGCAGGGATGATGTGCTCGTCACAAGTATGGACACATGAGAGGGAGGACCAGGGAGCTCTAGAAAAAAACAGATCTATGTTCAAAAAACAAACAGCAAAGTTTTCTTTGTTGTATAAGTTATTAGTATGTATGTAAGCCTAAGCAGACGATAATAATTCAGTGGTTTTGAGTAAAATATCATCAGTGACCAATGAATGCAGGAGTGAGAACTATGGGGAAGTGAGGAAAGATTACAAGGCAGTCTGATCAATTTTGAATGCATAGCATCAGACTGTGGGAAGACACTGAGGCCAAAGTGGAGAAAGATCAGCACAGGCAGAATGTGGAATCAAGAGAGCTCATGCAGAGAATAGATGAAGATGTAGATAAAATGACACTACTTGACAGAACAGGAAAATGTTAAATGTTTTAAATTATAGTTATTAATTATATTAGTTATAGTTTATAATTATTTTGTTTTTTGTAACGACCAACACTTTGTAGTTTTATGATGACCATGATATGTCTATAATTTATTGAAGCTACTTGTTAGGTCATAGGCCAGCAAAATTTTTGACATTTATGCCTGGCATTTATGTGCCTGTGTTAGATCATAAAATGATGGGCTTCTTATCAAACCTCACAGATGTTTAGCTTATCAGCTAAATATTTATTTTTCATTTTATTTATACTGAAAGATTTTCTCTGTAAATAGTACTATGCATTTCAGATGCCAATACCAAACAAGGCCCTCAACTCATTATTTTGCATCAAATTTCTTACACTGTAAAATCATAAGATTTGAGATTTTAATTGCATTTTAAACCCCCAACTTCAAACACCAAAAGGAATGGATGTTGATTTGACTGTATGTATTTGTATAACCCAGCCTCATCTACAGAGAGCATGTTGAAGTGGAGTTTGAAGAGGTCCCAGTGTCTGTCCCTAAGAGCTGACCTGTTTTGTTGAAGTTCTCTCTCATGCGACAGTACAGCTGCAGCCTGAGGCTCCAGAGGCGGATCTGTCTGTGCACATCTGCCTGAGCCTGCGGTCCAGCCACCACCCTCCTGACCAGCTCCTTCTTCCTCTCCTCCACACGTTTACTCGCCAGCGTCACCAGAGTGTCCAGCTTCAGAGCCCACTCTGCCGGGCGACTCACTGAGAAGAAATACATTTAACAGCAAGAGCATGGAATGCATTACAATATATTAGCATGTCATTGTAGCCTGTCCCTGCTTTAGAATCTACTCCCAGTACAATATTAAAAATTGTTCATTGCATACATATATATAACATTATTGAGCCTGTTTCCACTACCAAATTATTATAATTACTTGGGAAATGTAATTAAATTAAATAGCATAACATGAATGGATTACAGTTTTACTAATTATTATTTTAACTTTTGCCATTGTGAAACTATAACAGAGAGTGGTTAAATAGTCCCCACAACTAAACTCTCAATCAACATGTCTGTTTAACACGTCACAAATAGAAACAATGAAACCCTCAATTTAAACACAGAATAAAACAACTCACATATAGGGTTATGACGGGCTCCAGCCTTTGTCAGCACATGGAGCAGAGGTGAATTGTGGGTAAGTGCTGCCACATCCAATGGAACCAAACCCTGATCACTGACACGGTTCACTCCTTTCTCCTTCTCCTGCTCCAAATCCCTGTCTCTCTTCACTGCCTTCTCCCAAATGCTCTTCTCCCAAATGCTCCCTCCTCCTCCTCCACCTCCTCCACTGTTCGGAAGCTCTCTGGACAGCAGGCTTTGCACGGCCAAAGTGTCCTCATTTTCCACAGCCTCCCACAGGGTCTTGTACTAAAGGAGGAACATGAGGAGTATTTAAAAAGAATATATATATATATATATATATATATATATATATATATATATATATATATATATATATATATATATATATATATATATATTATATATTTTTTTTTTTTTTTTTTTACAAGGCAGAACAACTGATCATCCAGTGAAAAGAATACTGCAGATGAAAGTCAATAAGAGACATTAATCTATAAATACATCACAAAAGCCGTCAAGGCAGAGATAATGAATGCTCAAACGGTGAGCGACTAATGTCAACAAAGGATTTCATCAAAAAATACACACACAATAAATTAGTTTTCTGTTAGTTTTTTCGTAATATATATTGTGTGAAATGAATGGGTATTAAGATTAGAGAGACTACAAGATTAAAAAAAGTATTAAAATGATTAGAATTACTATACAAAGAGATTATTATTACATTTGGTTGTAATGCTAAAATTATTAATAGAATAGAACTGATTTATAATTGGTACATTATTAAACATTTGTACATTCAAGTCAAGCTGTTCTTGACTACAGAAATCTTAACTAATACATTAGTAGTTTATTATCAGTTTGTAAAATTTGTTTTTCAAAGTATGTTTAGCTATTGAACCAACTGTAGCAATAAATAAATATTAATAGCAATTGTTATAAACATTAACCTTTAATTATTAGTATATGTAATAATTTGGAAACATTTAAATGAGGAAAAAATATTGTTACATTCAGTTGTTTAGGGCTTGAAGATTTGAACAGGTTGCACAAGTGTTACTAGGGTTCAAGTCATTTCATAGAAAAGACTGAGTTTGTTTTGAAAATACACCTTAGTTCTTGAGCTTCACCTATAGCCATAGTTCAACTATGATATTGAGTAAATGTTTAGTGTTTTTATAACTCATGAAAATGTGACAGTGAGACCAAACTGCCTTTACTTGAACTTACAGCATCTGCAGACTTGTTTGAATGTTTGGGCATCTCTGTTTCGTCAGTGCCCGCTGCCTCTGCGCCCCGCAGTCTGACAGACAGATTCCGATAGATGCGCTTGGGTGAGACAGGCCCCAAGGATCGGCGGCGCTGGGGTGGGTTCCTCATGGATACAGACATTACAGGAATTGAGAGAGAGGCGTGGAAGAGGGAAGGAGGGTGCAGGGCAGTACTGAGGGGCGGTGGATTAGTTATGAACACATGGACAAACAAGTAGAAAATGGCACACTACAAAGCTGCAGACAGATGTTGAATTGAAAAAAAAAAAAATGGCAGATGGCAAAAGTATGAGAAAAGGTAAAAGTCATTAGAGACCTGTAAAGAGAGTACAGTGGGAAAAATCAATATAAAGTTATAATGGACTATATATATTGTGTCTGGTTCTTGTATTGTTTAGCTACTTTTTTGCTGACATAAGACTTGGATGAGTAGTGCCATGGTGCACTCAAGAGGTATAAACACATAAAATAAGAATGCTGAAAAGCCCTGCAGCATCAACAAGTAAAACCATAAAAAAAAATACTTCTAATAGTTGGGTCAGGACACAGTGAAGTTATAAAAGATTACAACTGGCTAAAAACAAATACGTATGGTCAGGTGAAACAGCTCTTGTATTCACAATAGTGGTAGTGGCACATGTTACAATGATCATATTGTTCAGTTTTCTGTGACGCAATTTAAACTAAAGGAATGCTTAGACTATAATAAAACTACAAAACTATAATATTTGCATGTTTTAACAGAAAAAAACATACTTAGTTGTAAAATAAAGACTCACAATTAAAATTTTGGTGAGCTCCAGTCTTTAGGCAGCACATTGAGCAAAAAGCAGTGTTGCGATATTCAACTGGATGAAAATCATTAAAACCTGTAAACAATACAATAAGAAAAAATATAAGAATATAAATGTATGTTTAGTAGGGATGTAATGACATCCAAATCTCTCAATACAATATTATCACGATATGCATCTCACGGTACGATATTTATTGCAATATCTTGAAGAGGCTGATATAATTGTAGATGGGACACTTTTTTGCTTTTAAAATGCCCTGACAAGATTTTGGTGTGAATTATTTCAGTCGCAATCCCAAGAATTCAAGTCAAAAACATATCTCTTCATGATGTCTGCGCTGAAATTAATCATGGGATATGTAGTTCACATTGTTCATAAACTGTTGCTTCTATAAAACCATGCATTTAAGCAAAGGAACTTGTGATTCGATATATTATGACAGCCCAAGATATTATTGTGAGATTTTTGATGATACGATATCACAATATTTCAGTTATTGTTACATCCCCAATGTTTAGTATAGGCCTGTCACGATAAAACCAATTTAAGGATACATTTAACGATATATTGCTGAAGTAAATATAGAATAATAGATAATATTGAAACCAAACCATAAAGCAGAATATCCACAAACATATTTTTTAATATTTGCAGAATACAACATTTGGTTTATAATTCAACCTTCTTCAGTTTCAAATCTTATCATACTGTAGAAAAAATTACAAAACAATTCCCACTAGTAAAAAGGAAAAGTACACACAATAAATATTGCCCCCCTCCAAATAATTGTTCCATCTATCATGTATTGAACGATAAGTCGATATAGTATTCATAGTGACTGGCCTGGTATAGTATCATAAAATAAAACTGTGAAACTTTCTTAATGTATTATACCTGCCCGAGAATATGAAAGTCAAAATGTCTGCGTGTGTGTTCTGTTTCCCCCCTTTTCTCTTTGCAACACCGCATATTGCCCACCCACAGATTTTCATTTTTTCACTTTGATTTATCATGCTTTACGCTGTGTGATCGACATGTGTATTATTTTACCACACAGGAAATACTAGTTTAAAACAAATTGAGGAATACTCTATACCTCTGTGTATCTGATTTCATGTTCCCTTTTGTAAACATGAATGTTATTGCAAATGGAGAAGCAATAGCACCCTGCAGTAAACCTATGTGTGCAGCAGTGTAATAACGGCTCATTATCAAGTCTCTTGTTCACGGTGTTACTTCAGGCTTGGAAATCCATCTCACAATTTTTTCCATAGTCCTTTCTTCCTGCTTCTCCTCCTCAGTCAGCAAGCCCTGTCCCTGCTTTGTTCTTATTCCTCTCACCCCTTCGTCTATTTTCACAGTGCAACAGTTTTCGGCAATTTTCTTGTCACTTCAGTTTACATCATATTCACAGCATTGAGAACTGAAGAGCATCTTTGAACAAAATGGAGGGGAGTGCCCAGAGTCTGTTCTGTCTCTGTCATCCTAGTCACTCACAGCCACTTAGACAGGCTGACAAAAAATTTCAGATATCAGCTCTATCATTTTGTGAAAGTAAACCCCACTGACTGTGCTGCATTGTGTAAAAGCAGCTGCTCCTCATTCTTCTAGACCACAATAATATAATTTTTTTGCTATTGTCGTGTATACAAAGATATAGGGGTATTCAAGCCACTGTTTTAGGTACACTTACCCAACCCAAAGTTTGTTTATTATGTCTTCTTACACAAGTTGCGGAAAATGCTGATGGGGACAGATGGGAGAGAAGATTAACTTGTAGGAGGACGCATAAACACCTGCGGGACAAGAAACAGTGTATTTGCGACCTTTTTGTGTTGCTGTTGATAACAACTGTATTATCTGGGTAGTGTAAAGTACCAATACAGAGTATTATAAGCCACAAAGAGATACTTATGACTCTTTAATCAAGATTATGCTATGTTGCTTTGTGCTTCTGTAAGTGAGGCCAAAAGTACAGTCCTGAGTCTGCTTATGGTTACAGCGTCCCAAATACATCTGATAGCATATGAACCTCAAAGGAGCAAATTTGGTTTCACAAGCTCAATGTTGCGCTACATTTGTTGTTACATGGCTTTATCAGCGCAGCAAGTGGTGGTCAGAACATACATAAAAGGGCCCATATTACACTATTTTCTGATCTATGTTAAAATGTTGTTTCCACATCAAAAACATACCCAGAGTTTTGTTTTGTTTCATTCACACACAGAAACCCAGCATATTTAGACTTCTAGAGTTCTTCTCTCAAATAGAAAACACTCTGCACCACCTTGCGATCTCGTGTGGTAATACAGGAAGTGCTCCACTGTGTTTTTAAACTCCATACACCTTCAGTAGAATCATGTGCATAATTTAAGACCGGGAAGTGCCAATCTACTAAACAAGAGGTCAAACGTACCTGTTAACTTCAAAACTACCACTAATGGCATCACAAAGTGGGACATTTTGAGCTTTGGAGATGTAGACAAACAAATAATCAAGGGTTACTCAAACATTTGTGAATGAAACAAAACACAACTCCAGGTATTTTTAACACAATGGAATCCATGCACTCTAAAGAACTAAAAATCGCACAAGGAAAAATATAGTTAAAAGGCCTTTATTTAGATGGCCAAAGCCAACATGTTTCGACCAAACTGGTCTTCATCAGGGCTGGCAACTCCGCGTATGTTTTTGATGAGGTAACAACATTATATCATGACTAAAAGCTGATAGGAATCAATTTTACGTAATGTCATATAGTGGCCTTGTAGTCTACATCATATAGCCTAGTTATTAGGTTCTTTTTTCAGACCAAAGGTTGGTGTGAAAAAAGAACCTAATAACATAAATTATCGGAAGACCAAATGAACCTCATCGGATCATATAGCCTAGCTGTAACGCGATACTAATAGGCCTATGTCTAATTTAGTAAAAATAGTGTATTACATTCATTAAACGAATTCTTTTAGACTTTTAATAAGATTATATGTTTTACTACTACTCTTCTTTTCCCTATTTTAACTGGAGTATGAGTTTAAGTGTGGCTAAGTAAAACACAACCTCTGCTAGACTATACAACAAGGTTAAAAAGTTCAGCCAAGTTTAGCAGAACTTGCAAAGGTGAATGCACTAATAAAAGCTCCAACATACATAACATAACTAAATAAAAACAAAGTGATCCTGGCTGTCTTACCGTTTTGCGCTCCCCTTTTCCCAAGTTGAAACGACATTTAAATTACAATGAAACTTCCTAAACCTCCAAAATATTCCATCACTCCGGGGTTAGGAACTTTTCACCACAGAGGGGTGAAGACGCGCCTGCACCACGGCCTGCACGCTGTAGCACAGTGCGCACAAGATGCACATCAGGCGCGCACACTCTCCGCCCTCTTACATTCATTCAGTCAGTCTCCGCCCTCTTACTTTATTTCACTGAGGTCTATTTTCAGGAAGCTATGTTGGCGATTTGGGATTGTTTGGCTGTATACTCAGTGGTTATTAATCTGTGTTGTATGGAGTTATCAAATTACAATTTTAATTATGTGGCGTGTAAATACAGCAGCCTAGGCCTACAGGTTCAGCGTGCAAGATTTTGTGTGGGGTGTACAGGAAGTGGTTTAACACGTCAAAGCAATCATAAAGCTGTCAGTCCACATAGGTATTTTTTCCATTAAGCATAACTCACCACAAGTTTGGTTTTTCATGTTGTTTGTTTCATCTGTCTCTAAAGCAATTGCTGTGACGTTACAAAGTTGTCAGATGGGTGAAAGGTGGTCTCACACGTTCAGAGACCTATTTTTGTCTGTCTCAGTATAATGGTATTATTTGGCGTGCAGGATATCCTTTTACTGTGTGTTTGCAGTGATCTGTGCATTCTCATCATTATCATCAGCATTATCATCAAAACACAATAACCAAGCTAAGACTAACTTCTCTCCATATTTTATCAGCAATAGTAATTCAACTAAGACACACAATTTCAATACTTTGCAACACAACAGAAAACATAAATCAGCAGGAAAGACCCTTGAACACAAACTTCCTAATTTGGAATCTGACATTTGGGCCAAATTTTCAGATTTCCTCTCGGCCAAATATATGACAACCAGATAATATCTGGGTGACCCCCTTTCGGTGACAGAAAATGTGTCCATTATTTTTACTCATCTGGCTGACTTTGCAGAATTCATTATACATTTTTTTTTTTTTAGAAGATGGCCAGGCATAAGTTTAAATTTGATTAAATGAAAATGGGTAAATGCATAAATATTACATATCCAAGTTAGAGTCAAACTGATTGGCTTCAGCCTCGTCACGTGTTTATTATTATTATTAGCCAAAAGACGCTAAACACTGAAAGTGTGATAACGACTGTAGCGAGAAAATAACTTCTGTATTGTGATTTGTAAGTAACATGACTTAGTGTAGGGTGACCAGTTTTTCAGAATTAAAAACTGGGACATCCCCGGTTTGGAGTTAGTAATAATAAAATTGTGGAACGAGTGCGTAATTAATGTAGACTGGACTCGGCCCATTCATAACTAACGTGAGTATAGTCACAATTTCTTTGTGTATTGGTCATTTTAAGAATCCTTTTCTGTATTTTACTTTAGCAAATGACAATATATGCCTCTTTTTACTGTGGGCAGGTGTCAGATTGGTCAAAAATAGGGACATCTTGGACGTTTCTTGTATAAAACTGTGACAAATCAATGGTTTTGTATAAATCTGCCGTGACGGGGACACAGGGCTCAAAACTGGGACTGTCCCGGGTAAATAGAGACGTCTATTCACCCTCACTTAGTGTTTATTTAAAATACAAAGTTTGAAACATAATTAAATTATTATCGTAACACTGTTACAGTGCTATTAGGTGAAGTTAGCTTTTAGTTATTGCTAGGTCTTGCTCTGGTCACGCCTCCGTAATTGCTTCGCGTTTCGTTTTTTCTGACAGATTTATTTATTGACAAAATGTCTGGCGTGGACATTGTCTGTGATAAGATTCACTTCAGACATGAGGCTCAGTGGTGTGGGCGCCTGGGTCCGGCTGAAGGCGGCGGGCTCGTGCTGTGCGTGCTCTGCGTACTGGAGATGATGGAGCGCGAGGACGTGGCGGTGAGGCTCAGTCTATGGGGTCAACACATCTGCATAATAGTGCTATTACCTGCAACTATGACACTGCCACAACTAATGGGAGGCAGCATGCTGAATAAATATCAACAATATTTTTAGTCATTAGGCTTTTGGAGTTGGAACGCATAAAACGCGTTACTTGTCTGTGAATATTGCTAATGATTGGGTTTTTTGTTATACTGTATGGCGTGTATATGCTGCCCTTTAGTTTAATAAATGTATGAATTTGGTATCAGTTTTCATAATCCTATCTTCGCTCCTTTTTCCACAGTCTGTGAGAAAGTCCTATGCCCTGTCTGGAGTCAGTGGAGTATTGAAGTGCTCTCCGGGGGCCTTAAAGGAACTGCTTCAACAAGACCAACGAGTCTCATTGCGTTTTATAGCTTCTCTGCTTGGTGAGAAACTCAGACATACCATAAAAAGCAATACATGTTCTCCAGTAATCTTGAAGGTCAGTTGTGTGAGTGACTTTGTGGCAGACAATGTGATATAAAAATAGGAACATATTAATGCAGTGCATTTCAAGTTCATTTTCAAGACCACTGCTCAGTTAGTTTCCTAGCCATTTACTTTATTTGTTTTCTGTCAGGGACCGCAATAAGGTGAAACTTGAAACTTGAAGTGGTAGAGGTAAATAGGAAGGTTTATTAAAAGTCTGAAGTTCTTCTCAACGGACACATTCAATGTGGTTATTGCAGCTTGAAGCTTTAAGTCCAAACCATTAGTGCACTAATCAAATTAGAGTTGTGTGGCAAATGGTAATCTGTTTCAAGTGCTAACTACTCTGGCAGAACATTAAAGGGGTCTGTGCACTGCTCGTGGGATGGTTTTGTTGAACTAAGCAGCACCATGCGCCAATAAAGGCCTAATCTAATAAAAGATATGCCTTTCATCTCACCATTACATGCTCAACTTTGTTCATGTTGGTACTTAGAAACAATCATATTTAGACTCAGAATGATTCTTTAAAAATTCATATTTTGAGACGCTATTTGTACAAAATCTGTATCTGTACTCAGTCACTACTACACAAAATTAGGATTAAAAATACTGTTGAGAAGAATGGAATAGGTCTTTCCACTTTGCCTTTAACTATTATTATTATCATATAATTTAGGCTAATCTGCCATCCTCTGTCTTTATTGATTTTTCTTCCCGTTGTATCTGAACTTAACTTGCTGTAGGCATGCAGAGTTTGTTGCATAACCTGCCTTTTTCTCTTTCTTCAGGGATGCTTCAGACCACAGAGGACACATGTACTTTGGAAAAGGTTGACCAAGGTGAAGGAAATATACATGTTTTAAACATAGACAGAACTTTTAGCTTTTGTACTCAGAAAATATTTTTAGTAGCTGTCTGCTAAACAAAGATTTATTTGCCTTTAATGGCAAACGAGCTGCTCTGTCTCACTGGTAGGTTAGAATGTTAGGAAAGAGCAAATAGTAGACAGACTGTGAATTTCTAATATGCCCCCAGGACAGTTTTTTTTAATAGTTTATGGATAATGGAATGGAATCATTTGAGTTGAATCATCCAAAATTATGCATTATTATTTTTTTAAAGAATATTTTTAGGACACATTAGCACTGCTGTTTTCCCCATTTCCCATTTTACATCTTAAAATATTGTATTCCATTGTGAAACAGTAAAAGTAATGTAGTGAAGCAGTGTAAAGAATGAATAAAAAATTGTGAAATTGGCCAAAACATTGACATTCCAATTTTCTTTCTTGTTGCACACACCTTGATGAAGCAGTGCTGCTCCAGTTGCTGTTAGAGCTGCAGAGTGAACCACCCTTTCGCTTTGTCTTGGATGAGATACACAAACAGGTAAGACATTTTTAAACAACACATTTATCTAGATCTGCATCATAACCACATACTGTGAACAGTCATTTAAGCGGCATTACAAACAATAAAATAGGCCAGTAAACTTTCACCACTTTTTACATCCCACCCAAACTCCAAAATAATCTACTGTGTAATAATATTTACATTTTCTACATTTTTTTTTACATTTCTTTGTAATTTCATCACATTTTATGTATGTGTTAACCAGCCGTACACATGCTCTGTCCTTTCATACAGTACCACTGCTGCACCAGTGTTTATGCAGCTATACACATCACCCCTCTAATGTGTATATAAAAGTGCAACTAACCTCCTCCAAGGCTCAAACAGGTGGGCTTTCCTGCCTCTCATTGGTGCCTCTCTCAAAGGGTGGGCCTCAAAAGCCTGTTGAGCAGATGATGCTTGAGGCGGAAAATAACAGTTGTGTCTATGCTGGGGTGATGATGACAGAGGAGCAGATACGACTCATTTATTTGATAGAATAGAGCCTGATTAGAACTCATCCAAAGAAATTAGTCATACTAGCCAAAACACACAGTATAGCTGAGCTGAAAATAAGGCTACTCATTATGTTGATGCTAAATCCCTCCAGTGTTTAGATTTATTGCTCTCCAATTCTTACATAAAAGTCAACATTTGCGAGCCTCATTTTTCACGCCTGCTCTGCTGCCTTTATAATCCTACACAATTTATCAGGACTGAAGCTGTGGCCGCATAGATTTTGCCTCATTTTTACTTGTCTGTTTTCATTAGATATTATCATTTATAACAGGCTCATTATTGGCTAAAATATTGTTGATTGTGTCTGTAGTGTGCATTCTTTTTATATTTTCCAGCTAAGTGGTCCATTCAATGCCAAGGGTTGGTTATCAGCATTTAATTTCATTGGGCGATTGTTGGAAGCAGTCCCTAACATTGCCAATGTGCTTGTGACGCAGTATGGTAAGACAATTTACATCTTAAATTAAAAGACAGAGAATGTATTTACAATATGTTTTACTTGCTGAGAGGTAAAACCATAAATGTGTCACAAATAGATAATAGAAGACATATTTTTGAGTATTATTGCTGATTATCAAACATTGTTTACTTTTTAATGGCTTTTTATAATCTGACTTTTTTTTTTTTTTTGGCATTTTGGTTGAGGGGTGCTAGAGTGACTGTCCAAGATACCATGGAAGCTCAGCCCACCAATGATACATACATTAATCAGCATATTCATGGGTTTCAGTTCCTGTTATATGCAACATTTTGAGGACTTACAATAGATAAAATTGCTAATTGTCATGGCCCTAACTTTTCATCATTCTGAAACCCATGGATAGTTCCAAAAGCTATTCTCCAAAAGTTGTCTACAAATCTATGACATGCTCCACTCAGACTTTTCTCTGGCTTAAAATTCTCTCTGCATAACTAATTTCCATATTTCTTAGGAAACATATAAAAACACTGCCATGAGGTAAGTGCTTCTGTCTCTGCTACTCTACCACCTGCATGTTTTCTGCCTGCTTACTAAACCATTACTCTTTTGAATAATGGGTGCCATTAATCAATGTCATGTGGGTGTGTATTTAGGTGAGGTGTTGTAAGTTTGTGATAGTTATTTTACGTTGCTTTGTGTTCTCCCGCGTGTTCAATAGATTTTAGAGGCTTTTCTGGAATTGGCCAATGCAGTGCTGATTCAAGATGTGGGCCACCACTATTGACTGTGTGGCTCTGTCCATCGCTGTCAATCAACAACTCTCTATGGGGCTGTTTGGACTAATGACAACAGCAACACTTCACAACACAGCTTAAAGCACATGTCACATTCTGTCACATTCTGTCTTTGGCTCTCTACTGCTGAACTCACCTGAACCCATCTGGTTTTCTTTTGCTTATGACCCTTTCCTGCTTATTTTTGCTATTTTTTGTGTCTTGCATTTTAAAATTTAACTTTATTGTTTAAAATTGAGATGGTTACAAATAAGCTGCATGGAGGGAAGAAAATAAGAATAGGAAAATGCAGAAGTAACAGAGGAAAGAAAACAAAAAAACAAACAATACATTGGGCATTATGTCACTTAACCAGTCATGTTATCAGAATCTAAGTGACTGATATCACCATATCCCTTACCACTTTGTTTTTTCAAAGCATTTATGAAAAAAGGCATTCTAAAATGAAAAGCTTGATATTTTTGTCTTTGGTTCTTTGGTTTGAAAGATATTAATCCATATCAAAAGTCTGTGGAAATGGCTAGAAGAACCAGACAGAGAAAGTTTGAGTTAAGCTCGCTGAAGCAAAGCAGATCACAGATGAGAGTGCAGGATCACAGCGTCTGGCAGAATAGTAAACAAGGATATGAGCCATTGCTTTTCTCTGACACAAGAAAGCAAAATAAAATGGTTAAATCTGTTTTTCTTGTAGAGCCAAGGGAGGGGGTCCCTGTGCTTAAAAAATAGTGGTATTTTCCCCAGTTGTTTCTGCAGTCCTCTTATCCTCTGGTTCATCCCTAGCACCGTGTCTCTGCTCAGTGTCCCTGGCTCTCATCTTTGCCGCCTCATATATTTTGGTTTAATCAAACATGTCTGGGAGCTTCTGGGAGCTCACGTGGGGTTTTGATGTGGCTCACAAAGCAGCGAGGGCTGTTTCTGTCTGTACTCCATCATTTCATTTACTCTGTTTTATTTCTTCTGCCTCTCTTCTCAGCTGTCCTGACATTAACTGTTTACCTGTGTTTTCTCCACTGCACTTTGTTTTTCTCCCAAGTAATTTAGGCAATTTAAAACTGTCATAGTGTGGACAGCTCTTCCAAATAAAACATCAGCGCATGTCTTGTAGTTTGTTATTACTGAAGATATGTGTAATTATTTTCTCTTTCCTGTAGTGCCCTTGCTGGATCTCTTCTGCTCAACTCTGCTGTCTCCAGATGAAGAGCTGAAGGCTTCTATAATATTTGTGTGGATCAAGCTGTTTGGGACGACCGCTGCAGCTGTACCTGTCCCCATCAGGGACAAAATGTGTATTCTGCTTCTTCAAACCTTAACTTGTGCTCACTCCACTACACTCATCACCAATTGCACTGGTAAGAGTCAAGTCCTGTACAAAGTAACCACACTGTGCTCATAGCTTCATGGGATTTAATCTCCTGCTACTTGATCTCTATTTGTTATACATACAATTGAAACAGTGCTTTCTGAAACATTAACAAAATCAAGCAAGTTGCCAGGAGAATGAAATGTTGTTCTCTTGTTTTGTGCCTACGTAAGTATTATGTAGTATAAAGGATAAAAAGTCTAAATCCTGTGAATTTAGATTCAAGTGTTTGAAAAGCTGTTTAATGAGAAATATTGACGTTAATTAATCTGACTGAAACCATTTTGCACTGCTTTTTCAAGGCTTTCATAGAGTATTCATACTCATGATTGAAGGTATCAAATTAAATCTTCTCATCTTCTTTTCAAACAAACAGAGCCTTGAGTGTCATGGTTTGATTTGAGGGAACTTGAGCAGCTCACTTGAGAGGAGCATTGTCTTTTGTGGGGTTATAGTGCATTTTTCTTTATGTCATATGTGTTTTCTGTTCTCTCCCTTAAACATTCTACTTAGAGTTTAAGTCATTGGTTTGTCACCCTCTCAGGCTTGCTGTGGCTGCTGGTGCAGGTGGCAGCAGCAGTGTCTGTTCTGATGAGCAGTGCGTCTGGTCCGCTCATGTGTGAAGAGTCCCAAAGCAGCCAGAGCCCAGAGCAACAGCCCCTGGAGCACAGCCCTCTGCCTCTCATCCTGAAAAAGGTCTGTCCAAACATCCTGCTCCAATCAGCCACATGTGCGTTTGGACTCTGACGTTTATCATAACAACAAGTCCACAGCCTGCATTTTTGTGTCTTTGGGTGGGAATCACACAGGGCTTTTCACAGGATAAATATTAGTAATCCATGTCTGGGAAATCGATGTGAAGATTACAGACAGTTTGATTTTGTCCATAATAATTCACATTACACTGCAGCCTGTGAGGTTGGGGTCAAATGTGCCAAGTCCATTAATTAAATTATCATTATAGTTTCAATACGTATGTATGGATTCAAAGAAAAAAAAAGCTGATTTTTTATGGAAAATACTAAGATTTAGGATTGAATTTTAACTGGAACAATTCAATTCCATAATTATTCCTTCGTCACAAAATGTTGTACTTGAGCACAGCTGAATACATAGATGTAGACATAGCAAATGAGCAGATCTTTTCACACATATGAACAGAGACTGAAACAGAGAGTACATGCATTTGAAAACACACAGGCAATGAAATAGAATTAAGCTGTAGGCTGATTTTCCTTACAGAGAATTTTCCTTACAAGAATAGATTCACACTTTCAATTTAATAGAGAGTGTATCAGAGATGAGAGCTTCTTTTCATCTGCACTTCCATCTGCTGTGGGCCATGTTATGCTAATAGATCTCTTATATCTTATAGTGTATCTAAATAATGCCACCACCAAGCACACCATTGTTAGACAGTGTATGTGCCCCATTCTAATCAGATGTTTTTTTTTCCAGTTGCTGCTCAGTGGCGACGAGATGTTACAGGTGAGCAGCGTCAAGTGTATTGCATCTGTCCTGGTTCATTCTCCTCGTCAGTACAGCACTCCCTTCATTGAAGCGGATGTTCCCGGTATTTCACACACACACTGCCAAAGAACAGCCCTCGGTGGTTTGCTTACTAAGCAAGATTTTCATCCAAGTTCAATATTTTGTTTGATAGTAATTGATTTTTATGTTTTCTCATGCCTTTGTCCCTTGCAGAGTTTCTGTTTGACAGGCTTGCTAGTACTAAAAGTGAAAGTCTGCTGTGGTTCTCCTACACCTGTTTGAAGCTTTTGACTGAGGACTCACTGTTCTTCACCCAGTGCCATTCTGTCTATGGTATAGCAGATATTTACATTGAGCTGTCATACACATTCATCTATGGTTAGTTAAAATGATCAAGTTAGATTCTCAATGATCAAGTCAGATTTACTTTATATGTTATGAGATGGAGGTCTTCATATAGCACATTTACAACTTATGGCACCTTAACTGCTGTACAGTACAAATTAATAGAAAAAAGAAAAAACACAATTAATGTTAAAAGACACAAAAGGCAAGGCTGAATATTTAAAACAATAAAATAAAGATATACATACATAAAACAGCTCAACTTGTATAAAGCCAAACAAACGGGAGGCAGAGCATAAGCACAACATCTGAGCTTGAAGAAGTGCAGGTTAAAACACTATTTTTATTTTTAGGCTTTGGAGAAAAGCACTGGAAGCAAGTTCACTGCCAGATTGACTGCATCTTATTGTTAGATTGTAGATAAAATTAGACAAATAGCCTCAGTGCCACAAACGGAAACTAATTTGTTCTTCCCCTGTTTATTTTAGTTCTACTATTACAATGAATTATCTGTTCCTTGTACTGTCTGCGTTTCTGCAGCACCACAGTAATTGTTTAACAACACAATCAACTTAATTTCCTGGTAGCCAAGATGTTTTCCTGCTACAGTTTCTATTAAGTTCTGATTTAATTTAATAAGAACAAAGATTGGTTCACAGATGTGTTAAGTAGTGGAGTTGAAAGAGGTTGCACACCTTCTGATTGTCTTTGTATTATACTCTTATAATAATAATAATAAGCTTGTTGCATGATTTAATGTCATAAATGCTTAGAAAAATCAGAGTTTTTAAATTTTTTTAAGCAAAAAGGAAAAAAATGTAAACTTCTTTGTTTGAGGTATTGAATCTCTGGTGCGCAGTCTGAAGGAGGCTTTACGGCTGACCAACCTAGAAGTACCTAAACAGGGACTTGTTTTACTCGCTGACATACTGGAAAGGTGAGTGTGTATGATTTAATTTCAAATGATCAACTTACTTTATTGCAATAATTAACTATTAATTTCAGTTGAGATCTGTAAAATTTCTAGTGAATGGATTGCCACTTTCAGTCATTATGCAATTGCCAACAAATCCTTTTAAACAAGACCATCATTAAAACACACAAAATCACCTAGATCCAAGCCAAAAAGACATTTTTCTGTCTCTTTATTGTTGATGCCAAATGGGAGATCCCTGCCTTGCAGTTGGAGGAAGTGTATGTAATTACATGCAACCAAATGCTGTATTTCCAGGCTTTACTTATTTTGTCAGTTATTTTGTGAAAATGGAGAAATGATCACTGCATCTCAGTATAAGTTCCAGAGACAATATGAGTTTATGAGCAGATTGGCCAGTGTGCTCTAACGACCCTGAGTGGAGGTCTACAGTAAAACCTGTTAAATATGGTGCACACTTAATTAGATAAGAATGAACTGTCTCTGGCTAGCAGATGAGAATATATGACCAGTCACTAACACACTGTCATATTTCTGCAGGGTTGACATTATTTTAATTAAATGTTGAGCCTGTCACTTGGTGATGGTACAAGGGATAAGATATTTTAAATGGTGAGGTGATTGTCCTTTACACTGAGGAGAACTGTGAAGAGATTGGAAGTGCTGAATAAGCTCTTCTGGACCCAGCTCTAATAGGCCATTAAGGTGTCTCTTAAGTCTTTGCACTGTGTGGCCCTAGTCTGTCCCTTTATAGGCTACTGTTTTTCAAACTGTTCTACGTGGATATTGTTGTGTCAACAGTGACAGCAAGCAGTTGTGATGCTTTATCTTAAGCCAGAGTTAAACTTTAGAAGCTCAGCAGTCTAATTAGTTAGTGTCATATGCTCAGGTAGCCTGAGCCAGGTTACGCAATATGTTAGCTTTTACTGAATTGAATTGTCTGAACTGTGCTGATGTATTTACACTGGGACATTTTTTAACTGTTTGTATGTGTACATAGGCAGCCCCCAGAGGTGCGCCTCTTCCCTAGTCGCCCTGGCTTTGTTGCAGTGTGCGAGGCTTTGGAGGTTGGGGTGTCCTCCCCTTGTCTGCTAGTGTCCACACAGGCTGTGAAGGCCACCTGCATCCTGTTCAGGTATACAAAACATGCACAGGGTATAAACATTAGTTCTATAATGCCAAGGACACTAATGATGCCATAGCCACTTCTTGTTTTCTACTATTCTAAGTTTTTACTTTTTACAAGACAAAATGTTTGAATGTGTTTTTTCTATTCAGATACAACAAAATATCAATATAGAAATATAGATTACACTTGAGTATTTACAGTTTTTCTAATATATTTAAAAACAGGGTCATACTCACAATTGTAGTTCATCTAATGTCTAGCATCTGATGAGCTGAAATTGTGAGACATTTTCTCATTGTAACTCACTTAAATAAGTGAAAAATAAACCACATATGTAAAGATCTTCATTTGGATTCTTTTTACACAGAAAACAACACCAGTCACAACCGGTCCAGTTCAAGGAGATAACAGGACTGACAGAGAGCATCACCAAGAGATTTTCAGAACTGTCTTTCTCTTCACGCACACACCACCAAAACACTGTGACTGAAACTTTAATTTTCAAAAAACATTTTTGTTTTACTTTGAAACTAAATGCCAACTAGTATGATGTGGGATAAGATCTGATGTCTCTTTAATCCTTTAGGCCAGTCTGAAGAAATCCAGAATCCCCAGCCATGTTTCTATGTCCCATGTCTTCCTACTCCAGGCTTTGGTGTGTTTTCAGTCGGCTTGCAGGTTAGGCAAGGCACCAGCTTGGTTCTTAATGCGATTTATACCACTGTTAATGAGAATTCCAATGGCTAATTGACATGTGTTAATACTGCATAATGTACTAGTAGTCTTGCAACAGTTCAACAACAACAACATTTTATATCACTGCACTGTGTCCCTCATTCTCTGAGTAGAGCTTAATTTAAAACACAAAAATGACATTTACAGACAGTGAACAGGCTTTTCAGACTTACAGGTGAGACATTTCAGTTTGTAGCTGTGGTATAGCGTATTAAACAACTTGAAGCCATGTATTATGCTGTTTTAACACATCACTCCACTGAGCTTCATATGACTCTGTGTCATGCATTAAAACTGCATAACGCACGGCTCCTCGTTGTTTAATGCTTACGAGTCATATACTGTATTTTGCTCGTATCTTCATTTATAAGGTTGGCTGTGGAGTGTGCGTCAGAGCCGAGTTTAAGGGAAAATGCATTTACAGCTCCTTCAAAAACACAGCAAAATGAAGATTCCCTGGAGTCCCTGTGCCGGTGTATGCTGTGCTGTTGTGACTCTGTTTGGATACCCGCTGTCATCGTAAGAGATAATATCAACACACATATATGTACTCAGCTGCTTTGTTGTTTTCCTTATCTGTGCTCGTGAAAAAAAAACACTTGAGAAAAGCCTTTTGAAGCTACGTCCTGATCAAAAGCGTCTTCTCTGACCTTATCACACAATGTCCATTACGGCTGCAAAATAACTATTATTTTGTGTGTGTGTAGAAGGCAAGCCAGCATGGACCCAGTGCTCAGATACTGCAGCACTTCTACTCTGTACTGTCCTTTCAATTCTTCCTCCTTCCATCGTTCATGCCTGCCTTTGCGAGGAAGCTTGGTAAGTATTAAAAGAGTGTATAAAACAAAGAATAAACACATTTATTAAACCGCCACAAGCTGAATCTGTAATATTTGATTGTCTGAAAAGATTCGTCCAAATAGCTTTCTTTCGTGGTTCAATTGTGAGACATTCATTTACACACCAACTCCACTACTACTACTGATTGTTATCAACTCAAAATGATACCACAAGAATACAAAACAGTAAAATTAAGTTTATGCCCACAACACCACAGCCTGGGTAACAATTTGAGTAATGTTTATGATATGCTAGAAAGAGCGCTGGCGGTTTGTTTTGGGGAATTTTCAGTTGCGTTTTATTTTTATAAACCTTACAAAAACCTGATATTTTGAACAGAGAAACTTAATTATGTAAGAAAACCTGGGGCACTTTGTTGATATGGTGGCATTTAAACACAAACTGCTGAGGTTAAGCAGTTCACAGCTAAACACCTACATGAGGAGCTCAACGTTACATTGAGGTCTCATATTAAGTAATTTTTCTACATCAGCTTGATCATGATGGTGAAATAAAACTGGAATCCTCCTGCATAACATCTCAGTTTTTGTGCTCTCTCTTTCCCCTCGTCTCTCTTCTCTGTCTCTCGCTTCTCTCTCTTTCCCTTTTTTTATATTGTCCCTCTTCTTTCTCTCTCTCTCACCATCTTCCTATTCTATCTTTTTCTGTCTCTTTTCTTTCCTATTTTGTCTCTCTTCTCTCTCTACTTCCCTCTCTTTCTCTCTCTCTCTCACTCTCAACCTTTTCATGTAATTTCTTTCACTCCTCTCTCTCCCACTCCCTCTCTCCTTTTTCCTATTCTGTGTCTCTTCTCTCTCTCTCCCTCTTTCTCCCTCTTTCTCAGCATCCTCAGGTTTCCTCAAACTAGCGTTGGAGCACAAAGGGCTTCTCTGCACAGGAAACAGGTAGGGTGTTACAGCATGATGATTGCCCCAAAAGACACAAAGTTCACACTGCTCCTGCCTATAATAAGTAGGAATGTGTATAAATGTGGAGCTGGGGAAAGTATGTTCTCATTATCATTCTCTGTCAGACGGTGGGAGACCAAAGTCACATTCAGAAGCTTCGGTCGCACTTTGGTTATGTTATATTGTTAACATAGATGTACATAAGCCTACTTTGAGCAAATATCTGTAAATAAAAGTTAGGTGACAAAAATATTCAAGACACAGGGTTCCCACAGTCATGGAAGTCCTAGAAAAGTCATGTAAATTTAAAATGTCATTTTTCAGACCTGGAAAAGTCATGGAATTTTGGAATCTCTTTCATGCAACTACAGCGTTCTTTTAAGTTATCATTAAGCTATTCTGATTATTTCCAAACGTATGCACCTTTTTTTTAAAGAGACGACGATAAATGCATTGACAGTATTTTGAATGTTAAAAAACTATAATACCAAAACATAAGGTGAGTGGAAAGGGTTAACATTTCTTATTTAGCCCTAAAAGTATGATCAATTCTACACATGTAGGTGGCGTAAAGTCATGGAAAATTCACCTTAGGTCATGAAAAAGTCATGGAAAAGTGTAGAAATTTTGTCAGTGAAAAAGAGTCCTGAGATCCTGAAGACAAGAAATAATATAATATGCACTAGACTAGGTTTTTTACATCTATACTATCAGTAAATTGGATAGCCGAGTTAAGAGAGTATTTCTTTGTTTTACAAATGGAAAATTCTGATCAACGTCTCTACCCAAATAGGTGACTTACTCTTTGATGTTTTTTTTTTATGTATTTCATTAACACTGTAGGAGACCTCCTGAATTGTTTATTTTGCTTTCTTTGTTCTACTTTCAGGAACCCAAATCTTAACGCATCTTGCTGCGAGTTTCTGCTCAGGCTCAGTATGTGTCTTTACAAACAGTCTGACCAAGACCAGCTCGGTAAATGTACACTTACACTGCACTTCCACTCTCATCAGCATCCTTTCATTATTGACTTTTACTGTCATAATAGCTCATCCTGCTTGCAGAGTTGTTGTTTTTTTTTTCTCATTTTGACCAACTACATTTTCAGTTTCATCATTCTTTACTGAATTCCTTCACAAAATTGTATTGAAAGCTAGTTTGTGTTTGTGAGTGATGGCTTTTGCAGAACAAAATTCCTGTGTTATTCTTTCATCAACCTTGTGTCATTCAGCTTCATTATACACCCTCTGCCTTCAGTCTTTTAATTTTGTTTTGTTTTTTCCTTCAACAATCTACTCTACATTTCCCTCTGTAATATTTTTATCATAAACTGAAAAAGTGTATTCAGAGCCAACAGTCTGCTCTCCAAATCCACTCCCATCTGTTGTTTGCTTCATTTTATTTTTGTCCACTGATGTCTCTTTTACTTCAGACGTGCTTCTGTAATATTTTGCTAATTTTACAAGTTTCATTTTTTTGTACTTGTTGCATATTTTTATGTCAGACATAACAAATGAAGGTACAAATTAATGTAGTCAATGTATGCTGTATGTATCTATTACAATGAATAATTAATAACTCAGCTCTGGCCTTATACTTGTCACGTATCGCTGCATCTCAAAATACCTTTGAGTCATTCTAGTTTTGCTCTGTACCAGCTCTGCCTTGAATCAGTCATGAACAAGATGCTGCTGCTTTCTTGTTTGCCCTCTGTAACTTTGACTCTACCCTATATAGTTTCTTGCCCTTTTCTGTTTCATTTTCCACAGCCCCCCAAAGACCACCCACAGAAGGGGGCGACCTTCTTGTGCAGCTATTGCCATTGTTTTTCTGTTTGTCATTTCAGACGGTTTCCATTGTCCTCGTTCAGCTTTTTCATCCCCCTATTCTGTTTAAGATCTTCCTGTTATTCATTTTTATTTTATATGTATGATGTATTATGAATAATTGCCATTCCTTATAAACCCCCACCACTATAGCACATGCATGTTCTTACCATGTTTTTACATAATCATTATTTTTAACTCGAAAGAGAACTCATTTAGCAGCCTTTACTGTTACTGGATTACCAGTATACCTCATGAAAATATACATATATACCTTGATGTGAGCATTAAGAATGAATGTATATGTAAGTTTGTGGAATTTTGTTCTCATTTTACATGCTTTTTATAAACCCTCTGGAAAGTTTGTTAATAAGAGTTAAGGTCAAAAGATTTCCTCCACACGCTGCCCTAATTTTCTGTTTGGTTGCAATGAAAGCTCACATTAAATTATCTCGCTTCTTCCGGCAGAGGCCGAGGAGGTGGAGAACATTCTGCTGTACCATCTCCCCGCTCTGTCTTGTCCTCTGTCTGATTGGCCGTCTCTGCTGCGCGAGGCCCCTGGGCTTCAGCTGTGTGACTACAAAGGTCAAAGGGCAACTCAGTACTGTGTGCTGGTGCTGCTCCAGTTGGCTTTTCAACAAGGTGACAGGTAAAAGAATACTGTAAACTTAAGTATAGGCCATTAGTTTAAAGTTTTACACCATTTATAATGGAGAACATGGTAAATAAAGAATATTATTGGGACTTGCAGACTACAAACTCAATGTGTTATTGACTAATCAGAGAACAACTGTAAAAGTAAGGAGTGCCATAAAAACATTATGCAGTTTTCATCCTCAGCTTTGCTTTGAGGTTAAAAGCAATCCATGTTTCTACATTATTTAGGAGCAGACTAGATGACACCCAATAAGAGCTATGCTCTGCAGGAAAGGCAATTAGTACAATGTTCTGTCCAACTCTCTGCTGCCTCCAGTTTTCCCTTAAGTGTGCTTAGTATTTAGAACAAGCTTCTTCCTTTTTCTTATGCTGTGGGCTTTCAGTATTAGTATTTAGGGTAAGGAAGGAATACTACCATAGCATATTTATGTTTTGTTTTCATGACATCCCTGAAGATTATTGACTTTTTGTAGATTGCATATTTTATAACTGGAGAGAGTTCCTGTGTTATAGTTGAATTTGCTCATTACCTCCCTGGGTGAATAAAATAAAACTCTCCATGCTTTGTGCTGTGAAGCAACAATTATAGATTTACATTATGTAGGAGGCTTAAGTGTACTTTAGTGATCAGAATTTTAATTATCAACAACAACTCTTTACTCACTGGTCACATAATTAGATAGACATTTTTAAAAGCAAATATGGATTCAACAAATGACATTTCAGTGTATCATTCAGATTTACTGGAACACTGGCTATTGAAATGCAATCCACACACAATTTAGCATAGGAACAAAAATAATATTGGAATGAAAAATGAGCAAAGTGGAATGTTTGTGAGAGACAGATGAACTTGTCTCAAACTGTCGCTGTGATGGGAATTTCATGATAAATGATCTCTTGAGATTTAGGGAATGCTCTAAAAACAGAAAATATGCAGAGGGCTGCAGCACTGTGATGTCAGAGGTTAAATGAAATTGTCAGAAAAGGTCTCTATGATGGAAGGTCAGTGTAAGTTTATAGCTTCTCGTATAGAAATACACCTCATACATAACATCATGGCCAACCTTTTTGGAGAGGCACCATCAAAAGTGTGTCTATCTGTGGCCAGTAAACGACTGAAACTGTCTGTTGTCTTGTTATTGTGTAATCATGCACTATTGCAGACTCCTTCCAGACCAGACTGTGTTCACTAGTGTGGTGTGGCTGCTGCACTCAGTTCAGGAGCAGGGCAGTTGTGTCCTTCCTCATTTTGTGCTCCGCTCTGCCCTCTACCTGCTGTCAGTGACACAAGACAAAAGCCCCAGCCTTAATAAGGTGAGGATTCAGTCTTAACCCAAACAATGCATAGTCAGAGGAAGTGTAAAATACTGAGTTACAATTATATATTTTAGAGAACAAAATATGGGGTAATTTTTGTGACATTTGACATTGGAATTTCTCTGAGACATTTGAAATTACTTTTTTAACTACTACAATTAAACCATGAAATAAACTGGAAAATCCTGTAAATAATATATAATATATTTTTTCTATGTACAATATTTTACTTATTCACCTTTTTTCAAAGGCTCAATTGAACTGCCTCAACAAAGCCCTCTCATCCTGCCAAACACTCTCCTCCGTGTACATTCACCACCCACCTCTGCTGCACTTCATCTGCCTCTACTCTGAGTTAGCAGAACGATTCAGAGCAGAGGTCTTAGAGCTGTGGCTAACCAGGAAAGCTTCACATTCAGATTTAAATAGGGTAAGATAGCATTTATTTAAAAGACCAATAAATCACTTCATAGATAATTTTGCAGTTCTAAGCTCTGCTGAGTATGCTCAGCTACAAAGTGTACAACAGTGTCTGGTAAAGGAACAATGTATTTGTTTTTATTACACAATTTAATGAAGGTTTCTTTATATTATAATGTGAATGTGTATATTATGCTGCCCTGTGTATACACAATGCAATTAAAAAGGTATGCCAATGTTACTATGTGAATAACTCTTACAGCAGTTACAGGAAGACAGTAGAGAAAAACAGCATGGTGAAGAAGACAATGAACCCGAAATAACAGAGCTCCTAACGTTGATAGAAAAGTACCCCGCTGTTGCTGCTACCCTCCTGGTGCGAGCCCTGAAATCAAAACAAACAACACTCACTCTCATATATATTATTGTTTTTTTGTTTTGTGCTTGTACACTGTATTTTGTCTCTGGTTCCAGGAGATGGTGTGCACCAGAGAGACTGGTCTGGCAAAGAGAGCCCTGAAAGTGTTAGAAGTCTTTCTGAGCAGCCACACACATTACAAAGCAGAACTGTGCACTAATCTAGGGCCAGCATTGCTCCAAGTTTTCCAGAAGCTCAGTTTTGAGGAGGTAGGACATGAGCTTGGACAAGGAAACATCACACAGGGTAAGACACTTGAAATACAACTTTTTACTATTTAGTGCAGTGCAAAAATGTGTATAATTTCAGTTAAATCCAATGTTAAATGTTGTGGACTGATGAATCGATTAAACAAAATCTATTATTGTCAACATCAACAAAAACAGCATGCAGTCTTACTTACAAATTATCCAAAACCTCTCATTCACAAAAAAAAGATCACAAACATTCATTTTATAGCTGTCTTGCTTTTGTGTAGTTTCAAGTACTAGAAGGTAAATGGGTGAGGGGGTTGTGATCGTTTGGCAGTTGACCAGATAGTATTTCCTGAGTGGATATTTGGCCAGGGTAATGAGCCTGGTTAAGGGGTATATCACTGATGTGGCCTCTGGGAATGTGGTTAGCCTCTGTTTGCATTCTGCTCATTTTAAGGCAAATGGGAATATTTACTTTTCTTTTGACTTGAGTTCAATATAATTTGCATTCATATATGTTTTATAATTGCCTCTAATGATTTGCCTTTTCCAATGGGAGTTGTTTAAATATTCAGCGAGATACCTACTATTTATTAGCTATTGAACTTCCCACCTTTTTCCTTGTTTTATCTTTCTGGCAATAAACACATAGGTCCATTGATCTTTTTCTCCACATATAACTGCAACCATTTTGGTAGTCACCGCATGTTAAGCTTGCTTTCCTATTCAAGTCCCATGTTTGACAGGTTGAGTGATGTTGTTTATTTTGGTTTGGGCTAAAAAATCCCAGGGAACATCAGTATTCCGTGCCGGGAGTAATGAGGCCAGGTGAAATGTTGTTCAGGGTAAGTGTCAGGCTGCAGATCCGCATGACACTTTCCCCTGTTTTTGTACACAGACAAATGTTGGGTACACCTGCATTCTGATTTTGTTATCGCTCTGTCCATCTCTGAGGGTTAACCCTGAAATGTTTTTTGGCTGAGCAGTCAGGTCCCTCCCACTGGTGCTGAGGCTGCTGTGTATGACCCAAGCCAGTGAGCCACTATCATCTGTTTCCTGTAGTAAGATGGATGGAGGGAGTTTTAAGCTGCTTTACCATGGTGAGACCAGAAAAATATAGCTCTCTACAATTACAGCAATAGGCCTGTTCATAAAGACTCACTCTTAATGCCAGATATTAATGCAGAACATAGTGATCACTCTCTCAAGGTGAGCGATTTAAAAGGCATCAAGTGTGCACAAAAAGTCAGACTGACAGTAGGTGGGAGACACAGTAAAATGGAAGATCACATTCACTGTACCATGAACCATTTTAAAAGTAGGGCATGTACGCTTATTAGGTTAAAAAATGAACTACAGTCACAGTGGAATTTAGATTTCCAGTGATTTAATTCGCAAATAGTGGACAATAAATAAACGTTTTGGTCATTCTCAGTTTGAATCAGACCTCATGTGAAAGCTCCAGACCTCCAAAATTCACTCACTTTTATCAGGTAAACTCACATATATACGTCTTTTGGCAGGCCATGACCTAAGATTCATTGATATTATTTGCTCAGTAATTGTTGGTGCTCAAAACAGGCTACTGTGAGAATGTCTGGTAGATTATAATGTCATTGAAATGCCAGACAAATTCCTTGACGCTGCTGTCTTCGCTGAATTTTACAATTTTAATATCCTCCGTAAACCCATTTTATCTCACGGTTAAGTAGGTCGCCCGTACTTGTCAGTCACTTTATGTATCCTGTGGTGATGTGTGTGACAGGTGGAAAATGAAAACACTCATTTTCATTTGATCTGTCCTTCATGTTGAATAATGTTATTTGTGGAGATGGATGTATCAAACTGTGACAGTGATTGTGTTTGTTTTTGTCAGTAAGTAATTTAACAGGAAAACTCAAATCTGATAATATGGAGAGTCTGCAGCTTTCCTTCAGATACCTGCACAGCTACCTCAGTCTGTCTGCTGCATCTAGTACTGACAGAGGTAAGACATGGACCTTAGCGCAGTGTACAATGAATGTCATATTTTACATCACATTTACATTTACAGTGCAGACAGTTCTCTTATTCTGTGGTTGACATTTAAACTTTACACAGATGGGTGCTTTGAGCATTGAATAACAGTCTGAGCTGACAACTGGATATATAGAGAAAGAATTATTACTACTTCTAATACTGCGATACTGTGATGATGTACAAATATTAGGAATGTAACAATAACTGAAATACTGTGATATTGTATCGTCTAAGTTCTCACAATAATATCGTGGACATCACAATATCGAATTACAAGTCTCTTTGCTTAAATTAAGAGTTATGGTGTAGCAATAGCTAAAAAAAGACAGAGGGAACTACATAGACCATGATCCTTTGCTCCCTTTCAGTGTGGACTACATGAAGAAATAATAGTTCTAAGCACTTTTAAGTCTTTGTTCTTTGAATTTTAAGAGGAAAAAGTAGCATATTAACAGTTTTATCTGTTTAGCGTCCACAAAATATTGCAATAAATATCATACTGTGAGATGTATATTGTGAAAATATCGTACTGAGAGATTTGGATATTGTTACATCCCTTATCTTGAACCTCCCTGCCATATCATGAGCTTTCCCACGATATCGCTATAAATATCGTACCGCGAGGTTCATACCGTGATGATATCGTATCATGAGACTTGGATATCGTTACACCCCTAACAAATATTAATAAAAATTGTAACTGATGAATAAGGAAATGCACGCAAGCAGTAACTTTAGCACTACAGCACAAGATTAAAAAGCCACAGCAAGGATAGAAACCAAAACTTTGATTTGAAAAAGAAGTTATTCTAGTTCTTAATGAAATCCTCCAAGAAAAAAAAAACATCATAAAAATTATCATATTCTTCTAGCTACCCTTGGTGACCACACAATCTTTTGCTTTCTTCATGTTTCCCATTTGGTTACAAAAGATCTTATAAAAGCTTCCACTGCAACAAATGATCTTCATGTGATTAGTTATGAATAAAACCATGGCCAAATGAGAAGGAATTGAAGTGAAGCTCATTAGACTACCATTTGTGCCATGTTTTAGCTGCAGCCAATGTGTAATAACCATCTGTGCCATTATTATTTGCTGCTGCCGAAATATCCCAGTTAATATGACTCGATCCAGACTGTTATAGGTAATTCATATATAAGCCCACGGGGTTTGAAACAGCTGCCATGAAACTTATCTAACTATATATATATATATTTATAATCAGTAAAATGGGTATGATCAACTTGTTATTTATAACGATCAAGTGTGTTTGGGCAAGTGTTTGGGTAAATTGTATGTGTTCTGGCTCAGGCAAAGGTTAGAAGGACTTTTATCTGATATGTTCCTCTATTTTAAAGGATTCAAATCTTTAGTTTAGAGGGCAAAGGAACACAACAATGCAGTGCGGTATTTAAGGTTACAAAAGTATCAAAAATCTAATACTAATACTAATCAACACTCAAAGTAGTATTCAACAAGTTTTGATAATAAAAAAACAAATCAACAAAATGAAATCAATGGGACAGAAATTAGGCTTTTCTGATTTGCTTTAGAATGATCTTGAGCTGTGTCAGAATCATAACAACATATATCTGGATGACTAAGATAAGACCTCATGGTAATATAAAAGAAAGTACCATTTAATATTGAAAAAGACACTCTACCAGAGGTGGGGACTTGCAAGTCATGACTTGGACTTGAGTCAGACTTGAGTCTTGATCTTTAGGACTTGAGACTTGACTTGATAAAACAGACTAAGACTTGGGACTCGACTTGGACTTGAAGCTCAGTGACATGGGACTTGACTTGGACTTGAGTCCTGTGACTTGAGAAGACTTGATGCTTCTCTTAAAAAATATATGTTTTTAGAAAATACTTTTATTTTTACAGTTGATAAATGCGGTGTTGAATTTTACACAAACAAACTGGAACATGTCCCTCCCACTTTTCTATTTGTTATTGTGGAAGGGACTGAAGTACTGTGATATGGTATCCTCAAATGTACTACAGTAAAATATAGTACATTACAGTAAAACAGAGGGAACTACACAGAACACGATCCATCCATTTCAGTGCAACTACATGACAAAATAACTGTTTTTAATCACTCTTAAATCTGAATTATTTCTGTTCTGATCATAATAATTCAGACTAAGATCTTGTCTTGTATTTCTACAACTCTTACATAAATACTCATATATAAATATACCATGACTTAAAATTCATATAAATTGCAAAAATCTAAGCAATATTTGGTGCTTTGGTTTAAAGATTTGAAATGACTTGAAGCTCAAAGCAGACGATTTGGACTCGACTTGGATTTATGGGCCAGTGACTCGAGACTCGACTTGGACTTGCCTGTATTTGACTTGGGACTTGACTTGGGACTTGACTCGGACTTGACAACGACTTTGTCCCACCTCTGCATTCTCCTGTAATAAAGACTGTTTTTTTTTATTATGGTTGTGGTATCAAAATCAGTACTGAATACCTTAGTAACGAAATTGAGATTGAAATTTTATTATTGTGACAACACTAGCCCTATTACCAAAAGAAATTCTAGTTTTCATTTGAGTGTAAATCCTTCTAAATGTCATGTTGTACTTGCTTTTCCCAGCTGTCTCTATGCTGCTGTCCAACATTGCACTGATGGAGCTTTTGCAGACCATCATCTCCTCCTCTCCTTCCCCAGCTTCAGCAGCCCTTCTGTGCAGCAGCCACCTCCTCCTGTCCTCTCTCATTACTTTGCAGAATCTACACTCTGCTAAGGTACTCACCGCAGTCCAGCTTTTCTTTTATCACAACATGTGCAGAATCAAGGTCAAAAAGCAAGGTTTGATCTATTTCCTGATGTTGTAACAGTCAAAAAAATGATATATTTATAAGGAAAGTCATCAAGTCCATTTGAGATAAATACACTTTGAGGCTGCAGTTCCTTTGAAATCCTTTCATTAAGCCTTCTTGTTTCTTGTCTTTTATATTTTAAGGTCCATAAAAGCATCAGTTGGAGTTTGGACAAAGCCATGCAACTGCTAGTTTTTCCGAAAAAGAACTTTGACAGTCTCTTGCTGGGTAACTAAAGCAACATTTGTGCTATGTCTGATTTTCTAAAACATAAAAGACAGTAGAGTCAGTTTTATTAGGCTGCAAATGTGGATACTCTTAGGGTTAAAACCAAACCGTGTGCTCGATTTAGACCCACTTTCATTACCTTTCACACACGAATCGTCCTGCCGTTCTTGTGTCTCTGTCTGTCAGCCAGATAAGTGGGCTGTCGGGCTCCATGTGATGCATCGCCTCTTCCCTCTATCCTTCCATTCATCCCTCCCTGTCGCTCTCTGCCCCCTACACGACCACTAATTGAGAGCTCCCTCCCCAGAGAGCTCTAATCTGAAAAAGCTTGGTCTAAGTGTAGTTTAGACGGCGGCCTCAGATCACACTATACTTTACGTCTTATTTGGCGGAGTGTGTCTCTTACTCGCTGTCCATCACTTAGCTGTGTTTTTCAGACATATTTCTAGCTCTGCCTTTTACCACCCTGCATTAGCTTTATTATACCCCATCAATCTTAACTGACTTGCTCGCACTCACCCTTCTCCACAAACAGCTCTATACATTAAAAAGGTGTGTAAAGCATATGTTAGGATTTAATTCTCTTAGTTAGTTCCTCTCCATTTAAATTATTATTACATATACACAGATTTTTTTATTTTGAACAAAGACTTTTGATGAGTAATAATGAGTACCACACTTATATGTGAAATTGTAGCCTAACATCTTTCCGCAGTCGTCTAGTGATACTTGTGTCTTTCTCCACAGTGAGCTACCTGAGGCTGCTGCAGGCGCTTCTTGATGTGGATTTTGCGTCTCCATTGCTGTGTGTTGGCACTGCTCCCTGCCTAGTGGGCCCCAGACCTCTTGGGGCTGAGGACGGCGCTTTGTACCCACTAGGGTCAAAAGGAGCCCAGTTCCTCTCCATGGCTCTCTACGAACTACTTCTACAGGTTGTGATGTCTCTCTAAGCAGGGTCACACACCACATCAAAGTGTCCATGCACCGAAAGTAACTCATCAAACAAAACTGCAAACAAGCACCTAATTAGACACCATCCATGTGGGCATTACAGGGAAAAAAATTGTAATATTTTACTCGGTACAAATGTTAGTAATCCGCCTTACAGTGCATTTTTAACCTGGATTGAAGTGGTGGGTTTTTAGTTTTTCTTCGTACAAACTGGCTTAAATCACCACGATATCAGCAGCGGTGAAATGCCATCGTTACGGTTCCGAAAATTGGGATGGGCCCGGAGCTGCCCCCACGTAGACTGTCAGGTAACCGTGGGCGAAAGAGCCCAGCACAGGGCTAATCGCAGCTGATGCCCGATCACACTTTGTGGACACCCTGCTCCGCGGGCTCGGGGCTCTCTCAGGGACAGTCCTAGATTCTAAATCCTAGTCCAAGATTAGCCCTGGTTTAGGCCTGGTTTAGACCTGGTTTAGTCCTGGTTTAGACCTATTTTAGTCCTGGTTTAGTCCTGGTTCAGTTCTGGTTTAGTCCTGGTTCAGTCCTGGTTCAGGTCTGGTTTAGTCCTGGTTCAGTCCTGGTTCAGGTCTGGTTTAGTCCTCAGCGAGAGTTATTTTAGTGAGAGTAACTTAAACATAATGCAGTAGTCGTGTAATGCCTTACATTTTAAATGCAGTAATACTGTAATGTAACGAAATAACTTTGAAATGACAGTAACAAGTAATAAATTACATTACAGTTTTGAAGTAACTTACCCAACAGTGAACGCCATGATTTGACACCATGGTTGAAGCTGAAAAGTTTACCTGCAGTGTGATGAAATGGGGTTTACTGGTTCATAACAATGTATCAATAAGTCACTTCAAACTACTACCATCAAAATTATCTATAATCTATAGAGAGTGAAGAAAACAGATGAGATCAGGCAGAGATAAGAGATGCTCCAGCCTGTGTCGGAGACTGTAGTGCTGAACTAAGCTTTACTATTATGGTTCAGCACATTTTGTCATCAGGAAGTTGATTTAAGAAATGTTTTTCTCTTGGATGTATTTGGCTCTGTGTTCCCTTTGGTGCCCTAGCTTGGCAGCTGAAAAACACTACTGGATTGGAGCACCTTATTTTTATTCTCATTCTTTTCTCTCTTTGCTTTACCAGTGGAGCTCACTTACTCTAGCCCTTTATCCCAACTTTTAGATCCTCTTTTCCACTCAAGGATTACACTACAACTCTCCCTAGTCTCCTCTATATCCGCCTGGCCTACTTCAGTATTTTTGGACACACAACATAGCGCACCGCTCACTGCCAGCCTCACTTCTGTGCAAGAGGCATACATTATTAAACCCTTATTTAGTTACTCTCTCTGGTATTCCCCTGGTTCTTTTTATTTCCTGACTGCATTTTTACAGACACCAAACATGTCCAGGAGTGTATGCATTTTTCTGTTGTCTTTTATTTGTAGTAGATTTGTGTTTAATGAGAAAAATTAAAGCCTTTGTCTAATACTAACATGCATGTTTCAGAAACATGAGGTCTTGCTTGGAGCCTCAGTGAACTGCCTGAGCTCCCTTTTGGGATTCCTAAAGAGAAAAAAAACCCACTACAGGTATAGTCTACACATACCAATAAGAGAAATAAAAAACAGTTCTATGCAATCCCTTACAAGAATGTAAGTATAGTTATTTTTACCACACCAGAAGGATGGTTGGTTCCAAGAGAGCCTTTTTGAAAAGTGTTGTTGGATTTTGTCATACAACATTGTCTTTGAATATGTGGCTTCCAAGTTTGCTTTCAGACAGAGGTTTCTAGCTCTTGTAGCAATTTTACTTTAAAGTTAGTTACAGTAAGCTCCCTGAAACATTATGAATCTTAGTGTGTATCAGCCCTCAAATTCACAATTGGCTATTTTAGGTTAATGGTAAAATATATGTTGAATATCAAAATACTAGAAAACTAGTGTATTTTTTCAGATGTTATTTTTTTTTGTTCATTAGCTCGACATGTTGTGTGCCAGCCCTGGTGTCGTTTCTTGCTCTTCTGCCTGCTTGGCTCTGAACAAAGCAGCCTCCTGCATCCTGCCACTCTCCAACTGATCACTCTGGTGAGATGCACACATTACTAAAAAAAAAAAAATACTTAGTTTTACCAACCCCACCCTTGGTATATTTTATTTACAGTCATTGAATGCTCGTGTGGGATTGGTGCAAACTAACCACTGCATTGTTATGAGCCCATTGCTCTATTTTCCATAAACTTATTTTTTTCTCTGTAGTTGTTTGGAGTCTACTTAAAGAAAGATAATTAAAAAATATTTGTATGCATGCTGTGTTTTTTCCAGTTGCTGAGACACAGCAGCACAGCGGTACTGTGGGAGCCTGACCTGCTCAAAGTGATGGAGGTTGTGGAGAAAGTAGGAGTGAAGGAGCTCGGCCAGGAAGCAGCAGAAGCCCTCAGGCTGCTCCTCACACAGGTACACAAAGCTTTCATGAAGGACAGAGCATCACACAACACAAGAATAACTCAGGAGCAGTGATAAAAATACAAAATATTCACGTTGCTGACTCTACACCATTTACATCGTGCTAAAACTATGATCGACTGGGTGGCCCAGATAAGCATTGAAATTTAAAAATGAATGCAAATGCCTCAGGCATCAAGAATAGCTCTGAAATTTCCAGTGCTAATGTCCCAATACTGTAGGCTTTAGGGAGATGGTTGGTTGGAAAATAAGTAGGTTTTGTTTTTTTTTTGTTTTTTTTTCTGTATATTTCTATATCTAGCCATATATACTTTGTGTACATTAGCACTAGGATAGTCGTAAAAGCCTCATCGAGTGGCCTCAGATCAAACTAGACAAAGGGTTCTGAGCAGTACATTCAAGTGAGCCAGTGTTGGGAGCCTTTAGCTAATCACAGGTCTTTTCAGTGAGGGAGATATAAATCCAGCCACAGTGACAGCTGTGATGAACAGTTACTGTCAGGGCTGTGCCAGATATGTCTTTACTGCACTGTCTATACTTTCTGCTCAAGAGTCTTGGCATTTCCTCAAACCAATGTAATTGAACCATTTTTTGGGAGTTTCACTGCCAAACCAAACAATTTGAATATGTTGGTGTTTGTTTCTTAATCAGTTCTTACAGCTGTAACCAAAGGGCCAGATTATAACTCTTATAAGGTGGTTTCTTTTGTCTTCTGACACTACTGTCCTTGAAGCCAGTATGGAGATTGCCTGCAATCATACGTCTCTTTGGTATTATGTGCATCAGGTCCTGGTAGCATAAGTACAAGTATAAGGACGTTTGTCTTCAGTGTCAAAATCACTTTTCAGGTTAAACGTAACAAGTTTGGTTATTCAGTTGCTTTAAGGTATATGCTTCCAGTTCAGCTGAATTTAGTTTTTGTGCCCTAATTCGTAAATGTTACTACAAGTCAATTCAAAGGCAAAGCCTTCTAGATGTGTTATTATCCAAGCTTGTATGCTTGTATTGTTAGATGAAGAGAGCCTATGCTGAGGATTTTTAGTGGATTGTTACCTTCCCAGTATGAGCATAAATAAGATCTGAGACACAGAAGCAGCCGCAGCCACATCCCATTGTGTAACTGGGATTTGGCATCATATTGGACCAGAAATGTGTTTAGTATTCTGAAAGTAGCTCAGAATCAGAGAGGTGACAGAATGATGGCACACTCTGCAGCTCCCGGCACGGTGTGCCAGGCTCATACACACACGGCTCTTTGCACATCTTTCTGTCAGCGTGAGCGAGTAGCCCAGAATGTGTAGAGACATGAGACAGTTTAGGGAAGGCAGGGTTTAATATGACAAACATACTTCTTACACTGGCTGGAAATGGTCGGGGCCTCTCACTTTTGTCAGTGCCCCCCATGTAAGACTCTTTTACTGTCATGTTACTTTTATATAGGTGTATGATTTTTAGTGGCGCTTTGCTGAACATTGAACAATGTTAACATAGTCTGCTAAATATTATTCAGTCAGGACTAAATTTAAACCTTGAACACTGTGAAAAATAAACCAAATTTTGGGGGGCAAATTAGAGGTAAATGAGTGCTTCAGTGGATAAAAAATATTTGGCCACATTAACTTAATTTTCATAACCAGGGTAGAAAATTCAGAAAAAACTACACTCACAACTGAGGAACATACCAAAAATATATTTATTACTACTACTTGGAAATATTTGCCTTTTTATACATTATCTATGCTGAAATTATAACTATTCTGTGATGTTCATGCAGTAGGTCGCTACTAGGACTTATTTCTTTCTTTAGCTCTTTCAGTGCAAAGGTCTTTGACAAAAACAAATATACACGGGTCTGTTAAACAAATTTGACTTTTAGACATTCAGTTTGATTGTTGTTATATCACTGAGTCAGAAGGTAGATTGAACTTCTTGGTGAGTAATAGCACTGGATTTTGTGCTTGTATTAACTTTTGGTGAAAAAGGTGTTGAGCAGCAGGTCTGCAGGGGACAGTGAGAAGTGAAAGATGACAGTACTGAAAGATAACAACAGGAGCAAGGCACATTGGCTGGTCTGAAATTTCCAGCTCTTGGACAGAGATACCTGAATAAAAGTACAAAGATAAAGCAGTGAGTAAGACACTCAGCAGTATAGCACACTTTGGTAATTAACACCATTGTGTTTTCTTCCCTATTATGTATTATATGTAGTATAGTATAGTATAGTATAGTATAGTATAGTATAGTATAGTATAGTATAGTATAGTATAGAGCTCTGTGTAAAAGCCCTATAGTCATCTTGAGATTGACACTCTAGAGGATATCTGTAGGGTTTTGTCCTTCAGATCTCCATAGACCTTCTTGAGTCAACATGACCTTTATCATAGCCTTCTCTATCTCTTTCTATTGTGATCCCTTTTCCTTTCTCCTCACTGTTGTGGATATTTTTCTCACTGTGAAATATTTCTAAAATGGCTCATTCTATTGCAGACAATTGACAGGATTTGTTGGAATTCTTTACAAATACCGTTAGATTGGCATTTGGGGAGTGCACATGTTTAAAATCTTGGATTTAAGTTCACTCTCAGAGTGTACACGGTTCATGATTCTTGTGAATTGTATTATTCTCTCATTATTCTCTCATTGCATACAAGTACACTCAATTGCATACAAGTACACTCAAATTAGAGAGTACATTTTTTTCATGCTTGGTAATGCTGTGCTTAGTAAATCCCTTTTAAGTAAGTATTTTTTTATTTGGTTCTTCAGTGCAATGCAGTTTTTGGACAGCAAAAACATTCACATTGTGGCATGCTAACCTGTTGCTTAATATTGGTGAAGTGTCAATGCAGTTCTTGGCCTTTGTTTTGTTATTTTGATTATCATTTGTATTGTTGCACAAACCTCATCCTCCATCTGCCTCAAACTATGTCTTGTTCTTGTTCTTGCAGATCCTGCAAAGCACATTGCACCCACCTCCTACAGAGCAGGACAAGCTACGAGTGAGAAGCATCCTGGAGTCCCTCGGCCCACAGACAACAGACAACATCCAGTATCCTTCAGTGGAAGTCCAGTCACACGTTTAGGCACACAGCGTCTGCCTGTAGGACCACTTAGATACATGGTTTCCCTATGAAACAACCTATAAACTATTGATTCTGCTTTGTCTGCATTTCATAATTTTTTGTGCTATCACTCTTTAGTTGACAGCATTCAGGGCATACACGGAGTACATGAGGTTTGAGTAGCTCATTTGATATCACCTTCCTGTAATTATAATTATAAATGTATTATTATTTGTATTAGTAGTAGTAGCATTAGTAATAGTAGTAGTAGTAGTAGTAGTGTGTCGTTGTATTATTCCTTTAATATGTGTAACATGATTTAACTTGTAACTAACTTGATTTATTTCCAACTCTAATGTTCACTATGATTTTAAATATTGTTAATAAAATAAAGAAAATATTGAAAGCGTTTGAAAATTATAACTGAATTTATTATCATTATTATTATTTTTATTGTACTAGCATTAAGAGCATAAAATGTAATGTAAAATGACTGGGTGTGGATGAAGCGGAACGCACGCACCCTGCGCTCCGGCTGTGTCCACCGCTAAACGCTCCGTGCAGAAACCTTCCTCCCGTGTGTTGATTACTCGCTCGCTGTCATTCGTTCAGAGCGAGCCCGCCGGTGTGATCGTGGCAGTAGTGGAGTGGAGCAGTGAGAGCTGTATGTAAATGAACACCTTCACCTCGGTCCTGTTGTCAGCTGAGGGTCTCGGAGGGACAAAGTGACTGTCCCGGTCACGCGCATCGCCACGCTGACCTCGAAACGATTCGCGTGGAGGTAGAAGCTGTGAGGAGAGGAGAGAGGCTCTCCATAGGAGGGAGGCTCTCCATAGGCTGTCCGCCGATCGCCGCTGTTTTCTCTACGTTACAACACGGTGAGTAAATTGCTCGATTTTCCGGCTTGGCGTTCCTCTCTTTATCGCTTGGGATGTCTGCGCTGACCGCTGGCTGGCATACATTCTGCAGGGCATACAGAGCTGCAGTGGCAGTATCACTGATCAATGGATAATGTACCAACATTTCCAAACATTTCGCCCCTGAGAAAATCTTACATAAGTAATGGGCAGACATAATTGTGGTGTTATGTCATGATTACTATTATTGAAATAAGTCCGCTTTGATGTAGTCTAGATGAACTCCTAATTACAAAGTGTGTGTTGACAGCAGGTCAGGGAGAACTTCTGTAATTAACAAATAAAATGTCTAATTGATAGTCCACATGACAGTGATTATTCAGATATAGCCTTCAGCAGGAGCATTACGCGCGTCCGTGGCTCTGCTGAGTGTGAGTGATGACAGAGGGAGAGCCTCACTTACCCAAGCGCAGGGAGGGATGATGCTCAAACCCCCCGCAGCAGGCGCTCAGCCCGAGGGAAATCTGGCTCTGCTGCTGCTCCACATCAAGCCGCTTCATCTGGGTAACCCTCCCACCACCACCACCTCAAGGGTCAGCGGCTGCCACTTGGAATAAATGTCACACAATTGCCTGCTTAACAGTGGAGTCCTATTGCCACACTTGATTAGGAATTGTTTTTCTATCCCCTGCTTCTCCGAATATGAGAGGCTTGATGTCACACCTTATTGGAGAATATTCCATGAGAGTCAGTGTGATAAGAAGTCTGTCAGTGATTAGATACCGTATGTGAGCCTACTCGTATTTCCCTCTCACAGGAAATCAACACCCCCAAAAAGACAATCTCGTGTAAATATAAAGATACCTGAACTTATTTGGATTCAGCAATAACTACAAGCAAGTGACACTCACAATATGAACCAAGTACTCTTTCCTTATGAGGATTAGCATGTCAGGAAAATAGGAGACCTAGTTAGTCCAACAGGAGACAGCACTCATGAGGCTCATAGGGATACTTGGCTGTTCACCTTGTCACTGTCATATAGAGGCACAAATCTCTTGCACTTATTTGTCAAATATGTCATTTCTTCTTTTCAGCTCAGCACAAGCTACAAGGGCTACTTCTTATTAAAATTTCTGTCAGCAAGTTGTTCTGCTGCCTGTAGTGCAAAGCCGGTGCGCCTGTTTTCAAGACTAGGCCTATTGCTTTTGCTTTATTTCCCAGACCACCCGCTATAATGCGCCCTGCCGTATGTCTGCTTTTAATGGATGCATTTAGACTCATCTGTGCTGCCTGGCCACATTAGAGGTGATTGATCCATGTTTTTAAATGCGTTACTTCTTTAAGTCACTTGTATGTGCAAAGAAGTTAGTTGAACATTCTGTTGACAATAATGTAATATGCAATGATAAGCACGTCATCAGCAATACCCCCATACTAACGTGACTCTCATACTATATGTCATTAACCCAGTTGAGCCCCTGCCGCTGCAAGAGAAGGCTTTCTCTTGCTATTATAAAGAAATATGGAGGCTTTCGACCAGCTCTTAAAGATATTTAGTGCTGCATTTTCTCAGAAGGCTGGGAAGCGACCCAAATGATGTTCCCAGAATGCACAAATTGGCCTTAATAATCGAACATTGTCTCCACTCAATTTGTTCTCAAAAAACACATTTTTTTGCTGACAGTGTAACTTTTTTTTACTAAGAGCCTGTGAGAGGCCACAGGATACCACTTAAGCTATGGAAGTCAGAGCTGTCAGGTAGAATCTATATAAAATGTAGTTACCTTAGCTGAAGTTGTGGCCCTAAAAAAGAATCCCCTGATTTTACACTATCCCAGTTCTGAACAAGTACATGGGTAAATAACAGTGAGCATATTCCTTTCTCCTCTAATTCACAAGATTCTCAGAGGATCACATTTGGTTTCATTTAACCCAACGTTCTTTGCCATCTATATTGCAGAATTCTGAGTTTTGCATGTACAACAAATCCAGCGAGTTCCATTAGGTGCTCTTTATCATCATTCTTGGCAGTACGCTCCTCCTCTGTCTTGTACTTTGCACTCTTTTACATTTTTTGGTATTAGGAGCATGTCTTAGCTGGAGCAGATAACTTATTCTCCAGAAAGCTGTTGTGTTGTAAAGATTCTCCCTGCGTTTTCTGATTCATTATTGGCTCTTCAGATCGTATTGCCCCAAGCCAAACCTGAATACCCTTCTGTGCCCTGTCGATAGAGTAGTTGATGGAGTGATTCCTAAATTATTCATGAATTATATGCATTTTTCCCTGTAGGGTTTTCATTAACATTGTTTTCTGCCGTTAGTAATGTTTTCCAACAAAATTAGCATTCATAAATCTTTTAGTTGATGAAAATCTATTTTTACTAATTTTTCCACTCAGCCTTCCATCACATTAGAATCTCAGAGGGACTGAGAAAAAAAAAAAAACAAGACTCGGTAGTATATAGTAAACACACTTCACTAACTCAGTTTATGCCAGCCTTTGCAATCTGTGGCTATTTAAATATCAACTTCGCTTTTATTCAATGCAGTTAATCTTGCAAACTCAGTAAAAAAAAAAGAACATTTATGTAATAATGTGTTTTAATTATTATTATTTTAAACATTTACTCTCAAAAAGTCCAGAATGTCACTTGTTTTGAAAGTGGAGTGTGGTTACCTAGATTAAACATGTCTTTCATATCTCTGTAGTATGCAGGTTGCGATTAACATTTTCCTTCTCTGTAAGTCTTTGACCACTGAGTTCCATTATGTTGTACCGTGATGTGACATGATGGCTGGAGCTATTTTGGACCCACCGTGGCAACAATAGCCAGTTAATCACAAGGCTAACACTGGCAGGCAACCTTTCTGTCTCACATTTATGTCATTCACTTGAGGCATTGTAGATTCGCAATTTTGGTTTCAACTGGAATATAACCCTTTTTGATACAAAGTGTGAAAATGGCACATTTTATGGTGACAATGTAACATTTAAATTTCCTATGATTGCTTTGTGGGGGGGGGGGGTTATTCGAAACAATAACACAATATAGTATTTAAGATCACAACTTGCACTTGCTGTCTTTCAGAGGAGTGCCTCTCTGCCTGCTGACCATGCAGAGTGTTGTGGCAGTGCTTCTGGCTCTTGCCGCTGCTGCCTTTGGGTCAGTGGACACAGACGTGCACAGGCCAAGACAGGACTCCAACCTGGAGATCTGTATCCTTTCCATGTAGCTCTGTTCATGTCTACAGTCGTGTGTGTGTCAGTCATGAGAGAAGAATAAAACATGCTCATGAATATTTGAGACATTACAGTGTGAGCTGTGTCCATCTGGAGAGGGTGTTATCCTCCTGACCTCATGTTGTCAGACAAGCGGCTGTTTGAGACCAAAAGGAAAGACCAGCTGAATGCACTGAAGAACCTAGTGGAGCTCAACGACATCAACCAGCAGTACAAGATTATTGACATCATGCTCAAAGGACTTTTTAAGGTACAAATTGTCATAGATGCAATGAAGACCTAATAAAACAAACCAAACTCACTACTTGGCTAAAAAAAAAAAAAAAAAAAGACTTGACATAAAAGTATTTTCTCTTTCATCTTTATGTTTCTATAGTAATTTCCCTTAAGGCTGCTATCTATGCATCTCATTTTGAAGGACAAGTACCGTACCGTCAGCATTCTTTTGTAGCACATGTAGAGAGATAAGATACTTTATTCAACTCTAAAGAATGATGCAGAATATTAACATCAGTCAACTATTTTAAAATAACAAAGCACAGTTCACTGCAATGACTGCTCAGGGAGTGTTTTTTGACTCCATTAACTTCAAGTTAACTTGATGCTTAAAGTGACCATCCGTGGTTTATTAGATTTTTTTTTTATCCTACTCCCTCACTTGGGCTTTGTTCAGGCTCATCTGTGCTCTTTGGTCTCTTTGGTTATATTGCAGTAACATAGATAGCACCTAGTGGTGTTATGTCAGATTGCAGCATGGCGAGGTTGACCAGTCTAATTACAAATGGTAGCTTTAATGTGGTTTATGTGTTTTGTTTTCTTGAGAACTAAAGTTTTGTTAATCCAATCAGTGTGTGTTTATGTATGGTGAAATACACATTCAGAATGCATAGTATATTTATGTATAAATATAGAATCCCTAATTCTAATTTACCGTAAAATTAATAATGAACATACACCATAATAATAATAATTTTACACTTAGGTATTGGAAGACTCACGACAAGTGCTCGTAGCAGCTAACATGCAACCAGACGACCCATTCCCCATGGACGACAAGATCAAAGAAGGTTTGATCCATTATTATACCTTGATAATTTACCACTGCCTTAGGTTTTAGTATAGATATTGTAACCACTTTTTATCACAAACGACAACCCCCAGCCTCTCATATTGTGCCAGACAATAATACCAAATACTTCTTTGTCTAACAGCTTACTCCCATGTGGTAGAGAATACAGCCTTTTTTGGTGATGTTGCATTGCGATTCCCACGAATTGTTCACCACTACTATGACCGCAACGCTGACTGGGGAGGCCTGCTGCGATGGGGGCTAAACTTCTGTAACCAGACAGGTGTTTTCACCGGAGGAGCCCACCAACATGTTCTGACGCTCGTAAGGCCACTGTGATTAACCCGTTTATGACTGTTGTTTTAGCAACTCAAGAAAATGTGAAAATTAGTAAGCATTTGTGTAATATTTAACTACAGCATCACATACATCTCATTATTGAAAATATAAAATTATCCATAAATATGCAAGTAATTGGTTTATTCTCATAGCTGTAGTGCTTTTTCTATAGTAAGTTTTTTGCACAACAGTGCTTGGTGTCAAAAGCTGTTTTTGGTGTTTGATAAAAAAAAATTAAAAAAAATAGCACAGTGGTTTTTAACATCTAACATAATAAGATGTGTGAATAAACAGGGAAGTGCAAACTACTGATGGATAGTCATGTGAATGAGAAGTGAACCCAGATGTTTAGTATGAATCTGTGATAACATTTTTGTTGACATCTCTATTGGGTTTTAGCTGAAATGTGGACATCTGCGCTGACTCATGTAATGCACCATTCTGAATGTTAATAAGTAAAGTATATGGGGTTTTGCTTATTGTGTGGGTTAATGAACTAAACTTTTGCGGGATTAATCTGTGACCTAAGAAATGTGCCAAGAGGATTATACTGTGGATTAATTCTCAGACTAACAGCAGCGCATTTATTATGCACCTGACCTAGTCTTCACTTTGACTCAATAAGCCTGTGTTTTTGATCATCTCTCAATTTCACTCAAGTTGGACTCAGAGGCTGTTAAACTGCAGACAGTGCACAGTAACAGAAATGACTGTGTCTCCTTTTTATGCCTTTGAAGAAATAAGACGGTCCCCTGTCTGCGGCTCCTTCTTTGATTTGTCTGATCTGGTTTTATTCTATAGATGTCACAGGAATTGGGAATAACAGAGAAGGCTCCAGACTTCACAAACCCGTACCGGACAGAGAGAGACGATGTAAGTCACACTGCGGACACATAATACTTCAATCAGCATAAAAGTATAAATTAGAATTTGCTGTAATGAGTTGGAGATTATGGACATGATTATTCATGGACTTTGACTAGTATTATCAGACCAACATATTGTTGAAACATTGAGTATTATTATCACTCCCTTTTATTAGGTTTGTAACCGCCTGTATTGCTGTTTTGTTTAAGGTCCTCCATACAGCTGAAGCTTTCCAGAAAATCCTCAGAGAAGAGGAGAAGAGGAGACGGAAGGAAGAGAAGAGGAAAGAAATTAGGAAAGGCCCCCGCATTTCTCGCTCCCGTTCTGAGCTATAGCCCTGCACTCTCGTACACAGAGCTAGGGGAAAACCTGGACTGGAGGAAACGCACAGTCCACAAGAGCTGGTTTGACATGCAGACTCTAATGACAAAGAGGGGAGCTGTCAGCGCTCACACAAATGTCAGGTGCTCTGTTAAAAACTGACGAGAAACTCTCATTGTGACAAAAACTGGGAAGAGGGTGCCAAGGTTAGTCATTTGGACAAAAGCCTGCATTGCTGAACTCCCACTATCGTTTATAATTGGAAAATCCAACTGGAGCCGCCCACAGAACATCAATGCAGAAGGAGCTAATGAGGGAAACAAATTTTTTTATAATGATTACATAATTGTGCTTTTGAACATGACTCAGTTTAGTAAAATATATTTGAATCCATATTTTTGCAATTAGCATTTTGTGTTTTGTGGACTGAAACAGCTATTACTTTCTGTGCATCTTTTAGATTGGCTTTAGGATGAAACTTGTTAACAGAGAAATGTACTCATTGGTTCATAGGCTCAGTAGCAATTTATGTATGTTTTAAGTTTTGTTTTTTTGGGGTTTTTTTTAGATATCCCTAGTGGTGTGTGTTTTTAATTACTAATTACACACAATTTTCCAAGTTATAGGCCTTCATTTTGTGACTTTCACCATTTGTTGTTTACTTAATCCTTAAAATAATATTTGATATTGGAAAGTAATTATATTAAAGCGTATGTAATTATCATAATATTATGACTGTTATGAGATTATATGTATAGTATATTATTCAAAGAAAGAGAGTTTGCTGCAATGAACAAGCCATCGGATTTATTGAAATAAAGTAACTATCTGAAGTCCAAGCTCAATCAGTGTGTCCCTGCCCCAACATACCTCTCCAATCACGTAATTATTAATAATCTCCAGAAAAACTGATGTCACACAAGAGCAGCGCAGGAGCAGCCAGCAGAGGGCGCTAAACCACTACCACACTTTGTTTTTAGCTTTGTCCAAGTTTGACTTTGAGCAGAGCGGAACATTTTGTGCTTTTATTATAGACTGTATATATGGCTTTTACTGATAAATAATGTCTCATGGTTAAACAATTTTGGGACCTCGCTGCGTATCATTAATGTGGGAAATGTCATCTGAACGAGACCACGGTAATGTGTTGCGTTTCTGTTATTCTTGTTCTACATTCGTGCTAAAAGGCTAAAAGCTAACAACAAAGATAGGAAACATGGCCTAAAAGCCTCGTGTTTATTTGCGGGAAAACTTATTTTCACGCACACACATTATTTTAGAGGATCTTTGACAGCTGTTGGTCCCATTTCATTGACTTATGATTCTGTTTGATATGTAGAGGTTCCCATGGAAGTTGCTGAGGAGCCTGATCACGCTGGGATAAACATAGAGGACGATACCAGCAGGAACGATGAGCTCAGGCTGGTCCTCATTGGAAGGACTGGGTCTGGCAAAAGTGCATCTGGAAACACCATCTTGGGCCATAGACAGTTTGCCTCCAAGACCAGTGCCAGCTCTGTCACCCAGGTGTGTGAGATGGGCAGCGCAGATCTGTCTGAAGAGGAGGGGGAGCACTGTCCTGTGGAAACGCTCAAGAGGAAAATGCCAAGACTGAAGAGAGTCCAGGTGGTGGACATGCCCGGCTTTGGAGACACTAACCTCAACGAAGAGCAGATTTATTCTGAAATAGCCAAATGTGTGTCTCTCTCTGCTCCTGGACCACATGCCTTCCTCCTTGTGGTTCCAATTGGCAGATATACTGACAGTGAGAACCAGGCAGCCAATGAAGTAGCCAGAATCTTTGGAGAAGATGCTCTCCGTTTCAACACTCTTGTTCTGTTCACCAGAGGTGATGACTTGGAGGGTGTTGACATTGAAACATATTTGAATGACACAGCCCCAGCTATGCTTAAGGCTTTGATTGATTACTGTGGAGGAAGGTATCATGTATTGAACAACAGAGATCCCAGTAACAGAACTCAGGTTAAAGAACTCATTGCCAAGGTTAACATGATGCAACGTGATAGAGGATTTTATACAAATTCTGTCTTTCTGATAGCAGAGGATGTCATTAGAGAGGAGGAGAAAAGGATGATAAAAGAGAGAGGCCAAACAGAGGAAGGTCAACTTCTGGGGAATGAAGTGATCAGAGAAGAAGCTACACTTGCTAAAAGACAGAAGCGTGAAGCTGAGTGCAAAAGTGCAGTGAGATTCAGAATGGGTGTTGTAGAGGATGATGTGAGGCAACAATGGGCCGAGGAGAGGAGGAGTCAAGGTTTTAGGTTTTGGAGAGGTAGGAGAGACATTGAAAGACATTCACTGCGCTCTTCTTTAGCTCAAATAAGGAGGCAGGCTGCCCTTTCTCCCGTGGTTTTAGAGAGAATTAGGATTCTAATTGCTGCTGGAGCTACAGGCCTGGCGGTGGGGGCAATATTTGGAGCAGCTGTCCCTTTATCAGCTGCAATAGGGGCCTCTTTAGTAGGAAACTCAATCAGTCTGACTGCAGGTCAGCTTGCTGGCATTTCAGCTGCAGGGAGTGCTGGTGTGGGGAAAACTGTTGGGGCCATAGTGGCAGCAGCCTCTGGAAAGACCGCGGTGACTGTGGGAGCAGCTACAGGCGGATTGCTGGGTGGATCTATAGGATCTGTTGTGGGGTCAGAGGCAGCCAGTCCTCGGGAGGGGGCACATGAGGCCCTGAGGCAGGTGGGTGTACTTGGCGTGGCTGCAGTAGGAGCAGCAGCAGGTGTTGGCTGTGCTTTAGGCGTTGGTGCGTCTCTGGGAGTTGCACTAGAGGCAGGAAGTGAAACTGTCATTGGTGGAGCTGCCTCGGCTGTTGGGGCAGAGTTATCTAATGCATCATCACTAGCCCAGGCTGGTTTAGCGGCAGGAGACCAAGCTCTGTCACAGAGTGCAGTAGCTTTAGCTCAGGACATGGCTACAAGTGTCCCTGCTTTGACTAAACCAGTGGAGGCAGCAGTTGTGTTAGCAGAGCCCAGCGTGTCCTCAGTGGCCAGCAGTGTCGTGGCCAACACCTGCAGCACTGTTTCGGTAGCCAGTCGATTGCTGAGTGCAGTCGCTGACATCAGCAAAGCTGCTGCAGGAATCGCCCTGGCTGGTGGACTTGTAGTAAAAGTGGTTAAAGAAAAGGTCAGGGGTAGCACAGGGACAGCCGAAGGCAGTTACTCTGAGAAATCATCTTTTGAGATTTACTTTAATAGTCAACATTAACTTTAAAATCTTAAAGCAATACTGAATTGTACATTATTACAAATTTTTGCCCTGTAAAATGGTTTCCTCTTCCAAATTGCTAAATTATCCACCAATGTTTTTTCCTGTCCTTCAAATTTAATTTGATTTTTGTATTTAAATAAAGCAATTTGAAGCTTTGTCACATTTCTTCATGCACTGGTGTATCTCTACTAGGCATTAGGTATTCTTTATATTATTTTCTCTGTTTTGTTTTTACAGGTTCCTCCCATCATAGCCTTTTGCATCTAATATTTTAAAAGTACCACCACTTTTCCCGTTTCATTTCCTGCTCACGTGTTTATGTGTATTTTGCCACTGTAAACAATTACAGAAAATCAAAATAGCCAGTGAACCTAGGTGCAGAATTTGTCTCCGGGGCTCCAGTTCCTTTCATAAAGCTAGGGGGCGCGGTTTATTCAAATAGAGCAGAAGCTTCTGATGGTTGACGCACCATCAGACCACGGCCCAGGCCGCGCGCTCATTGGCTCGAGGCGCTGGTCTCATGACAACAACAGGGTCACGAGGACCAATCAGCGCGCGCGTGTGTCCCACAGTCTGTTTGGGAATGACGTAAGACGCGTAAAACAAGATGGCGACGTCTTCAACATAGATCTGCGTGAATGATTGTATCGGTGTAAAGACGGCCTCTTTTGAGGCACAGGTGTGTGTATCGCACTATCCGAACAACAATAGACGCGGGGCAGTCCTTATTTGTATTTTGGGCGTTCAGCTACGCCCCCGAACCGTGCGCGGATACTGTTTCTGTTCCCGTCGGGCGAAGACCGGGGAGGTGATCCTCTGACAGGAATGGAAGGAGGAGAGTTTATATCGCCCATGGAGAACATGGACCCGACTTTGGCCGAACTGGGCGATGAATTTACACTGGGAGACATAGACGGTGAGTGTCTGTTATTATTTATTATTTTTGGACTGGGTTGATGGCGCATCATAATTACGCTTCCGCTGCTGTGTTTAGTACATACAGTATTTAGTGTTTAGTGCGCTATTTTTCATAGCATCTCTTATTAACCATTAGATTAACTATGTATTTAACTCATAATATGCTCATGTGTAGGAAAGATTTAGAATTGTTTCAGTGTATTATGTAGGTTACCTATATTTGTGTTTATTTTGACTGTAAAATTATTACATTATTATTATATTATTGATGATGAGTGTAGCAATAAGTCTCCAGTGGTCAGCCTTTTAATCCACACTGTTTTGTGAAAACACGTGCCAAAGCAGAGGTTTGGTTGGAGTTGGGCAGCCCGCAGTTTTCAGAATCCTATTAGGGAGAAATGTCATCATCATGATCATGAGATAGTTTTGTGACGAGGAGGAAGATGTTTTTTTCATTTAGACCTCACCCCTTCACTGGCTGCAGCTACATGCTCCCTCATTAATATCAGATTTTTGGAGTTTAAAATCATTTATATGAAAAAGCAATCTAATTTCTTTATGCTCATGATGCCTCTGACTACTCGTATCATATTCAGGTTACATGCCATGTGATTAAAGTAATCTTAAAGGTCCAGAACTCAGATCATAATCAGATTTTGGTGTGCATGTGAACAAGGCCACTGACATGACAACATGCTGTTGTATGTGTGTAGAGTAGATCTATAAAGATAAAAGTGTCCTTTCTACCTTTAACCTATACCTCAAACAGCCCCTTCAGAGGCCATGCTAAGGCCACATAATCACTGTGTCAAAGACTTTGACTCAAAATAAAGAGCTTAAAACTGCACTATGGAATATTTCTGAATATTTCTCCCTTTGTATTTACAGCCAGAGGAAAGAAAGAAATAATAGAATAGAATAAATTCCAATACTTACAAAGGTAAATCTAAAGTATACCATGTTTTATATAATATTTTTGTGCACACTTGATGTATTGTCTATATAGTAAAGCTGTAGGCTTTGTTCAACAGAACAGTTTAGCCTGAAATAGAAGTGAAGAGTGAATCTGCTTTGCAGGGCCGCTGCACAGCGCACATGTTCTTGTAGTCGTGTAGAGCACTGTCGCTTAGTGGTTGTCCCCAGACTACTGTGGCCCCTAGTTATGCAACCTATTGTCTTTGCTCTGAGCTGAGGAAGCCATTCCCTTTTGATAAAATGGGCTTTTGTATTAGCCAAAATCACTGGGGTGTAAAGTGTGTTTTCTTTACTCTGGTGTAGACCGTCTGCCTCATAAAGCTGTGCATGCTCTGTCCACTTCCATTAGGAATTGTTTGCATGATATGAGAAATTATGAATGCTGGTCATATCACATAAGCCCATGTGCTCATGCAACCCACCCAGAACTAGACTGAAATTATTTATATTTTTTCAGTTTCATTTAACCTAAAAAAAAAAAGAAAAAGATCCTTATTTACATTTTTTTCAACACTGGCATACACAATAAACAACACTAGAATTTATAAGACTAAATCTAAAACTTCATTGTTGATAAATTCAAGTTTTAACCTGGCCTAAGGTAAGGTGTTACACTAGAGGAGCTCTGCAGACTGTTCACTGTAGCTGCAGCCAAACACATTTTATTTGTTATTATTAAAAGTTATTGAAATTATGTATCCTCTCTGTGGCGTAATCTTCCTTTCAGATTTTTGTAACCATCGAAAATAGAAACCATGTTATCCTCATCATCATAAGCACCAGTCTAACTTAGTCTAATGAATAAACCACAGAATTCACTCTTTGTCTAGCCCATGACTCAGCTGAGTGATCGGGCGACTTTATCCACTTACTTAGACTCAACAACCACAAGCATTTAAACTGTAAAAACTTGTGCCGTCATGTCACATTCTCCCTGATCACCCAATGAGTGGTTGCAATTTATAACTTTTCATTTGCGTGATGTATCTGAATTTTCTTAAATTAAAGAAATAAAATCAATTTCTGTGATGAAGTTCTTGTTCTTGTTCCTGTTTCAAAGGTTTTGTTTCTGACTTTATGTGCATCTATTTAAAAGTTTTTTGCATTTTCTTATTGTCCTGGCCTTCACTTTGTACATAGAGCTGTCTATCTGTACTTTTTCACCTTTACCTCTCACTCCTGTCCCTCAAGGCTAAATGTTGAAGGTCAGTTCATGCTCAAACAGTAGCTGGTCCTGTGTAGTTTCAAGGCCAGGGCAGGACTGTCTCAGGCACTTTTCTTATCTATGTCGGCTCATATCAAACCTTCACCTCTCAGTCATTCAACGATACTAAAGAAGAACCTAGAGAGATGCAATTTTGTGCTGTTTATTTGGTCACTGGTTCTTCGACAAATATATACTTGATGTGATATAGTTAGGCAATGGAGCCACTGCACGGAAACAAGGAAAAAAAATCTATTTCCATTTTACAACGAACAACTACCTCTGCAGTGTTAAGAAATGTCTTCTGAGTTGCACAAACCCAAAAGGCATAGAAGAAAACAAAATTCAATGCAACCAGAACACAAAAAGCAAATAAATGAAGGGCTTAACTGACTTCTTTAATAATGGCACTTTGCTTTGTAGATTGTACTAAGGTTCTGTTTGTTTTTCTCTCTCAGAGATGCTGCAGTTTGTCAACAATCAAGTTGGAGATTTTCCAGATCTTTTTGAGGACCAGATTCAACAGGCAGCTTCTGTGCAGGGCAACAATGCCCCCCAGAGGCCTGTGCTTCAGACCCCCCAGCCCATTCAGACGTCTCACACCTCTGCCCCCACTGCCTTCCAGAGCTCAGCCACCCCCCTGGCACCAACCCAAATCCTCTCCCCCCAGCCTGTCCCCTTGACCCCTCCCCTCACACCAGCTCAGACTCCCTCCCCTGTTACAGTGGTTTCTTGCGGGCAGCAGGTGACACGCAGCCCACCCCTCCTTCAGCCAAGACCTGCAACCATTCAGCAAATCCAGCCTCAGCTACAACACACGGCTCAGCCCACCATCCAGGTGAAGAATACACTAAATTATTCAATCATTATTCAATCATTCTTTCTCCAAATGTGAAACCACAGTTACTCACAACTACAACTGCCAGCATTTTCTCAGTCACACCACATCCTTGTCAAAGCAGTTATATACTGTTTTGATGTCTATACTCATGTAATATATTCTTAATTGCAGATGCATACACAGGGGATCCCCATGCAGACCCAGAACTTTCCTGTGCACACCATCGTCCAAACGCACACTCAAACAGCCCTGCCCATCCAGACTCAAGCTCCTCAGACGGTCATGATCGCCTCCAATGGAGGGCAGTCCCGCTTCATCCAGAACCAAGTCATCTGCCACCAGAGCCCGGCACCAGGTTTTCAAGGTTTGTTAAACATGACAGAAAATGCTTTTATTACATAAGCATATAGGTAGCTTTGTAGTTGGCTATAGTTAGTTTTCTAGTCTGTTTTAATATATTTTCACCCAAACAAAAAGCGTTCTTCTTTCATATCTGCAGTCCTACAACCACAAGTACAGAGCATTATGACATCACCACAGCTTCAGCCTGTGACCATCCAACACCAGCGTGTCCTCACCCCTGCCGGACAAACAATACAGACCCTCTCCACAGCGCCCACTACAGTCCATACTATGCAACAGCCAATGCAACAGGTTCAACAAGTCCCAGTGGGTTACCTTGCATCACTATATACATTATAATTAATTGATGTATTTCTATTCTGCTTTTGTGTCACCGTATAAATGTGTCATTATTTTGCATTTAGGTCCTCGTGCAGCAGCCTCAAATTCTAAAAACGGACTCACTGGTGCTTACAACACTGAAACCAGATGGGACACAAGTGCTATCAACCATGCAGACCCCAGGGATCACCACGTTAGCTGCACCTATCCAAAACACTGCTCTACAAGTGCCGGTAAATATCTGCAATTACTATTTATTCTCAAGTCATGTTATATTATGTTATGTTATATTTATTGTTTATTATCTTTTGTTATATTACTTATGTATACATTTTATGACCATTTAACATAATTTATATTTTGCCTTCAGACTTTGATGAGTAGCAACATCCTGACCACAGTCCCAGTTGTGATGGGAGGAGGGGACAAATTACCTATAAAGCAGCTTCAAACGGCCTCAGGACAGTGCACCAGTGCACCCAGAGCCAATCTGGACCACCTGACCGCTGGAGGACTGATTCAGGGAGGAGTGGTAAAGGAGGGGGAGAAGAGGAGTACCCACAACATCATTGAGAAAAGATATAGGTCCTCCATCAATGACAAGATTGTGGAGCTCAGAGACTTGGTCATGGGCAACGATGCAAAGGTTAGTGGTTGTAAGAGAATAAAGAGAAATGCATTGTTGCATTTTTGACAATAAACTGTATTTTCTGTTCTCTTTCTAGATGCACAAGTCAGGAGTTCTGAGGAAAGCTATTGATTACATTAAATACTTGCAACAGGTCAACCATAAACTAAGGCAGGAAAATGCAGCACTGAAGATGGCCAACCAGAAAAACAGTGAGCATGCTCTTCATTTGAGACACATGAATTTCCTAACTATAGCATTTTGTAATTCTTGCTTAGAAACAACACATCTCTTAATACTTAAGCTCAATTCAAATGCAATATTGGGATAATGGGCATGAATACTTAATTAGTTAAATTAATAATACATTTATAAATGTAATATTCCTTAGAATTACACTGAAGAATGACCAGTGTGTTTTTTCATCTTCCCAGAGCCCCTGTCTCTGTCTGAAGAGATGGAGCTTAAACAGGAAATAGTGATGATGTCCCCCCCAGCCTCAGATTCAGGGTCAGGCTCCCCTCCCCAGTTCTCCCCTTACTGTGTGGACTCTGAGCCAGGCAGTCCATTAATGGACCATGACCAGGTAATAAAACCAGTATTATGAATGGTTTATTGACTTGTATTCAATTCCTGTTCCATTGTTGTAATGATTTGCTACTTTTTATCAGGTGAAGAGTGAACCTGATTCTCCCTCTTCAGTGGGAGTCATGGATGGCTCACGTCTTCTGCTTTGTGTCCTAACCTTCTTCTGCCTGTCCCTAAACCCACTGCCCTCCCTGCTGGGTTCTGATACCCCAGGGACCAGTGGTCTCACTTTGGGTCACGGGCCGTCCAGGACACTTTCTTGGTTTCCAAGTCATACTCAGGACTTTGGTAAGCAGCATAACATTATATTTTAAAAATTGATCCAATTGAATGATTTAAATATGTGTCCTGTTTTGTTCAGGGTCCTGGGTGCGGTGTCTTTTGCCGTGGGTGATGGCCTGGGTCTTGAGTGGGGTGGGGGCTGTGTGGGGCTGTGCCAGAGTGCTGTACCTATGGGAGCCTGTCACACCCCTCCACTCCCCAAAATCTGTGTCATTCTGGAGGCATCGCAAACAAGCAGACTTGCATTTAAAGAGAGTGAGTATTGAGTTGTATACCATGTTAAGTTATCCCTCAAATAATGAGAACATTGTTTTTTTTCTCTCTGATATAATAGTATATAGTAAAACATCTTCCATCTGTCACTTGTCTGAGCCTTTTAGGAGTAACATCAGTGTTTGTCTTTTTGAGAATCACTCTTTGCTTGTGTTTGATTCCCACATTTCAGCATTCTGTTCACTGCATGGGTTTATTTTTAGCACTTGTTCAAATCTAAAGTGTGACCTTCAAATCGCTCAGCCCCCTGCCTCTGCTGCCAGCCTTTACTGAATATTAAACACAGGACTATTGTGTCTGTTGTGTTTTGTCTGTCTACAGGGGGATTTCACAGCAGCCATGGCAAGTTTGGAAACCAGCCTGTCCATTTTGAATAGAGCTCTACCATCCACTAATCTCGATCTGGCCTGCTCCCTTTCCTGGAATCTAATTCGCTACTTCATACATCGCCCCACTCCCCTGGGATGGCTGGTTCACCAAGTCGGAGGCAGGCATGAGGGAGACGAGGCAAGAACTAGTGCGAAAGATGCAGCTCTAGTTTACCACAGACTGAGCCAGCTGCAGCTCACAGGTAAAAAACATCTGCAGATCTTGAAGCATCAGTCAAATTCTAAGTTTTAGATTCAACGGCCTCTGTCCTTGTAGGAAAGTTGCCGCAGCGTAGCCACTGGTGGGCCCTCTCCCTGTCTTTCAGCGCTGTTAACTTGAGTGAGAGCGCCCAAAGCAAGATGGTACCCGCTGAGCTTATTCAGATTTACATTACTGCAGCCACAGCCTTGCGCACTGTTCTGGGTCATCACCTCACCTTTCTGCCTGTAAGTTGTACATTGATAAATTGTGTTTCCTATGACCTGGTTCATGGCTGTTCTATTGGGACCCTGGGACATTTTTAGGTTGCTTATATGAAATGTCATCAAGTTTTATAAATCTCTTTCCATGTGTAAAAAAAAAAGCTCTACAGTCAATAAATAGTTATTATTTTATGTTAGGAAACATGAATGCCATGCTTGATTCATGAGCCGGTTTCACTTCGTGGAAACCATCTGACCTCGCAGCATTAGGATTAAGTTTGGTCAACGGTAGGCAGGAACTTTTTTTTATATAACCAATCGCTGCTATTGAGTCGTGACATATGTAATGCGCTGCTAACGGGGCTAGCTGGTATATTAAGCTTTTCCCAAATCCCGTAGGAAGAAGGGCAATGACGTTTTTCCCTTTCACCAAACATTCTCTTTGTTCCGGCTTTAAATCCTCGATCTTGGGAATCGTTGCCAACACAGAATGTATGGCTTCATCTACATCAATCTGGGCCGCTTTGTTTACTGTTGTGCTGTACCATAAAAAGGGACCCAGTCATGGCTTCACAGCTCTTCGCTGATTGGCCGGTGCGCGGTCTACAACTTCCAGGTTTCTTGCAAATCGTCTAGCGTATTCCGAGTCCTGACATAGTTGCTGGAGAGAAATGAAATTGAGCGGAGGCAGTAGATGGCACCAGCCTGGCTATGAATGCCAGGGTGTCCAAATTTTATTTAAAAATCACAAGTAATTGACAGAACTATTAAAATATTTTGAGATGTAAAAATAAAAATTGTGTTTACTTAGACAAACTACTGTGTTCAAATAACTTCCACTGTGACAGGGAAGTTATTTGGACACAGTAGCTCACACGTCACAATATAACATAATAACAAAGAGAAAAAATACAAATGGTCATAATACATTCAAGTAGCTTTTTGCTACTTGAATGTACTGGAGTCAGTTAAGGCATAATATATATAAATGTATGGTTTTTGTCTTTCCCAGAGTTATCTCTTGAGCTGTGCTGAGAGTGTGGCTAACCAAGCAGACACCAAGCCCATCCCTGACCAGCTGCGGTGGCTTTTCACTCCATTAGGCAAACAGTTCTTCTTGAGCTGTGATTGGTCAGTGAAGTCTGATAACGATGATGGAGTCTACACTTCTCAGAGGGACCCAGGTAGAGCAGGGCGTCTGACACATGCCATTGATTCTTCATAATCATTCTTCGTTTTCAACTTTGACCTTTTCTCTAATACACTCCAGCTGATCCTCTGGCCCAGCTGCACCGTGGGTTCTGCAGAAAGCTTTTGGAGAGAGCAGTTCACACTCTCATTCAGCCTCAAACAGACTCAGATGCAGATAAACGCAAGAGTGACTCAGGGTAAAGACTACAAATACTTATTTAACTATGAATAATAATTTAATCATTTAATCTCTGCCTAAATGTCTTTTTTTTGGGGGTGTTTTTTAGGGAGTTTTCTGGTGCTCTTGAGTTTCTCCAGTTGCTGAACAGCTGCACAGATGAGTCATCTTCACCGCCTCCTTCTTTTGCCACTCCCCCTAGTCACACCATCACTTCAGGTAATGTTGAATGAACTGTGTAAACAACTAGCTAAGAATACAAAGTTAACATTTTTGTCTCCATTGGTTTTAGTGGGAGATCCAGTGAGTCGCTGGTGGGCGTTGGTCTTAAAGGCTGCAGTTCATTGGCTGCAGGGGGACGATGTCACTGTAAAGTCATTGCTGGCTGAAGCCGAGCGCATGCCCAGAGCTCTACACACTCTCGAGTAAGTTTAAAGTACAATACAATAAATGGTCAAAGCTCATTATATACTAAAGAAAACATTGCTGTGAAATACTTAGTAAAGCATGACATTTCACACTAATAATTAATTAAGATGACGATTTTAAACTATATGCTGTCAGTGAAAACAAATTATTTATTTTTGTCATTGCAGCCATCCTCTTCCCAAGGCTCTGCTGCTGCTTTGTAAAACAGTGCAGATGAGTCTGGCTCCTCTCAAAGGAGAAGGCCTCGTCGCCTGCCTGTCCCACTGTGACAGGGCCAGTAGCTACCTGCGCTCCAGCATCTCTGTGCCTCTGACTCAGTCAGGCAACTACCTGCACAAGGTACACTTTTATTATCATCTACTCTGTCAGTTCCTCTTCTGCTGTGCCTTTGCTACTTTTCTACCCTTTTAATCACGCATGTTCATAGACATTTGGAAGCTGGTGGTTCTTGTACTTGCATGCTACTGGAGCCGTGGGGATGTGAGTGTGGCGGAGTTTGGGTGGCAGGAGGTGGCTGTGGTGCATTGTAGTTGCATTGCATGATTCTGAAGCTGAGTGCAATGTGCCTGCAGTGCAACACAGACGCTTTCCCAGTCAGCACGCACCACTGACACCCCACTGTTTCACCTCCAGCCGGGGACTGGTGGGTTGTAAAATCATGTTTTTGCAACATGGGACGTAGATTTGCTGGATAGAATGATCAATAGTCAAGAGCAATTAAATATGATGTTGAATTTTCCAAACACTGACTGGCCTCAAAATTCCTCTTCTTAAGGGTGTGGAGCTCCTTGTGTGTGACCTCCTGTTGACCTTAAGGACAAGTCTTTGGCAGCGGGGTGGCAGCAGTAATGGAGAACCAGCTCCGGGACCATCATCTATACTGCCTGGGTTTCAGAAGGACCTCAGTGCACTTCGAAAGCTCACTCAGTGTTACAGACAAGCTCAGCACAAGGTAACAATAACAATGCATGCATACATATTGATCATGGTTTGCTGTATGTCACTATTCCACACGGTAATTAATCAGTCTGCCTAAGGGATAGAATCGGGATTGGGCCTTGGTCTCCAAACGTGAGTAGTGGGGGGGGAGTACTGCAGGTGTGGTTATATTCATATACTTCCATACTTGCTGCTGAGATCTGACACTACAGACATTGATCACAGGTCTGCTGAACCAATATGAACTGTCAACACAGCATCTCTAACAACTGCTGATACCGCACTTTTGTGTTCATTATTTATGTTTTTGACATGTGTAAGCCTGAACTGTGACAGCTACATTATTTTATTTTTCTGTTGTGCTGTACCCTGAAGCACTGACAAATAAATATTGTCTCAAAATGCTGTGGAGCTGTCATAGACTGCAGCTTTGTAACAATCTAGGCCCACAGTTATTATGTGCATCCCCAATGTGTAAAGAGGAATTATTTGACAGATTTCTGCCTAATGAAGTTAAAGTTGAGTTTTATGTGTCAGGTTTTTCTGCATGAGACAACGGTTCGACTGATGGCTGGCGCTAGCCCCACACGGACACACCAACTTCTAGAGCACAACCTTCGACGGAGAACAAACAGCTCCTACTCAAGCGGTATTGCAGCTCTATAAAACAGTTTATATCTTAGGAATTTACAAGTGAAGTGAATTTTACAAGTGAAATTTATCTCAAACATTTTACCATTAGTATATTGGTCATAAATTTGTCTCTACTCAGAAATCCTCTGAGAGTTCAATAGTAGCAAAAGTAACTAACTGAACATCTATTTGTTAACGTTTAATGATTTGTATGTTTTTTCGACTTACTGAAGCTTACTCTACAATGGTGTAAAACATACAGTATGTGTTTTTGCTCATACCTCTCTCCTGTTCCCTTAGGTGAGTGTGTCCTAGGAGAGAGGGAGAGGGCCCATGCCATCCTACTGGCCTGTCGCCACCTTCCTATGCCTCTCCTAACCCCACCCGGGCACCGCGCTCGCCTGCTGGCTGAGGCCAAGCGCACCCTGGAGAGAGTGGGAGACAGACGTTCTCTTCAGGACTGTCAACAAATCCTGCTCCGCCTCAGTGGGGGGACTACTATTGCCGCTTCATGAACCCATCCCAACTCAACAATGACCAATCTCTGACCATGACTTATTACTTCCTGTAAATATCTTTTTCAGAAGCACTTGCAGCTGTTTATTTTATTACTGTATCAGCCTCTGTCAATTTGACCACCTTTTATAAACAATCTAAACATTTTTGTAATTGAGCTATACCATAGCACCCTCTGCAGATCATAAAGGGTACCACATTTGCTCAAAGCCAAATTTCTAACATGCAACTCCACCAGGAAAATCAGGTTTAATTGCTTCCAAAGGGAAAAGGGACCATCTCCTGTTTGTATAACACAATTTCAACACTGTTAATTGATTAGAAATTGAAAACGAAACTGTACAATCATTATTGGCACATAGCAATGATAGTGCTGCAGGCGTGTCTCATTTATTTATAAATCTACACAAAGGGATTTCAGATGTGTGATCTGTCAAATATGGTCACTTTGGGGCTGCAGCATTTGCTTTTTCTGTACAGTGCTGAGTGGTGACTCTTCTTATCTACCTCATACTGTACAAACCCAGCATTGTGCTAAGGAGCAAAATCGGATATGTGCCCTCACACCCATATTGTATAACCCGCGAGTACATGAAGTGGACTACTGACACTTTACTTTATTGCAGCCGTAGTAGGGAAAAATTCAAAGCATATTCTATTTTATAGGTTAGAAAACAGCACAGCAACTGTGTTATTGTTCAAGGACTGGATAGGACAGTGAGGTCATTGGATAGGATATTTAAAGTTTAACTTCATCTATACAAATTTCCATAATTTTGTATATAGTGTATATATTCAAAAAGGTCTAGAGATAAACAGGATGACTTGATTTACTGCTGAGAGGAAACATATAAAAAAAAAAAAAAAAACTGTGAGGCATCAACTGAGGAAGCCATGCTCCGCTCATAGAAGCAGAGGCCATTAAGGTTCATGTGAACACAGTTGAAAATTAATTACTATAAAGTTCAAACTTTTCTGTACATTGATGTTGCTCTTGAGCTGAAATTGCCTTGATAATGTGTAGAAAGAAAATATTTTATAATGTTTTATTACATTTAAAATAATGGATGAGAGGTGTCCTGACAAATCTTTTGTCCACTTTGCTTTTTATTGTGATTGTATGTCTTTTGTCTCTGCAGTTTTGTGTACTTGTTTATTTAATGCCTATGTTCATATCAAAGCATATGCTTCTCTGTGAAGCCCTTTAAATCCAGGTCTTTTTTTATTCTTATCTTTTTCATTTTCAATTAGATCAGATTATGCAGCATTACAGTTACAGTGAATGCCACAGACATGTTGTATTTGAGCTCACAACACATAACTGAAATAAATACACAAGTATTTCCTTGCAGAACAGCGTATGATCTTGCATTCTGAGCTTCACTTCTCACAAATATACAGAAGGGTAATAATAAAGGTTTTATAAAAAGATAAACTGTGTGTATTTCTTCCTCTTTATTTTTTTAATGTCGGATTCTTTTTTTTATGATTACTGTTATTAAAGACAATATTTATTTACTCAGAGCGCAGTTTACCCAGCCTTTATCCTATGACGCCATTATGTTAACGTTTTATTTGAGAAACCACAGCAGTAACTAGGAGACGTGATTTAATAAAGTAAAATAAAATAAACTGAATGGATGACACAACTTTCTAGAGTTGTGTCATCTACTAGTTTGATTTCTGAACGGAACCTTTGTTCTTCACCTTGTTTTCAGTCGGAACGTCTGACAAAGCACCTAAGCCGGAAATAGCTTGAACTGAACTCACGTGTTGAAATGAAACACAAAAATAATCATAATAATATGTCTAAGAAGAAACAATTTAAGCCAGGGTCAAAAAAGAGAGAAAATAAATGCATCGTTACGTTTGACGAAAAAGATCGACAGTAAGTACTTGGGTTTTTTTATGTTTTGTTTGTTATACTTGCTATAGCTTTCTGTTGCCAGGATTTTAGCAACATCTACATTGTTTTATGTGCAGAATGTTGAGTAATGAAGTATAATAGCATAAGAATAAGTAGTCATTATTCTTATACATTTCAGTTTTGTGATGTTGTTGTTTGTTTGTCAGGGAGTTTCTCACAGGTTTCCACAAGAGGAAAGTGGAGAGAAGGAAAGCAGCAGTGGAAGAAATTAAGAGAAAAATTAAAGAAGAACAAATCAAAGTCCGAGAAGAAGTACGAATTAACTATTTGATATAATTTCTGTGTATTTATTGTTGGATCAAGAACTAAATCTTTGTTTTGGAAATTTTAGAGACATAAAGAATACTTGAAGTTGCTGAAAGAAAGAAGAGAAGCTCTTGGTATGTTGATGCTTTAATTAGACTGTATACATTCTGCTTTATTGCATAAAAATGTGTACATATGAAGTAAATTAAATTATGTTAGGTGTGTAGTTACGTTTATGTAAATACTCTAGCCTACATTACAGGGCTATACATTTATGTAGTCATCTAACTGAGTCAACCTGTACTTCACTATTATTTATTATATTATAGCTTATCATATGGTAGTGGTAAGTTTTGACTATGTTCTCTCCCTGCCTTAATATTTATATCCCCATAAGCCCCCCCTATAAATCCATATCTATTTCATGTGGATGCGTTGAGTGGCAGTGTGGATTAGAAGCACTGCACTTCTGTCTCCAGTCTCACTAATGTTGTTACGTGTCACTTGTGATATTTCTGTATCAGAAAGTAGAACTTTTTAAAAATGTGAATATTACATGACAGGCCATTTCATCACTGTATCGCCTCATCATTCAGTATATGAAAGCTGGAACCCCAATATGGTTTGGGGGTCTTTATTTATCGTGTGTACTTTGTCTTTGCATAAGTGCAAAATATTTGTTTATATTTTGGTTATGCAATATGACTTAAGCCATAAAATGTTGAATTAAGAACTTAAATCACTCCTTACAAATGAAAACTAACTATTAGTGTTTCATTTTGCTATTTTTTATTGCAGCTTGTAATATTTTAACAATATTGTAGATTTAAAATATTTTTTGTAGATTAAATCTGCTCTTGGATTATTGTGTCAGTGGCATAAAGTAGTTGCAGTATTATCATTTATTGTTTATATTTTCTTCAACAATATGTCGTACTTCTAAATGTTTTATTGTGACATGACAGGTCTAATGGTACTCACAGGCTTTGTGTTGTTTTTGTTTTGTTAAGATAAATCAGAAAAATGTTGACACTTGCATTGGTCTGTGTTAATAGTGCTATACGCTATTTTTGTGTCTACAGTATAATATAATTTTTTTTTTTTTAAATCTCCATTGCAGATGAAGATAAGGATGATTTGGAAGATGCCATAACTGCAACTAAGGAGTCTGTTCAATATGATCATCCCAATCACACTGTTACCGTGACAACAATTTGTGATCTTGACCTGACAGGGTCTCACCTGCTAGGCCCTGTGTCAGACCAGGTAGATGTTTCTTTTCAAGCTCAGTGCCATTCACTATAATGTGTGTTCAGTTCAAAAGTTACAAAGAACTTTTGCTCACAGGTTAATGGTGAAAGTGATAAAGATGAAACAAATGCTGAAGAGGAGGAAAAGAAAACTGCCATGCCAAAAAAAGCTGGAAACCCTATCCTCAACAAAAAGTAACCTTTTTTTTTTCTGATGACAATTATGTAAATGTGTTGTATATCACATATCATAATTCCAAAAGCTCAGGGTTTTTTTTTTTTTCTTATTTTCTTCTAATTTTCTTTTCTGTGTCTTTGATTTCTCTTCCAGGATCCGCTCCTTGACAGCTTCACTTAACACATTTACCACCAAGCGGAAGAAAAAGGGAAAACAGAAAGGCATGGGCCGAACAGCAGACAAAAAAGTCTATGAAACTGAAAGGAAGTCCAAAGGTGGGCGAACCACTAAGCGAGAGAGACGCAGAAGGACTGGGAAGAATGAGACTTTAAAAATGTAAACATGGGACAAAATGTGTTGACGGAGAGTGTTGGAGTATTATTCCAGCCTTGTTTGTACATACTATCTGCTGACTGCAACTGCCAAATGTGTTTTAACATCATCACATATTTCTTGTAAAATTATAATATTTGTTTTAAAAAACTGTCAATATTAAACAACATTTTTAACTGGTACTTTGTTGACATTTTTGCTTTTTGTCAAAAGGAAAGCTGATACTTTTCTCATCAAGGAAATCAGCTCTCCATTGCCTTCTTTTGTTTCCTGTGTGCAAATCAAGCACTTGTGGATCCAAGTTAGCCATAAACCATATTTGTTTTAATGTATGTGGCCCCCTCCCACCTCAGTGTTTATTTATTTACGTTCACCTGAGCCAGCGAGTGCCAGCTGTCCCCAACATGAGCGTTTCATTTCGCTTTCTAAAGCCCATGATATTTAATACAGGTGCTTACTCGAGGAACAGGCTCGTCACCGGCTCCATTTTGGATCAAAGTCTGTATTTGCATGTCGGCCTCTGTAGGGTAAACTGAGAGCCAGTATGGCTACAATTGATACCTCAGTTTCACTTATTGTCCGACCAGCCAATGGGATGGATTTGGGAGTTTGGTAGAGCAAGTGGATGCAGCATGGAGATGAGGTGTGTGTCTGATGGGGGTCTGAGGGGCAGTTCATCTTCGAAGTGGAGCTGAATCAGAAGACAGTGCTGCTCAGGTAATGCTTGTTTATGCCATTCTAGAGAAGATTTTTTATTTGTAATTGCCACTTTCCAAATAAATCCTATAGATGACTACAATTAAGTTGTCAAATTACATAGCATGTGCCTGGTTTGTAGTCTGACATGGCACAATGTAGTGTGGTGGTGGATTGTGTTACACTATCCCTCAATGTAATTAGTTATCACCTTCCTTGCAGATCTGCATTACACGTTAATGTACAAGACATTTCTTTTTGGTCTCTCATTCTCTTGTAATGTGCACTTATTACCCCTTGCAGGATTAAAATATTATGCAAGTTGCAAAATTGTAAATTGAGCTAATAAATGAGAAATGTTATGGGTTTACTTAATTTTTTTTCTTTATTTCTTTTATCAGTTGGAATGAGTGGAGCAGACTCATTATGCCCACCTCTCCTGATGAACCCGTGTGCCCCAAGTTCCAGCCAAACATCTTTGACCCCTCCCGCTGCCACGACTGTCTGCGGCAAAGGCACCTTCACTCTGGGGCAGGAGAAAGCACTGAGGTAGCACTACAGCAGAAAACTACTTTAGAAACAAGAGCTGGGAATAAGACCGACATCAGCCACAAAACTGAAAATGGGATTGGAAATTGCATTGGACAGAGCAAAGGAGTGTTGTTAACGCCAATCCCATCCCAAGCAGAGGAAAAGGACACCAGCAGTAAGGTAAGAACGCTTCCTTACCTGAATTGGAGGAGCTAAGAATAGAAACTAGGTAGACTTAAAGCTTGACAAGAATATTGTGTAGTGAAGATACTACAGTTACATGCAAACGCTGACCATTTTTAGTTTTCTGTTATGATTTTATTGTGGAATAATTTATCCTTGACACAAATTGTCTGAAAGTACATTTCCTTGCGTCTGTGTGTTAGTTGTAAAAAGGTCATGAACTAAGATCCCAAAGAAACATAGACAAGCAGTGTGGTAGCTGTGACTCCTATTATATATTTACAACAATGTATCGTTTACTGCCCTCTTGGGAATCACTTGTAATATTATACCCAACAGTGATGTTCTCCAAGGTCTGCCATGCCATGTGTCACTGTAATTCCAAAAGTACACTGCATTTTTTTATTGACCCACTGGTTTGAGTTCTGTCACAATACATGATGTAAACATGTCATGATTTGTTAGTAGAGAAGTTCACGGCAGAATTCTGACACTATGCAACTTGTCTGGTGGAGGATCTGCCACCTGCTTGTTTCCATGGAGATACTGGGCTATTGCTTTGCCTATAAAGTTTCCACATTATGGCATTAAACTTACCTACCTTCATGGAGACAAACAGGTTTTGTTACCAGGCCAAGTTACAAGTCAGATCTTTGAAAAATATGTGTGCTCTCTGTAAGCGGGGTCTCCTCTCCAAAGGATTTTTCAGAATAAAATGTCTGTAATGAAATAAATGCTTAACTGAGTAGTTTAATGCCATACTGTAATATTCCAGGCAAAGCAATATCATCTGGAGAGCAGTATTTGCCACCCCCCATATAAATGCACTTTTAAGATCCATTTGAATCTTTACAACAAGTCGTCTTGATAATAAAAAGAATGGTTTGAAGGTGGGAATAGAGCAATGAAATTTTAATGAGGAAAGCCACTAACAAGGTCAGGTTACAGAGGTGTAACCCTAATCGAACAGCAGCCTGAGCTTGTGAGTATGTGCCAGAGAGGACAGAGGCGACAGACACTTTTGAGCTCATCAACACTCTAGAAACAGGACAATACATACTTCAAACACTTAATTATTTGGTACAGGAATGTATACCTACCTAAATCCAATATTATGCATTGTTTCTGTTCATGCGGTGTTCTAGGAAGATTCTGACTCTGTGGTGAGTAGTTATTGTGATGTCCGAGGAGGGCAGACGGGTTACAGGGAGAGCTCCTTGTGCATCTTGAGCCCCGACTGTGCACTCTACATCTGTGAAGGAGAGGAGGACTGCAGCACTGTCAGGTAGGACATCTTCAAGTTCAAATCCAAGTCAGTCAAATGTGTTTATTTACATCAGTCATCAGTTATTGGGGCCTTCTGCAAAATATTTCTTATACATGTTTTATCTATATGAAATGTATAAATGAATATGAACCAAAAGTCAATATCATGTCTTACTCCATTTGATTATTTAGTCAATTTAACATTAAAATACAGTTTTATTTACATTTCGCACCTGTTCCTTTGCACAGTTCTCGTGACCAAAGCGACTACCAGGAATTCAGCAGTTCTATCAGCACAGAAGACGACGAATACCTACCTGCTCAACGCGATTCCACTCACTTCACCATGACCCGGCTTGACCCCCCACCTCATCGCCCCAACCCTCGAGCGTGGATGGATGAAGCCAGAAGTAAAGACGCATTCAGTAGGCGTTCAGGTCGGTTAGTTTATTAAGTTCAAAACGAAATAATGTTACTTTCAACTAATTCATTTGAAATATAGTATCTGTCCTTGTTGCTTTTGGTGACTAACTGCACTTAACACAGTCTGTATTCAGTTACAGCCAAAGGTGTTCTTTACTTTGCCTTACTGTTTGATGTTACCAGCTGAGGTGTCAAAAGGCAATTATTTGTAACTCTATATTGGTGGGTTTGTGTCAGGAAACCACTGTTAGTACTTGAACTTTAGTATGTGCTTCTCGTCTTTCTGGCATCCCCTAATTCTTCCTAATTTAATCACACTTCCGGCTGCAATGTTTTTCAGGTTTAAATGAAGATAAGGGGAAACGGGAAAGTGGCTACTTCTCCTTGGGAAGGGCCTCAGGTGCCAGCTCCATACGTGATAAAAGCCCCCCCAGCCCTTACCGCCATATTGAAAGAGGGCACCCGCTCTTCAAACTCAGGAATGTTGAACCAAAAGATGCAGTTCCATTCAGAAACCCAAATCTTGGAGTTGCATCGGAACGGATCATACCTGAACCTGTAATTGATGATGAACCAGTCGAAATTATTCCTCCAGACCCTTATGAAGTAGCCATAGAAGTTGAGGCACAAGTTGGCCCACGATCACCTAGTCCTACACCCTTTAAAATAGCAGAGTCTCTAGCTTCCACAGGGCGAAAAGGGGCAGCCAGTGTTTATGGGAGAAGAAGCCCTACTCAGATGAGTTCATATCAACCGTCCAGGCAAACCTCTGCTGTACCATCACGGTCTGCATCACCATCACGGACCAGTTTAGGATTCAGACGCAGTGAATCCACTACTTCCCTCAACAGACACAACTATGATGGAGGAGGCAGGATTAAGGGGGCAGAGATGGCATCTAAAAGCTCTCTGCAAAGCACTTATGCACGAAGAGGTGAGTCTGGAACCATGCCTAGAAACTTCAAATCTTACACAAGTGCTGTGAAAACTCAATCAAACACGGTTTCAGATTTTAGAAATGCCTTGCGGAAATCTGAAGGTGGGTTAGTAAATGGGCGTGGGCAACCCAGTAGAAATTCTTCTCCAACAAGAGGTGACTATAACCCTCCAGGCCAAATGTCTCTGAGAAAGACAGAAACTAACAGCAGCACATCTTATGCACGTAGCAGAGAAGAACGGGCCTCAGCTCCGTCCCACAAGTTGGCTGATAGTACAAGAAACATACGCAGCGCTTCATTGCCAAGAAGGACTCATGACACATCTAGTCATTCTGTTCTACATAAATCAGAATCTATTTGGTCTCTAAATGGACGTGGTCACCCTGGGCGTTGTGGTTCTCCTGTCAGAGAAGGCTATGATATTGAAAGCCAAGCTCTGATTCGTAGTCAGATCAATAATTATGGGACAAATGAAGATGAAGATGAAACCCTGTCTATGTCTCCTACTAAAAATTACGAAATGCCAAGTAAATCTATGCTACGTAAGACTGACACTGAAAGTATTAACATTCGGGGCCACGACAGTCGGAGTTCTTCTCCTGGCAGACGGGGTTATAATAGCTCAAGCCAACTTCGAAGAGCTGACACCAGTGGGTCACTGTACAGCCGCGGTCATGAAAGCCGAAGTTCTTCTCCTGGAAGAAGGGGTTTTGAAAGTTCTCGTCAGCTTCAGAGAACAGAAACCAGTGGATCACTGTACAGTCGTGGTGAAAGCCGTAACTCCTCCCCAGTGAGGAGAAATTTTGAAGGTTCCACTCAGTCTCTTCTCCAGAAGACTAGTAGCAGGTCAGATAGAAACTTAAGTCGAAGTACCTCCCCCTCTAGAAGAAGTCAGGAGCCTCCTGAACGTTCTCTAAGAACATCTGAAAGTATAATGCACAGCCACTCTCCTCCCCAGAGGGGCCTCAGGGACCCTCCAGGGTACTCTGTTCTTCGAAATGCTACAAATGGAGACTTCAGTCGTTCTTTTCAAAGAAAAGAAACAGAAACCAAATCTGAAACATATCACTCATCTCGCTCTTGGAGAGAATCTGCTCACACAAATCGCAGTACTTCTGTATCTCGAGCTGCTTCACCCTCCAGACAATCCAGCACTGGGAACAGAGTCTCCTATGTTACTATGGAAAAGCACAAAAACACAGGAAGTGTCAGGTCTGTGGGCAGAAGACGCAGTAATGAGGATCACCACCCTTCACCAGTTGACAAGCGGTCGAGTAGAGCATGGAGCCCCTCAAATTCACAAGTGGATCTGCGGAGGCACACCTCTTCCCAGAGCTCTATGGAGTCCTCTGAGTCTGGCCAACTGTCTGCAGGCTCTACAGGACGCAACAGAGAAGAATACGCCATCATGGCTGACCTGCCAAAAGTCAAAAAAGTCCAACAGAAGGAGGGGTCAAGCCAGCCAGAGCGGACAAATGTACAACTTTTCAAACCAGCCAGGTGAGCTTCAGGTGTAACTGTCAATAATACACTGAGAATGAGAAATATGATTAATGATGTCTTTGTTTTGTCATTTTTAGCCATTCAGTGACCAAGCAGCCATCCAGAGAATGGGACGACACGTGGGATACAGAATGGCCATATGGGGGCAGTGGCTATCTGTCCAGAGCCCACTCCACCACCTCACTGCATGTAGGTTCTGTGAAAAAGTTGTGCCGTTTTAAAGTCTTTAAGAGTGTCTTTAGATTGTTGCACTATTTTATTTCTTATTGTACACATTCAAAAAAAAGTGGCATAAAATGAGTTGTTTTAGGTTAATCTATGCTGCTATAGGCTGCTGATTGCAATAATGGTCTGTCTTATGCGGGAATGTTTGGTTTGATGTTTTATAATAAGCCAGCGCATATCCACATACCTCTCATAAAAAAGGGTGTTTTTTTTTTGTTTGTTTGTTTGCTTGGTCAAATATTGATTATCTAAATGACAGCCATCTGCTCATTTCCAGAGGTCTGGCAGTCCAACCACAGAAGAGGGCACTTGGAAAAGCAACCAGCACAGGTCAGAACAAATGCAGGTATGTGTAAGCATTTCTGCATTGCATGTGGATGATTCAGGCCTTGTGTGTCTCTTCCTAGAATTTGGTAAAAACAACTTTATTGTTTGATGGGGAAAAATGTTGTTTGTCATTATTACTTGTAGCCTAATTAAAGTTCACTCTTAACTGCCTTGTTGCGTTGTTGTTACATTCAAATACATCTTTCAGTAGCTGTCTGTGAGGCTCCTACACCCTTGAGGCATTTCATGAGTCTTGACTGAGCTTTGACAAATTTGGTCTGCTTGGGCATGTGTTGAAATTCCTTAAGCGAAACCAAGAGCTACCAAAAGAGGATTTTAGAAGGGAAATGTGCCACTTGTTTCAGTCCAAAAAATAGCCAACAGCTGTCAGATGAAAGCAAAGATCAGTCACCTATAAATGCCAGCTTTAAATAATTCAGATAGTCAAATAAACCTTGACAGGCTTTATTTGCACAGAGTGAGACCTCTTGTCATTCATGCATTTTCCTGGAGCAATAATAAGGTAAAAAAATAAAATAAATTAAAAAAATTAAAATAATGAAGCCCACGTATTTTTGAAGCTGTGGGTCTGTGTTTAGCCTTGTGACCCTAGAATAAATGCTATGTCCCACCAGCGCGTTTCTGTCACTGGTTTCTGAACAGTGGGCTTGTTTTCACTAAGGATCTCGGCGGATCCGCCCAGGAGGAAGTTACAGAGTTGCAGCCAGGCACCGATCAGAGACAGAAACACGAGAGATAAACTATTATAACTTGTTAAGACTACATCCAGATCGATCTTTTTCAAGAAACGCTGTTAGTTGTCGTTTTATTCGATTGTCCGAGCTGTTCTCTGAAACCCAAAACGCAATCGCTGGCGGATCTTGAGAAACTTAAAATGGAGATGAATGGCGGGCTTTTATCTACTTAGGACTGAAATGCGTCAAGATAACAGTGAAATTCTGAACTTTTAAGCTGCAGTACTTTCTGCTTTGAGTAACGAGTCCTGTGTCTGACCTGCCCTCCGTGGATCCTGTTATCATGACGGTGAGTTGCTTTAGAGTTTTAGAGCTGCTTTTGTTTTTCCTGCTGTTGTCAGGCGTGTGAAAATTTCCCTTTGCAACGTCGCTTGGTTTGTGGTGTTTTGCAAGATGTCGCTTTTCTAATCATACTTTTGGTACCTGTGGTTGATAAAAGTATACACTGTGTTTTATTGCACATAACTTACATAACATAGCCCAAGTTATCCAGGTGCGGTGTGGTGTAGTTGGGCACACTCTCTTCTATAAACATACAGCTTTATCGACAGTGTCAATAACCTGTGCATACATGTGTGTCAAATGTTACACACGGCTGTGACACGTTGCTCGTGTTTGCTTGTAAAGTAGGACACAGGAGTCAAAAGAGTGGCTATCATGGAGTTTGTACAATAGCTCTAGTCCTGCTGCAGAGAATGGAAATCTATTAAAATGAAGCACATATCCATAGAAAACGCAAAGGAACATGACACAGCCAGAGCAATAATAGAGTAAATCTGATATTTAGGTTATAGGAAGCAGGAAAGTTGTCTGTCTGTTCACCAGTAATTGACCTATTTTCTCCTGTTCATTGAGCCCATTCATAATAAAAATAATTCTCCCCGTCCTGATTTCTACCATTGCTGAGTCAGTTTGGCCCTATAACATCAAAGGAATACAACTAATGAATGCTTACACGATACTTGATTCCATGTAATATGTAATGATATAAAAAGGAATAGTAACAACTGTAGCACAACAATTGGATGAATGTGGGTGTTGGCTTGTTACATTCTTACCACTAAGCCCAGGTGTGGGGTAAATAATAATAAATACACAACAAATGTGAATCCAAATGCAGAGACAGGACAGTGACATTACCACAGCAGCCAATAACTTCAGTTTAAAAGTGTTGGAAAGCTGCAGATGAATTAGTTTGAAAGAGTGCTACGTGCCTTTGTAGGACACGTAATCCTCGTGTGGAATGTACATGGAAAGGATTGCATTATCTTAATCTAGGATCTTATCTGGTGGTGGTTAGTAAGCATGTTTTGTGGATTTTTCCCCTGGGCATTCTCCCAAACCCAGTAATGTTCTTTTTCCATGTCTATCTGTTAGTTGTAAGTTTGACTGTTGCTGGCACACTTGCTGTTTCCTGTTGTTTTCACGCTTCAGTGTTTTGTATCTGCTTGCTTTGTTCAGCAACTCTTCTATTTTAGATACAGGTGAAACCTCTAAATGAAGGTCATGTAACTGAAACACTGTTTTCTCTGTCAGCCTGACCTACTGAACTTCAAAAAGGGATGGATGTCGAAACTGGACAACAGTGGAGAGGTAAATATGGTGAGAATTGCCTGTAATGTGAAACCAACTGGTATCTCTTGTGCTGAAAATGTATACTTGAGTACATGTTCAATTTGTTAAAACTTACTTGCCACAGAATTTCTGTGATTTTAAGTTAGTGGAATCAGTAGTATCTGTAGGGTTATGTTGCGTTATACTTAAAAAGTTGTATATATTTTTATTTTAATAACTTTAAAATACATGTAATAAGTCTTGTGTTTTCTTTTCTTTTAGTGGAAGAAGCATTGGTTTGTTTTGACTGATGCTGGACTCAAGTATTATAGAGACTCCACTGCAGAAGAGGTGCCACCTCACATACCTCTCTTTACGATTTAGTTGTAAAATCAAGCATAGAGTCACTGACAGCTTTTTTTGTGCAGAAAGATGACTTGGATGGAGAGATCGATCTGAAATCCTGCACCAAAGTGTCTGAGCTGGATGTGGAAAAGAACTATGGTTTTCAGATACATGTTAGTAAACCTTATGCCTGTCTGTTCCCTTCTTGTTTTGTCAGTCTACTTCCATCAAATATTTTGCTTGAACCATTTTTATCTTCTGTTTTAGACACGGGAGGCGGTGTTCACACTGTCGGCCATGACAGCTGGCATCAGGAGGAACTGGATAGAAGTATTAAAGAAATGTGTTCGACCCAGTAGCTCCCCAGACCTCACACAGTAAGTACTAAATAATTAAATTGTACATTTGTAAAGGCTAAAGCTTATGAAGCTATTAAAAATGTGAGAATGGTAATACTTATAGTTGTAATGTAACAATACAGGGCAATAGGGCTGGACAATTAATTAAATTGATTTGTGTTTTTAATAATCAAGATTTTGAAAAAAAAAAAGTGACATGGAGGATTATTAAGTTACTACATAGTTTAAATTTAAAACTTGAACCATTTAAATTAAATTAAATATCTATACACATGTAATGGAAGGCAATTTACACTGTCTTAAATACAACAATATAAGAATGTAGAATGTAAAGAGCTTCCCCTGTTTGAAAGAAAAGTAAAATGACTACACCAGCACCATTCAAATCAGGCAGTTTCAGAAACTGCACTTGACAGTGACAATTTAAAACATGGTCCATCTCTACAGCACCTGAACTTCTCAGGGCATTCTGTGTTTATCCTGTCCCCTTCTTTCTGCTACAAGTAAGACTCTGATTTTAGAGAAAAACAAATGAAATGATTGCTTTTTAGGGTTTGTTGCAATCTGGTTTTAGTCACAGGATTGGGCAACTGAGGTGCTCATTCTGCTTTTAATATAATAACTGGCTTGAATCAAACCACAAAATGTTTTTTGTTCATGTGAATCAGCATTACATTTGTTACAAGTAAAATCAATACTTGATCATACCTGAGGATGCAGATATGTTTATGAGTTATGTAAGAAAATAAATTTAAAGATAATGAACCAGCTACATACATTTGTTCATCATTTGACTGACGAAGTGGCTTTTGAGCTTCTGTCCCAAAGTTGATATGTTGAACAATGAGAACCACTTGTTCACTATAAGGTCATGGAAATGTTCTTCTATTGATGGGACTTTGGAGGACATGACCCATGAGTCATGGGTTTTTTGTTGGTGGTGAGTTTGTGTTCAACAAAGCCTCGTTTGAACATCGGCATCTTGTTTTTTGGCACTGCCTGGTTGCTCATGCCTCATGGAGGTCTTTACTGTAAAACTGCAGGTAACATTTGTTCAGCTGTTCTGATGAGTCAAAGCTGTGATGTAATTTTGTAATTTTCATTTTAAAGTTTTGCTTTGGATCACCAAACCCTGATGATGAACAGGTTGCTTGGTTTAATAGATACTTTGATTTTATTGACTATACATTTTCAACACAAGTAGCATGCTTTAACAGCTGCATTAAAGAGGGATTGTGTGTTAGGCACCTGTTGACTGTGATGAATATACTGTGTACTCTTGTCGACACTGGCTGCCAAAAATATATTAAAATATCCAGTTCCCATTTTGGCAATGGAGTAGGATACAAGGACTCCCACTCTCAAATAGTTGAAAGAGATAACGACTGTGGCATGTCAGAGAAAGTTATGAAGGGTTAATGGTGAGAGGGAAGATGTGCAGGATCAATGGGATAATCTTTTTTTGTTTTTTTGTTTAACAAGGACCATGTAAGTGTACATTAAGCAGCATGATTATAACATTTACATTATTTTTGCTTTTTGGGTTCTCACTCTTTTAGTCATATCTTTAAAAGCAGACCTATAATGCAGAATCACCTTTCAGAGCTTTTATCCATTTTATAGTTGTTCCCCCCTCTCGTTACCCTCTCAGAGTTGAATTCGGAGTGATTTGTGCATGTTTGAGGAATCTTTAATCACTTACCTTCAAGATGCCATATTACCGATCAACCCCCGTTCTCACCACCACTGGCATACACCCACTGCTCTCTATTTTGTTCTCCAGTTTAATTTTCTTAATCGGTGACACACCAAGTGTTGTGTTATCATTTTGGTACAAATGAAAAAACCATCCACTGCTCGGTAGCATGATCTGAGCTATCCATGGGAGTTGCAGAATCTTTGTTGCGATGACGTTTACAGTGATATCTGCCCCCACTGGGCATCTCATTTTTCTAACGCAGAAGTCAGTAGACTTGTTTCAATGAATTGATTTTAGATGAATATTGCTTCTTAAAATGTGCAAATTATAACATAATGATGCACGGGTATTGTAGATTATAACTACATTAGGCTGTGATGCACAAACGTTTTGGTGTTTCCTCTTAAACAATGTAATTAAGGATCCCCTGATTCATAATCTGTTTCTCTTCACAGATTACCAGATGGCCACAGTGACAAAGAGAACTCCCACGTTCGATTTTCTCGTCAGTCATCAGAACATTCATCCCACACGCCTTCTTCTCAGAGGAGGTTCGACTATGTTGAGCTATCACCTGTTCCCAACTACTCTGCCCCCCCTCCATCCAATCAGAGAGAAGCTGGTGAGGGCCAGGGCAGAGAACACAGCCAATGGCAGGAGGAGAGGAATACTAGCAGCCAATGGGAAGCATTGCTTTCCAGAAAGACTCCTGGTGGAGAGACCAACCAAAGACTTCACAAAGAAGAGGAAATAGAAAGAAAATGGGCAGAGTTTGAGCGCCTGCCGCTGAAAGACATGAGCTCTTTTAAAGCAATGGGATCACGGTCCTCTAGCCAGTCAGCCAATGAGGCGCTGCAGAGGGAGGTAGTGTGTGGAGTTGATTTTCTAATTTGCAATAAGTCAATGCAAATTAACCCATCATCTGCCAAGATGAAGGAATATTCCTTATTTCACACTTTTTAACATTTCACTTACTCTATATTGCTTTGTCTGTTTGGTAGTTTCATTCTGCAAAACTTGACAAAAAGTTAACATAACAAAGTTTGTGCAGTTTGGAAACTGAAAAAGTTTTAATGTGTGCTGTTGACCTGCAGTGTTGAGAATCCACATAATTAGCAACTGTGCTATTCAATGCTTGTGCCAAGAGATAACGTTAGCACTTTTTTTTATCATGGGTCACCAAAGCAAACCAGCTGCACTGATTTTGCAGTTGTTGTTGTTGTTTTTACTACTGCCTGCTCAATTTGAATCAAATTGTGATCAAAGAAAAATTTGTTGTTGAGTTATTTGAATACAAGTTGCTCATCATGTGGCTAAACTGGTTTGACTGAACTTTGATTATCTTGATTTATGTTGTTGTCAGTTGGCTTTACCTATGTGATTCTCCTTTCCTGCATAGGTGGCGTCACTGAGGCAGCAGCTGGAGAATCTACAGGGGGGAGGGCGAGGTGGGGGAGGGCAGGGGAAAAGCTGTGGTCCTGAGGCTCCCTGTGGCCGGAGCCTATCTGCGATGGAGCGGGCTCATCGACAGGCACTGGAGGAACTGAAGAGGCAACATGACAGACAAATGAGAGAGCTACAGGCAGAGAAGGACAGGCTACTGCTGGAGGAAACCCAGGCCACAGCACAAGGTCTGGACAAAACACACAACAAACACCTGATTTATTAGATTTAAAGTTCATTAGAGACCACTTTTTTTAGTTCTTTTATGTTGGTGGCTGTGACTATCAAGTTAAGATGATTTCTAGCACATCTTTGTTTTTGTTAGGGATGTAACAATAACCAAAATATTGTGATATATTGTATCGGCACAGGTCTCACAGTAATATCATGGACCATCAGAATATATTGAATTACAAGTGTCTTTGCTTTAATTAATAGTTATGATGCAGCAATAGATAAAAACAGAGGGAACTACATACACAGAAATAACTGTTCTAAGCACTTTTAAATGGTAGTTCTTTAGATTAAGTTTTGTCAAGCCATTTTAAGAGGAAAAAGTAGCATATGCAGTTTTGTTAGTCTCCACAAAATATCTCAATAAATATCGTACAGTGAGATGTATATTGTGAAAAAAGATTTGGATATCGTTATCGTTATTTCTAGTTTCTACATACACAGTTTAAAATACAAATACAAAATTTATGATTTATTTTCCATGCAAGGTCAAATCATTGATTGGAATAAGATGTTGCTTGTAACTGCAGAGGAACATTGAAAGTTGCCCGAGGTTCCAGACGTAAATGTCCCATTCATTTTCTCACATGGACACAAGTTTAAAGGCATGCTAGACACTAACCTCCTATGTGATAACTAATGACCATAACACGGTTGTATTTAAAAAAGATTATATGCAATTGTGGTCATTACATGTCTTTTTAAACACGATTTTTCATTTTTATTTTTCTCTGAATATCTGTGGAGATAATGAGTGAGAAATTTAATTCCAGAACCTCTAAGTGGGTAGTCACAGTTGAGCTCCAGGGCATCATAGGTTTTCACTTTTAAACGCTTGTGCCATCTTGTGATTTAGGTCTGGTTTTGTGTTTCTATTTTAGTAATAAAAACTTTGAAAAAGAACCACAAAGAGGAACTGGAGAGAGAAGTGGAGAAAGTCAAGAGACTTGGCAGTGGGGCAGATTCCCAGACACTGCAGACACAGCTACAGTGAGTACAGACGATAAAACATGTTAGCGGTACACATCCATGCAGAGAGCATGCAATCATGTGAACCTTTCCACTGTATGCTGTTGTCAGAAATTTGGGAGTGTTACTTTAAAAATCATAATTTTGCACCTTTTTCAGAGCAGAAATACAGTCATTGCAGAGGGAGTTGGCAGGTTTGTCAGAGCGTTACTCACAAAAGTGTCTGGAGCTAAACAGAGCTGAACAGGACAATGCTCAGAGAGAAAGAGAGATCAGCCACAAGGAGAGGGACATGGAACAGCTGAGGAAAGAGAACCAGGTAAGTTACAAAAATGCATGTATTTTGGATGCCCACTTTTATAACGGCAGTGTGTTTTTCAGGAGTTAAAAAGCCGGATAGCTGAGGAGATTAGTCGAGCACAAGCCACTGTTGCACAGCGGGGCTCTGACGACAGAGTCACTACATCATGTGAACTAGAGGTATAAGTTAATGTCAGAACAATACACCAGTATAGATTTACAAGGCTAGAATCAATTTGATGTATTGTGTTTTCTAGGTTCTTCTCAGAGTAAAAGAAAGTGAGATTGAATACTTGCATAAAGAGATCAGCTGTTTAAGAAACGAACTACAGTTTCTTAACACGGTAAGGTCTCTTGTTTTCACTCTACGCAACCAGTGCTGAGTGTACTGCATTATTTTGCATTGCATTAGAGTACAATGCAAAATTTTCTAGCACTATTTCCTTCAAATCAGTAATGTGTTACTTTTAGTCAAGAGCCGGTTGGTGTAGTGGTCCTCTGCCACCTCCAAAGCACAGACAGTTACAGGGTCCAGTGCATGTGATGCCCATCCGTGGGCCTACAGCTCTGTGCGCTCTGCAGACCTGCAGCCTGTTCCCCACAGAATGTCGGTGCCACTGAATTCCTCCAGCACAAGGCACCTTCTCTACAGGCCTCTGAGCCAAAGTGTGCAGTTAAAAATGTGTATCAGCAAAGCTCTGTGGTTAATGGCAACACAGATTAGTTTTTTGCTCTTGGTGTGTTGAGGATGTGACAGACACAGCAGGTGCTGCCACTGTGATCATTCGCTTATTAAAAAGTTGTCAGCTCCAAGAAATTACTGCACTATAATTTAAAAGATTAAAGGTACCACATGCAATGCAGTATTTTTATAATAAACAAGCACAGTAACTTAATGCATCAGTTTGCTAGTTACTTTTAGTAATGATACCCCGCACTAACTTGAAACTTCTGTCTGATTTTGCAGGAGAAACGTCTGGCATGTGAGCGATACACCGAAGTGCATGAGGAGTTAAGTGGGCTGAAGGGTCGAAATGAGCGAGAGCTCCAGAACCTGAGGGAGCACCTCCGACTCGCAATGGCCGCCCTACAAGAGGGCCAAAAGTTGGGCAACAGCCTGGATCACTGAGGGCCTGTGTATGGTACTAATACTACTGCAGATACAGCGGCAGGTGTCGGGATTCCCATGCCCTTCACTGCAACAAGAAGAAATGGAGTAAAGCCGAGCATCACTGTGTGGCATACTGTGCTCGCTCTGCGCAGGCTGAAACAGTGCCTTACTTTTTAATCTCCCTGCCAACACAGTCGCATAGACTCGTTTTTTTTTACACTGGTTCACAATTTTTTACTGCACTTTTGTACTTGCTTTGGTCAGTTAAGAATTGATTTTGGGGTCATGACTTGTATTTGAGTGACATTTTGAATGATCAGGTAAAATGATAAATGTTAAACAATGTTTTTGATTCCACAATCAGGGGTAGCAAGGTCATCGTAGTTACACATGAGCTACTTCCATCTTGTTTATGTGGATATCTGAGCATCTGCTATTTAAAAATCATTTTGAAAGTCATACAGAATGCTGTATGTAACTTTACATGGGAATATGAAGAAGTGATTAGTGAATTATAGTAATTGGTACACTTGTAAAGAGCCAAGTGTTTTGATAAGTGTCTGTTTAAATACAAAAAAATAAAATAATCAAACCTCTGTTCATAAAAATAGACTTATAAAAAACTCTTATAAAAATGTCCCATTTCAAGTGTCCTCAATTTCAAAATATCTGGCAAATAGAAATATATTTAATGTCTTTGTGGGGATTGCATTGATGAGCCAATTTTATTGATATTTTGTATTGTAACAAAATAACGTGTTTTGAACATTGTTCATATTTAATGTACATCTAATGTACCTTATATCAACTTTGTAAATTATTTGTATTTTGGAGTCTATTAAAGAAAAAGTTACTAGGATTACTTCTCTCTCTCTCTTTTTTTTTTTCAAAATAGTTAAAAGCATTAGATCCTAAAACTCACTATATAACAACAACCAATAACATTTGAACTTCAGATGCCCCTCATCTGTAACTGATATTTTGCAGCTGATATCATCGACATTTCCCGGAGGTGTGTAGCTGAATAGAAATCTGTAACCCACTTATTTTCAGTCAAATCACCAATTCAGAGAAGAATCTGGACCAGTTTGTACACCAAAACCACAAATAAAAAAAAAAAAAGCATTTCATAAGAATTCCACCTGGTCTTTTTTGCCTAATTACAAGTCCCGAAATCTCATGTTTAGAGAGATATGCTTCAGCTTTGACATGGGAATTAAGATCCAACAAATGCTCAATCTGCTGTCTCACGCCATTCTTATATTTACCCCAAAACATTTAGAAACAAATTCTGTTTGTATTGAGAGTCATTTTTAGTCAGGCATTTTAGGGAAAATAGGCTGAAACACTAAGGGGGTTTTAACACAGTCTGACCATAAAAGACTGACGTATTTGGAACTACACCAGGTGAAGTACACTGATGCTGTTAAACAAGTCTTTCCCATAATAAATTACAGTCACAACGGTTTTCAGTTTCTCAGTTTCAGTTTTTTTTTTTTTTACAGTAACTTAGATTAGAATATTTGTTTTATTTCGAGCATGGTAATGAAGGTGAAAAGTAGGAAATAAAACACACAAAAAACAAAGCAATACATGTACATACATACACGTCTTTCTGTAACTACTGAAATTTCTACCATAGAAATACATGTAGAACAACCCCAGTGTGATGTCACTGCAAAGTATACTGGCCTGTAGAATCCCGTAATCTCATCTGAAATCGACCAGTGATTCCATCAAATTCTGTAAACTGAACAATTCAAGTAGCAAAACGAAATAACTTTTTTGACAAGTCGATTAAATTAATTTTTTGTCAACCATAAAGCCGCCCGACCTCGAGGTGGCGCTCCTCTAAAGCTGCTACTGGTCTTGTGTTGAAACAAACGGAAACGCTTGTGTAGCAGCAGTGATGGCGTCCACAGCGGCGACCCGAGCGGCGGCTGGAGCTGCTAAAGTTGTCAAGCCGATTTTTAGTCGGGACTTGGATGAAGCCAAGCGCAGGGTTCGGGAGCTGTACCGGGCGTGGTACCGAGAGGTCCCTAACACAGGTAACCGGCCCCTTTAAGATTCGTAATGTGCCGGAAACATTTGTTTAAGTCAAGGTCGTGTCTGCACAGCCTCTCGATGACAGAAAGGCTGTGTGTTTATCGCGTTATCTAAAACTTTTTATGGAGGTTTTGTGTATTTAAACTCACCTACCCTAAACTACTAGTTACTACTGAATGGCAGGTCTAAATGAAAAGCATGTAAATTACCTTGTTTTAATGCTCTTTCGCAGTGGCCATGTATCAGCTGGATATAACAACACGCCAAGGAAGAGACAAAGTGAGAGAGCTTTTCAACAAGAACAAACATGTGACTGACCCTCGTGTAATTGACATGCTTGTAATTAAGGTAAAGAACTCTACCATTTGTACTGTCAGCTATTCATATGCAGTTGATGCTCAGTCCAAACAGTGCACCACGTTTTTATGTTATTGGGCAAGACACTTCACTGGTCCTGTCCGTGTAAACTGGGGCATGAATGTGTGTTTGTCAGAACAGCTCACAACTATTTGGTTTATCTGCCAAGTGCAAGTTAATGTGCACTCTTCCTTTCAGGCAGGGCTTGGTACTTAAACTATCCAGAGGTTTCAGCATTCACTTATAGACAACATTTTCAAAACTATTCACCATCCAAAAGATACAAAATATGTGTGTTTCACTAACTCAAAAACATGCATTTTTATTGTAAGTGGGCTTGCCTCTCACCCTGTAACTTGGCCCTGTGGCATCACTTGTTGTGCTTAGTTGAGATATTTAAGTATCACACAGTGGAACACTCCAAGAAACACAATAAAATGTTCATGTAGAGAAGCATGACAGACCCTCCACCAGACAAGTTACATAATGCACCTTTAAGTAAAAGTACATGTACAAATACTGCTGCTGCTGAAAATGTGCGTAAGTAAAAAGTACACAAAGAAAATACTATTCAAAGTACTAGTTCCTAGTATGTCATTTAGTAGCACTTTAGATCAGTCTCAGGTCTTTTTGACAAAACTTGATCAATCAAACAATTTAAAGCTGACATATTTTTAAACCACAATCCACATACTCTGGCCACTCAGACCAGGTAATGCAGTGACATTACTTGTGTTCCTATTGTTGTATTAGAAAGCTGGGTACATTACTCAGTAACTGTTTGTGTTCATTCACAGGGTAAAATGGAACTGGAGGAAACCATTCATGTTTGGAAACAGAAAACTCACATCATGCGCTTCTTCAGGGAGTCAGAGGAGCCACGTCCTACTGACTTTCTGTCCAAATTCTACAAAGGTCATGACCCATGAACTGTGAATTCACCTGATGTCCATGTCCTTAGTCTTTGTGATGTCCATTTATTGTAAATATAATCAATATCTACAAAGTTGTGGTTCGGCTGATGATTTTAAATGAATATCTCTAAATACTTTTGGTGATGTAATAAATTAGCATCCAATTAAAAGGTTATCTACTACTAACAACAGTTTGGTTTATTAGGCTTTTAGTACAGGCAAAACAGTACAGTAGCAGCAACAGACACCTGGACAGCCCTAGTGTAAATTAATGAATGTATAGTGCAAGTCCAAGCAGAGATGATGTAACATGACTTAAGCAGGATCACTTGGGAAGGTGTTCACTTTGATTCTTCAGATCTCCCTATGGTGGTTCTGTAAAGTCTGAAAATAAATAAACAAAAGATTAGTGCACAGTATGATCTTTCACGGAGATACTTTGAAGACACAAAGCAAGCCACACTAATCGCTCTTTAGAGATGAGCAGTGCATCTCTGTGTAATGTGTTTATAATGCACACGGACTCCCACTGCACAAGCCTGGTACCTGGAAAACCCGCCTCAGTCATCATCATCGTCGTCTTCGGGCACAAAGATGTCGTGCTCCTCCAGCAGTGCTGCAAAGTTCTTGCTGATCAGAGTCCCCACATACAAGAAGGGCACCACTACCAGAGCAATCCGGATAAGGCCGAAATGGGTCTGCTCCCCAGTGTCACATACCCCATAGAAATAACTAAATTAGTTCATGTAACGCAGCTTCACTGTTGATGATTCTGTGATGATGATGTGTGACAATTTCTACAGAAAATGCCCTGCTGAGTTTTTCTGCTGTAATTTAACCCTCTCACCTGTGTCTCCACAATATCAGGAAAGATTTCAGCTCTTAAAAGCCCTTACCTTTTTTGGTTTGGGCAGAATGGCTCCGGATGAGGTGGTCACTGCTGTCCGACATGCTGTGACAGTGTTTGAGTGACAGTCATGAAGCGATCGATGAGAAATACGGGCGTTTCTCAGAGCCGAAAAGCAAAGCAGGCGAGCCACGGGCGACGCCATGTTGACAGCGCCTCATGCGGTGAAAACAAGAGTCATACAGCGCCGCCAAGTGGTACTAATTTTGCATATCACTGCAGCTGTTTCATTGGTTTCATTTTATTTCACGTAATTAACATATTAAGAAAATCAAAACTACTTTATGCATTTGACAGTTATGATAATAAAAAGTCAAACAGTTATATTTTTACCACACACATTTTTGTGAGGTTTAATAAATTAAGTTGAAATATAGTACAAAATGTATCAGCAAAGAGATGAGTTCCAGCACATTTAGCAGCCACATTCTGATTACAGATTAATGATAATCCTAACAAAACGAAAATGATAATCTGCAATTTAGATTAAGATGTTTAACGTAAACAAATAAATACTGTACATATTTACACATTTACAATTATCTAGTGGTGTACAGTCAGCTTTCTGTGCAGTAGTCAATCACATACATCTTGCTGACCATTTCGATCAGTGACTGAGTTCATTTTTGTGCTTCATCAAATTGTACCATTTGTTGCCATCCAGTCAATATGTCACAATCAGTGAACACAAAAAAATGTATACAACACATTAGATAATAACATTATATTGAAAAACAAATTCTATATGACATAGCTTACTACAACTCAATAATATAAAATAATAACGATGCAAGTAAATGTAAACAACTTAAAAATTAGTTCATCTTTAGTGCAATTATCTGAAGAATCAAGTTGAACACAACAGGCTATTATAGCTGCTACAAAGCATCCCAAAGATTCCCATCACATTTTTTTTTCTTTCAGTGCTTAAAAGACAGGCGTCTGAAAAAAGTATTAACCTCAAATGCACTTGGTTTGACAGAGCTTTCTTGTGTTTTGTTTTCATTTAGTCTGACCATTTTTGCTTTGATGATTGCAGCTTTGAGGCTCATGATTTTCACCACACAAGCAATGGGCCTGGATCCAGGAGTAGGTTGGGAAGACACTGTAATGTAGGAGGCATCTTCCTGGACCTCATCAAATGTCACTGGAATTGTTTTCAGATTTGTATTTATTTTTTAACATTTGTGATCCACCTATTCTATACTTTAGATTAGTACTTTACCTGCTGAAGTTACTGCAGTGTCAGTGGTGCTGTTCAGCTCCAAAACGACAGTGGGATACGTAGGGTGCAGGAGAAACAGTTTTCTAATAAGAGGTTCTCCTGCAGCAACACCAGGCGGGACCTGCAAAAATACTAATGCTAATATCTCAACAAAATAAACAAAATAAACATAATTCTACGGTTTTGTCAAACTCTTTAATTTTAACAGTATGCTATGTTATAATAAGAGTAAATATTGTATACGTTTTTGTTCCTTTGTGTAGTGTTTGGTAGGTAGTATAGTATTTGTCCACTATCTCTGCTAACTAATAAAATAAAACACCCTGACTTACTGTTGTCTTGGTAACATTCTTCTGTGGTCTGATGGGTTCACTGGCCCAGAAGAGGAAAGCAGATTGGCCCGATGAGGTGGACATCGTAGTAGAGCCCAAATCCAGACGAGGACATGCAAACTCTGCCGACCACAGGAGACGGCCACTTGCTCCATCAATGATCTGAACCTTAAAAAGTTGAACCAAACAACTGTTAAAAATGCACTTCCATATTAAAGCGAATATTTGTACTAGGCTACATGGATGCTGAATGTTACCTTCATGACCCCATTTGCTGAATGTTGGAGAAAAATGTCCAGGACTCCATCATCATTGAAATGCCCAGAGGTCGGTTGGCTACTTACACAAAAGTGTTAGAAAATTTTGGATTCAAAACTTTATTGCCATTGTCAGTGAACAAATTTTAAGAATAAATAATCTTTATTTTATACATAAAAACAGAGATTCACAAAATACATAAATAAATAAATAAATGAAAGACTTACTGTACCTATGAATAAGAGGCGAAGTGAAGGTCCAGTCTTTCCTTAGATCCTTCTGCCTGAGCACTGACAGTTTACTGGAGCCATACACGAGAACCCAGTCACTTTTGGTGCTGTTCTGGTTGGAGAGTGTGTCTAGGTTGTTGTGGTTACTATCATAACCAACCACATGGGGATACAGGAACGTAACATCTTCTGCTCCTCTAAAGGATAGATACAATACCTTTAATGACATTTTCTAATTCATAAACTAATGAAGCATTTAATAAAAACAATCTAGGAATCAGCACTGAAGAAAAAGACCAAGTCTAAAACAGTAAAAACTGAGTTATTTAAAGGCTGACAAACACCCATCTGTTCTATACTTTAAAGCACTTGCTCTTGTCAACGTAACTTTCAAAAGACCCTTTGTTTTGCTCCTACCTGACCAGTCTTCAAAACACAAAGAGGGGCCTCAGTGCCTGTAACATGTAACTAGAGCTTTAGCTCATTCACTGAAGCATACCCAAAAATGTGTATCAAAGTGGAGGAATTGGTTCTGGCCTTGAGTCCCTCCCATCCTGGATCCTTCTTTCTGAGCTCTTGGTTTGAAGGCATTTTACCAGTAGCATGAATGTATAGGTCACATAGCGATATAGCTTTGATGTTACCTGAAGAAACAGACATGTGATTTAAGATTAACAACACTGTTACCATTATATATATTATATATATATATATTAATATATATATATATATATATATATATATATATTTTTTTTTTTTTTTTTTTTTTTACCTAATCCAAATAAGATGTAATATGCCTCTTGGGTTTTATGCAGCAGTGGACCAATCAGCTTTCCTTGGCCAGATATGTTAAAAGGTACTGAACGTCCAAGTTTTGCCCCTGTCTGTCCAGAAATTAATGTGAAAGACAGATCCATAGTCTGTAACACATTTTTTTTTTATGTAATTAGATTCACTGTATACACAAACATAGTGAGCATATTTGTAAAAAGGTTTACAGTATCTGCAGGTAGGGTGGATATTAGCAGATCTGGGATCGAATCTCCCTGAAGATCTGGTAGTAAAACAACCTGAGATTCAATGCTCTTGAGCTGCACCGACCACAGACTCATCCCTGGGGAGGAAAGAAGAACCAGTGACACTTGTTAACAATAAATAGGTAGGGCACAGTGGTTCCCTAAACAGTGTGAGCTTTGAAAATAAATAGTACACACAAAACTACATTTGGAAGAAGACTATAATGTACTATTCACAAATTTTACATCCTGATACAATTTAGTTTTCTTTTTAAAATCCTTCAGTCTACCTTCTGTTTACAATACTGTCAAACCATAAAGTTGAATCATAAATTAATATTATGAGGTTGTTAATAGCTATAAGGGAGAGACTGATAAAACAATAAGCAGAACAACTCAAAACTATTAGCATGTAAAAAGGTTTAGGTTAAGTTTCAGTATATACAAATCTAACAAACTAACTCCCCTCCCTTTAGGTCAACATCAGTTCTAGCTTCTACCTTTAGATTGATAATGGCTTTTGAATGGCCAAACGCCTTGACTTTAAAAACATTGTACATATGCCTTTGAAACCTTTTTACCACGGACCACTCCTGGATTCCCTCTTTCTCATTAGTCCCCCTTTAACTGATTATATTTACGTAATATGCAATCAAAGCTTATCATACTGACTACCATGTTGAACAGCCAATAGTATAGCAACTATGATTGTAGTGACTATTTGTCAAATAAAAGTAACAAACAAAAGCGTGGGCAAACTCAGAACTAAACATAACTCAAATAATCACCTTTGGGCACCATGGGTATGTGGTTTACGCAGTACAAATCAATGTCCATGACTAGAGATGATTTTCCAAGATTTATTTTCCAGTTTTTTGGCAAGCAACAAGGAATACATGTTTAAGGCCTACCCCTGCTGCCTCTCCGGGTGACTGATAAAAAACCATAGGCCCACCCAGGTGCCCTCTGGTCTACGTGTACCACCCTCCTTTATCCCCTAGGTGACCCAAATTAAACCAAAAACAAAAAAGAGGTGCTAACGTAAATAATACCAACTTAGACTAAGAAATTAGTAAGAATAATATTAACATATCAAAAATATATTATACAAATTAACAAAACTAAATTAGTAAGCTAATTAACAAACAAAAATAATAAACTAATTTTAGAATCAACAAAATAAGCAAATAGCTCCTACACTCCGGCCCCTAATTGTGCATTAAAATCACAATTACCACTCAACTGAACATGTTGTCCAAAACACGGAGCTTAGCATTTGCAGCAGCGAGTTGTGTTTGAAGTTCGAGTTGTTCCTTTTGCCTTTTCAATTTTTCACTTTCGATTTTTATTTTTTCCTCCCGTGCCTCAATTTCATGTTTTTTATTCAGACCTGCGAAACGTTCCAGTAGCGCTGCTTTGTCGGCCTCTGCTTTGAGGCGCATGGACACAGTAGAGGAGACGCGCGAGGTTTGAGAGCGCGTCTTTGATATACTGGACTTTTCAAAGCACAAATTTGAGGCACTGTCCTCTGGACCCAAGTCATCCACATTTTGATTATTATCCGTATTTGATGGTGGGACATATGAAAGACCCAGATCACTCAACCAGCTCTTGACACATTCAATAAATTCACAGTAAGTACTTATTTTATTTGCAAAATATTCATTTTGTTTTGAGAGTTCATCCAAAGGAAACGGCAGATTTGTGAACGCATCATGCGCACTTTGTGCGTCTTGCTGGCATTGAACGAACACGTTGAGAAGTGACATCACTGAATTTGTATTATGCTTTGATTTCATTAATATGTTCAAATCCTCCATCAGTCTTTTTGCTTGTTTGCATTTTCCTTTCCGTTTTTCTTGGCAAGTTTGCATTCTAAGGCTCAGACCTTTGGGCGTAAATTTGAGGTTCCTTTTGCCTGACACTTGCGGGTCATTTTCCACAGCTGTTTGTACTTTTGAAACGTTCGACATTTTTTTTTATCAGTTTTGAGTTTCTTTTGTTTAAGATCCACAATTCAAATTACAATGGGCACACAGCAACAACACCTTTTTTTCTTTCCAACTTGTTACGTGGTTACTAGCGGTGCGTAAAGGTACTGCACATAAATCCAGCTTTGATTAATCTCCTTTTTGACGACTTGTATGGCAATATAAATCACTATCATCAAACTCCAATAGTTTGGCCGTTTTCCTTTACAGCATTAGCAATCATATTACACATACCATTGACTTTTGAGAGGAGGAGAGAGCGTTTAAAGGTAGAGGCAACTTTCCCGCTGACGCTGTCCGGAGAACAAAGGCATGAATCACACAAACTTTACGCTGCCATCCGCGCATTAATCCACAATAATCCACTTGATATCGATCCAATGAATCGTCTTGAAGGTCCAAGGGCAAGGTTTTTTACTGCTGTAGTGACTATTTGTCAAATAAAAGTAACAAACAAAAGCGTGGGCAAACTCAGAACTAAACATAACTCAAATAATCACCTTTGGGCACCATGGGTATGTGGTTTACGCAGTACAAATCAATGTCCATGACTAGAGATGATTTTCCAAGATTTATTTTCCAGTTTTTTGGCAAGCAACAAGGAATACATGTTTAAGGCCTACCCCTGCTGCCTCTCCGCGTGACTGGTAAAAAACCATAGGCCCACCCAGGTGCCCTCTGGTCTACGTGTACCACCCTACTTTATCCCCTAGGTGACCCAAATTAAATCAAAAACAAAAAAGAGGTGCTAACGTAAATAATACCAATTTAGACTAAGAAATTAGTAAGAATAATATTAACATAGCAAAAATATATTACACAAATTAACAAAACTAAATTAGTAAGCTAATTAGAAAACAAAAATAATAAACACATTTTAGAATCAACAAAATAAGCAAATAGCTCCTACAATGATAATAGGGATGGCAAAGTAATATTAATGTAATTAAAGTTTATGCAAAGAGTGATGATTGGTAGTAGTCCTTTTTTTTACCCATCACTAGAGCCAGAAAAAAAATTGTTTCTGTACAAATTGCTCACCTGTTGTTCCATTAACTGCCATTAAAATGGATTTGCTGATGAGGAGACAGACTTGTGACTTCTGAGCACTGATCTGCAGTCCACATTGGATGTACATCACCCTCTCACGCATGGGTTTCTTCCATATAATCTGCCCACTTACAGCAGATAGGGCCACAGCACTGTAAACTAAAATAAAAAAAAACTGTAAATCAAAAAATACTTAGATGAATAAAATATTTTGATTTTATATACCTTTATTTCCTAACGTGGGCGATTCAGTTACTCCCAATAAAACATCCTCTACAGAATCATCGCTCACATCCCACAATGCCAGGGCAGGGGGAGTGATACCTGCAGGATCAGCACACCTTCATCAGGCAATTACAGTATTCAGTATAAACACATAACAACAATTTAAAAGCAGCCACCAATTACATATTTACACTGAAGGATGGTGAAGAGAACACAAAATTGGTAGTTCAGTGAATAATTGTTACTCTTGATATAGATTTCAGGCTTATTTCATGATTCTAGGTTTTTAAAGCTCTACAGTGATCATATCCTGCTGAATGTTGCTACTTAAAAGTCCTATGATTTAAACATTTTACCTATATTGTACATTTATACATTTAATTACAGTGTTCATACACATTATTGTAACACAGCAGATTCTGTAATGCATCTTACAGAAGTGGGCAAATCAATAGATGCCACGTTCATTACAAATTTTTGGGATGACTTTATGAATTTTTTAGACTTAATCCTTCCTCTCAGAGCACAATTATTGGACAACATGGCATTTGAAATAAAACATTTAACTCATAAGAATCAATCTTTTCACATGGTTCTTAAAGCTGACAAATCCCATAGTCAGCACTTGGATTCTACACTTTGATAATTTCAGACAAAGAGTAGATCAAACTATGTAACTCAACTGGAAATCACAGGCTTGTACAAATATCCAAATTGACAAATATACATCAATTGTCTAAAAGATCCAACTTCGTAATGCCAGCTTTAGATGCATTGCCCTATTGACCAAAACCTCTTTCATGGTGTTACCAGGAGATCACAGACACCAGGGGCGGAGCCAGAGGTGACGAAGGTCCTCCTCAGATACCTCTGGCCTCCAAGCTAACACTTTCCATTAATGGATAATCCAATAATGATAAACTCACTTTTCTATTGAGACACTGCTAGTGTGGGCTAATCCCCATACAGGCTTGCTTCACATGGACCTGCATTTGTTCATCAATACAGTATTCTCTCTCTTATTAATTTAATAAAAATGTAATCTAAGGTTACACAGGCTATGGCCCAGATCTTAAGTAAAGTATTTTTATTTAAAATGAGCAAAATTAATGCTCCCAGATCATATTATGTTTTCTGGCTTTTTAAATACTTTTGGACACCTGCATAAGGTGATATATCATCAGATAAGATATAATACTTTAAAATAATGCATATGTACTTATGTCGGTTGATTTCTTGTTAAAATAATCTTACATACATGTATAAGAAAAAAATAGTGCATGCATTTATTCTACCCTGGCTTGATCTGTTTTGTTTGATGTACCTCCTGCTCCAAATGCTCTCTCCCACTGCGGCCGAAGTTTTCCTTTCTGACACGGAATCAGAAATGCACAGAGCAGCACCAGGAGTGTAGCACACACCAGTGGCACAAGGAAAGCAGCTATACGAACAATATCTTTCATTCTCATCTTCTTGGCATCAGTGTCTGTGGCGTGTACCCCGACAAGAGACCCAGACCCCCGCCTCTGGTCTCGGTACTGCATGTCCTTCAGGTCGTCTCCCTCCAGGCTTGGAACATGCTCTCTCCAGTCATCATCATCATCCTCTTCATCCAGCATTTCATCTACTGCCCCGACAAATCTGCCAGACCTGCTGCTGCCAGGGCCGAGACAGCTGTCCCGACCCAGGCCGTTCCGGGGATAGCTGAGCACAAGGTCATCTTCCTCACTCTCGTCTTCACTGTCTGCTTGGGTCAGAGGGTCATACTCACCCAGCTCTGAGCCCTTCTTTCCTGCACACAAATAAATTATAGTATGAATTTCAATTTAAAGAGAGTATAGGTATTTCTGTTCAAAATGTTCATATTCTATACTGAGAAAAGTATTCAACAAATCATTGTCCACATTTGATTTAGTTAATGTGGAATATTGGTTTAGTCCAACTTAGAACTTCTAAACAAGCTTTAAACTGCTATAGTAGTTACTTTATAATGAATACATATGAGATAATAACACAGCTATGAATTTATAGGGCTCTTGATTTCAATCCACGAGTCAAATGTTTCAGTTTTAACTTTTAACCCCGCCTCTGTCCTTATATCACCTTGTCCCTGATACTAAATCTATGCCCTGATATCGCAACATGGCACAGAAACAGGAGTGAATAGGCTCGGTTATAAAAATGTCTGTCTACATTAGCTTTCGAGTGAATTTTAACAGACATTATGTGGCTAAATGAATTAACACAACGACTACTATTACATAATATACTAAAGCAGGGTCTTCGGTAGTGTTTTTTCTATTAAATGTTACAAAAGTAATACTTTACTATTGCTGGGGTACGAGACTTAACGTTGGCAAATGCAATTTACAAAACATTACACCTTTCGATCATTCATCTCATCCATACTCGAGAGAAGTGATCGAGCGATGCAATATTTAAATTCCATCAATCTCAGTACATCATTCCTTATAGTATTTTCAGTACTATGATCTGAGCAAGCTACGGCTGATATTGTGTTGTGCAGCGTTGGTGGGAGCTAGCAAACCGGGAACACACGGTGGACACCATGGATTTATACACGGTGGACACACCGAGGAGATGCTAGTGTCAGTGCTCATCAGACTGATGCTGATGAGCACTAGTTTCATATAAGAACAGAATTCCTCCTCTGTCTATAATATAACACAGATGTTATGGCAGGTCTGTTTGTGCGCATGCATTTTATGAGAGAGGTCAACACATACAAGACAACAGACAGCGTAATACTTCTAAATAAGATGACAGCGGCTCCGTGGGTGTGTTTGTTCACATTATAATGTTGTGTGAAAAAAGCGTATGACGCATATCTTACCGGGCAGTTTGAGGGCTCGAGACAGAGCTGATGCCATTTCTTCTCCACCGTTACCTGCACGAAGCCAATACAGCGACGTGCTTCTAGGGACGAACGGACAAGCGGGGCTGGATCACAGACTGTGGGCTGGATGCATTTGAGCCGCTGCGCCAGCCTAAGTGCATTGTGGGATATGTAGTTTAACACTGTAGAGCGTGGAGGCGATGGGTTGGTAACTCACTGGCAAAACCTCCTACACTGATTTATCAACACGATACATGAGTGTAGGAGGCATCAGCGCTTCCTGCAGAGAAAGTTCTGCCTGGAGAAGGAGCTAAAAGAAAATGTAGTTTACCTACAAACATAACTGCAGGACTAAAGTGTCTTTTACTTATTTTATAACTTCACTTTATAACCATCTTTATGACATTTGGTTAATTCACACCTTTTGATAACATCTTTAGACATTACAACTCAACATAGTCCTCCTAGTCAGTTATATGTAGAATTCATATTCCATATTTAACTTTACATTTTAGGGGCGGGGCAGATCCTAGTACCAAGAGGCATCTCGCAAAGTAGGCAAGTCACCTCCGTGGTCGGACCTGAGCCCTTACAAAAATTCTTCTCGTAAGTTCACGAGGGACGCGGGCGTCACCCCGCATCGTTATTTTCCTTACTCATCAGTTTAAGGCATAACAAATCACATGTCGAGTGAGAGTTTGTCCCAGTGCCTGTACTTCTTCGGTCACGGTGTCAACAACAGGCACAGTACCGTAATACCAAAGGGTTTACAAAATTTTTACATCATATTGTTTGTTATACGTTTTAGCTAATACATTTACTGCTCAAAACAATTACAATAATTTGGTGAATTTGTTGTGAATAAAAAGTAACGTTTTATAAAACGTGTACCGCAATGCATTATGGGGGGAGATCTCTTCTCTTTCACCTTTTCAGTCAAGAGTAGTAGAATGCAAATGTCTTGATGTGAGTGCACGTTGCCTTCTCTTAAACTTTATGTTACTTCAGGTTAGAATGTTGTGAATAGTCAAATAGTGATTTGTCACTAAATGTTAATAACGTACAGACAGTGAAACGATACACGATAAAACACGTTAGGTGTATTCCTCACCATTCTCGCTGCCATGGACTATGCCAGCCTCGGTAATGTTTTTATTACTAGAGTCCACGCATGCGCATACAGCACGGTGAGAGAAAATGGCAGACGTTTCTTTGGACGAAGTGATCCGACAGCGCGGCATTAATCTTAAGGCAACTACAAAGCGGTAATCAACATTAATTCTATATACTTCTCATTATTATCTGAAAACCAAATACGTGCAATATTTTAGTAAAAATGTGTACACACGAGCTTGTTTAAGTCTTTCATTGTGCTATATGTTAATGCTAACCCTTTCGCTTTGCACATATAGCACTAGCATGTAGCTAGAAAAATCAGTACATCCGAAAGCCAACTGCCGTCGAATTTACTTTTAAGGCATTTTGTACCCTATGTGTAATATACAGGTAAGCCAAGTGCTGTGATGTTTAGTGTTCTTTAATACAAACCGTAAAATATTGCACGCTTTTCTAATATGTGCCTTAGCTGATGTGTAGACGCTTAGCCAACACTAGTGTTTACTGTATATTTTGTATGGCGGTTAACTTTACAAGTACTGTAAACGATTTTTTTTAAAAACCATAATATTGCCAAAGTATGCTTTCTAAATGTTAGGATAAAACTGGATTATGCGCTGCGATTACAAATAAACAATATTCTTTATTTCAGACCAACATTTGGTCGAGGTGCTGGGGGAGTCGGTATGAGTTTTGACGCCAGGCAGAAGATTGGGGCAAACGATGTGCGACAGCGTATGGGTGGAGTAGGTGCTGCAGGTAAAATGTCCTAATTCCAAAGCGTTTTACTGGATTTTTACTACAGTGTATTGTATGTTATATGTTTTTATTGTTTACATTTTAGGTTTTCAAGTTAAAGATGCCAGAGAAAAGCTTGGTCAGAAAGATGCTCGCTTTAAAATTCGTGGTCGAGGTGGAGCAGGAGGTGTGCAAGATGCTCGTCAAATGATTAACTCACGCAAACAGGGGCAAACACAGTATAAACCCACAACACAGGCTTTGCCATCCCAGCTGCAGAGCACAATGCCATCAGTACAGATACACCCAAACATTAGTGTTGTTGGTGCACAACATAACACAAGGCATTTTGGTGGTCAAGGGCCGAATCTTAGAGATGCTCGAGACAGACTAAGCCTGAAGAGAAGCCTTGGAGGAACACAGACACTGGCTGGGGCAGGAATACCATTAAAAATTACAAAGACCATTCAGGTGAGCATAGGTTACTTTACTTCTAGAGAAATTGCAGAAACAATAAACTTGCAGCTGTGTTTTTCTTTTAACGTAATATAATGTCTTATTTTTCCTCAGCAACGGCCAGTGGGTTTGTCAAGTGGGATACGCACATCCATGCAGGTATTGTTGCTAGATTAGTAGATTATCAGGTTGTAATAAGATTCTCATTTTAGTTATGTTTGATCAAATCACAATAAATAGAATAGATTTTAAGCATTTGAATATAGACCATCAGTTATACAGCATAACCTCTTCTGTTCTTTACCAGCCTGTCTCAAATGATCTTGATGGAACTGCTAGTAAACAAATAAAGATCACCACTTCTAATGACATTCTGCAACCCCGGGTAAATTAAATCTTTCACATTGCTTGAATTTAACTTTTTGTATTTTTAAACATTTACTTACCATCACTTTTTATTTAGGGGGGTGGAATAGGCTCCTCATTCTCCATGTCAGCTCCAATCACAAAGGTGGTTAAAAATGATGCCTACACAGCACCTCGTCCTCCGGTACCAGTGGCACCCACTCGACCAAGCACCAGCATGTCTGCACCTCGGCCCTCTGCTGCAGCCTTACAGCAGGTCTCCAGAACTCTTCAGCAAAGCACTGCTGCTTCTAATACAGCAGTGGCTCCTCCTCTGGTGATTTTTCTTTAATATAAAATCAGAGATAGGAATTTAAGTTGGTATAAAAATGACATGCCATGGTGTACTTAATACATGTTTTTGTCATTTTAGCCTACATTCAGTCCATTAGAGGGAACAAAAATTACAGTAAACAACTTACATCCTCGGGTAACTGAAGAAGACATTGTTGTAAGCAATAAGACCACTTATGTTATACTTTGGTTGATACTCTAGTTGAAGCTTTTTGATGATTTACTCTCTTTCCCTATAGGAACTCTTTTGTGTATGTGGTGCCTTAAAACGTGCACGGCTGGTGAAAGTGGGTGTGGCTGAGGTGGTATTTGTTCGCAAAGAGGATGCTGTGAGCGCATATAGAAAGTATAATAACCGCTGCCTTGATGGTGAGTCTATTTAAGAGTACTAATGCTGTCTTTGTCATTTATAAAGACTTTAATCATATTACATGTCATTAAAATGCAGGTCAGCCCATGAAATGTAATCTTCATATTCAGGGAAATGTCATCACTTCTGATCAGCCCATTTTATTGTAAGTAATATTAAATGTTTCATGATGATTTTGAGTTTGATTATTGCATGTGGCCTTGCATTACTGGGAGAGTTGCTTCCATTTTGATAGTAGTATTTATATTATGGCTAGCCATAGATATGGAGAATCCTCATGCCCACATGCCTTTCTGAATGCAGAATTTGCAATATGGTGTCTTGAGTCAACCTAAAAATATAAGCATAAACTTCTACATAATGTAAAACATTTGTTATAATAACAAAATCAACATCACAATTGTCAAAGTAAACATTAAACATACATACTTGATATATGGAAACACGGATGGGTGGGTCGTGTTTATTCGAAGTGCCTTAAATATACACTACACTACTGTCATACTGTCAGGTATGAAAACAAATGAAACAGAAACTTGGAATAAATGCCTTTTGTAGTTTTTATTAGTGAGATTTTGTTTTCTCTCTTCTGTGTAGTCTTAACTACAGTACAGTGATTTGTTTCATTTCATTTTTTCAGGAGGCTCAGTGATACACCAGGCAGTGGCAGCTCTGCAAAGAAAGATGGTCTGCCTCCCTCCTTGTCACGGCCTGCTGGTCAGCGCGCATCCACTCAGCCCACTCCAGAGGTGGACCCTCAGACAATTCTCAAAGCTTTGTTCAAGTCCACTGCTCAGTCCCCCTCTGCTCCTGAACCGCCCAGCTCACAAGCTACTGCCTTTCGCATTAAGATTTAGGTCATGTCATGTGTTTCAATATTTTACTGCATTCCCAGTGTTAAAATTAACAAAACTATATTTCACTTGGATGGGAAATACACATGGAGCTTTTTTCACCCATTTTGATAAACATGGTTTCTCACAAAATGGAGCAGTTTAGTTTTATCCCAGGACGTTGGCAAGCAATGTTTTTTTTTTTGTTTGTTTGTTTTTTTGTTGTTGTTTTTTTAAATCAGACACCGTGATCACAGTATTTTAATTCAGTAATATCCCAATTTGGATGTTTTGTTAAACCTTTTAAGTCATCAAGTTCCACCCAGTCCAGATAAGGCCTTGTGGTCAGAGGGTTAAATAACCTTAATAATGTGTAAAAAAAAACAAAAAAAAAAACAAGTTTGAACAGGTATGAAACAAGTGATTTGGGTCAACTTGGACATTAATAGTTGGCATTATGTGACATACAATTTATGAAGTATATTCTTTGTAGTGTATTTGACAATTTCAAAACATGTTGAATGGTCTACTACAACTGTGTTGCTTTTTACTTTTCTGGTATGTCAGTCTTCTAATGCGTCTAGGAAGGTTAGCTTCTGTAATGTCACCATTAAACTGTACATTTATACTCTATTAACTGCATCTTTTCATTTTGTTTGGTATAGCATACATGCAGATAACTATTCTTTGCACTGCAATAAGTATATTTTATTCAATCAATCAATCAACAACTTTATTAATCCCAAAGGGCAATTCAGTTCGCACATCTCTGGTCACGCACAATATATAAATATATAATAATTATATAATAAAAAGAAGGACAGACACCAGACGTTCAAACCACAGTGCATCAGAGACACAGTAACAAATTCACTTTCCATTTAAAATCCTTATGGCAGAGGGAATAAAAGATTTGGCGTAACTGTTAGTCTTTTGCTGTGGGGTAACATAGCGCCTCCCAGGGCATTTTCATGAACTGTGAGCGCAGGAACATGGTTAGGCTGGCTCGGTATAGCCTTGACACCCGATGTCTCCACACAGAGGCCGCCAAGTCCTCCATCTGAACACCACTGATTTTGCTGCAGACTTTTACAGTCTGGTTCAGACCGTTCTTGTCTTTCACAGATAATCCATAAAACCCAGTGTTGGGAGTAACGCATTATAAAAGTAATGTATTACAGTAATGCGTTGATTTTTGCTGTAACGCAGTAATGTAAGGCATTACAGGGGGAAAAATTTTAATATTTTACTCGGTACAAATGTGAGTAACGCGCGTTACAATGCTTTTTTAACCTGGATTGAAGTGGTGGGTTTTTCTTCATAGAAATTCGCTAAAATCATCATGAAATCAGCAGCGGTGAAACGCCGGAGACGCGGCCGGATAGACCTTCAGTTAACCGCGGGCGAAAGGACCAACCCGCTGTTTAGACCTGGTTTAGACCTGAGTCACTTCTGGTTTAGACCTGGTTTACAGTCGTCCCTCGCTCTAACGCGGTTCACTTTTCGCGGTCTCGCTGTTTCGCTGTTTGTTTGTTTTTTGTTTGTTTGTTTGTTTTGTTTTGTGCAATTTTGCTTGCCTTTTGTTTTTAGTGTATGAACACGTATTGCGTTCCTCCCGCTGCGTCCTGATCGGCTGAGGGACACCTGTCTCCTGAACAGTACAGTACAGAAGGTGTTCAGCTGCCAAATTTAAATAAATGTTCAATCTGTAGCAGTGTGATTCTGAAGTGCTGTATGTCTGCAAGTTTTCTCTCCGACAAAATCCACAACGTCGACGAAACGTTCTGCACTGACAAAGGCTCCTGCGCTCACACCCAAAAGACAGAGGATGATGCAAACCATCGCACAAAAAGTTGGACTTCTGGACACGTTGAAGGAAGGTAGAAGTTATGCGATGTAGCAGAATCTTGCACCGGGTCTTGTACCTGTAAATAGTTGCTGAAATTAGGACCGCGAGCCTGAGCAGCAGGGTCCATAAAGAACGATCGGGCGACAGCCGCTCTTACCTCCATGAGGTGCGGAGCAGAGCCGCTCCTTTCTCCTGCGGTCACCTTCGAGCCTGTCCTGACAGTGAGTCTTGTTTTAGTCCTAGTTCAGTTCTGGTTTAGTCCTCCTCTTCAGTCCTGGAATCAGTCTGAGGTTAGTCCTGTTATAGTCCTGGTTCAGCTCTGGTTTAGTCCTGGTTTAGACCTTGTTTAGTCCTGGTTCAGTCCATATACAGCTCAAAAGTTCAGCTTTTTCAGTTATTTTGGTGAGAGTAACTTAAAGTAATGCAATAGTAATATAATGCCTTACATTTTAAATGCAGTAATATTGTAATGTAACGAATTACTTTGAAATGACAGTAATAAGTAATAAATAACACATTACAGTTTTAAAGTAACTTGCCCAACAGTGATAAAACCAACAGATAAAAGAAAAGGTCAGCAAATATTGTTGCAATACCTAGCAGAAATAGCCCAGATAAATAAGAGCCACTAACATGTACACCTAATTGGTACATTTAATAACATTTCTTATAAGTAATTGATGAAGACTGAAAAATAATAAGCCACAGTAATGTGATATGTCACAGTAACAACCAATTAGTTTTATTTATCCACATGGGGAAAATGAAGGGAGTCCTGAATTTATTTGAATATTACTGGTTAAAAATATAGACAACTGAAACTGAATATAACAATACAGAATTAAGATGTCATGTACATACATATGATTCGTACAAAACACAACAACCCAAAACAGTAGTCCTGATAAAGCCTCTAGATCTGGAGATGGGTCCCAGAGTTCCTACTCTTTCATCAGGTTGCACCAAGCGGCACAAAGCGGCATAAAGCGGTATTGAAGGATGAGCCAAATAAATGCAGAGACAAATTTCCCTACGGAGACGAATTAAGTGTACCTGAACCTCAACTCAACCTAACAAAGCGATGAGGATCCATGGAAATATGAGTTATAGGTCCATACAATGTAACAATATCGTACATGCATGAAGTATAGATCTATTAAAATATCGTCCATGCCTTTATTTGTTTACTTCCGGTGTGAAAGGCTGTTTCCAATATGGCCGCCTCCAAAAAGCAACATGCCACCAACCAAGCTTGTGTTATTCCTGGAGGATATGCAGGTAATTTTGCCCTACATATTACGGAAAATGTATACGTTCTTGAAATTTTACTGTTGTTGAATGTCGCTTAAGCCTTTTCTTGGAAAAAAAAACACGATAACTTTTCGCTAATGTTCAATCTGTTCTTTGCAGTGCTGTCCTTACAGTTTGTTTCCAGCAGCGTTGCACACCACAAACTTTATGTAAAAGAGCACAAAGTCCGGGATGAAAAAAGTTCACTTAGACCATTGGACAGGACCTTGTTTGTCCTCAACGTGCCCCCATATTGTTCAGAGGTAACGTCAGGTCATACATACATACATACTCTTTACACTTCCAGAGGGCCGAGGATCTAACATTGCATTTGACTTTTCAGAATGTCATCAAAAGGATATTTTCTCAGTTTGGAAATGTAAAATCAGTGGAGTTGCGAGACCAGCCAGGTTCCTCTCAGCACCATGGACCAAAGCTTTCCAAAATTTTTAAACCAGCTGAAAAACATGTGCGTTTTTAAAAGCATGCTGTACACAATTTTGGAAAAAATAATTAATGAATGAGTCGAAACTGATCACCTTTTATACATTTCCCACAGGGATTCAAAGTAGGATACATTGTTTTTGAAAATTCATCCAGTATCAAAGCAGCTAAATCCCATCCACCCAGTGAGCCTTTGGTGGTTTCCACAGAGGAGCATCCAGTGAAAACAGGAGTTCAGAGTAACTAGAAATTTTCACGTAATTCCTGTTTAAATTGTGTTGATGTTTGCTAAATGTAACCTTTTCTATAACAGAGTGGATACAGCAGTACAAAGATTCTTTTATTCAACCGGAGAAACTTCAGAACATTGTTGACTCCTTTATGGAAGACTACGACAAGCGTAAAGAAAATGTAAGACTTTTTTTTTTTCTGTGACTCACCTTCAGTCTGTCTGGCTTTACATCTGCATGTTTTATCTGTGACAGGAAGCAGAAAAGCGAAGAAAAGAGGAGGAACAACAGCAGGAGGAGGATGAAGATGGTTGGGTCAAAGTTACCAGGGGACACAAGGGAGCCAAAGCCCGACCCCACAGTGAAATGGCTAATCAGCGCACTTTGGCAAAAGAGATGAAGAAAAAGAAGAGAAAGGAACTCATGAACTTTTACACCTGGCAACACAGAAACACACAGAAAGAGCGTAAGTACTGTTTTCTGGAAGGACATTTTAATAAATGGCTTTTTATGAGAGTGCTTTATGTTCTGTTCTTTTTCAGACATTGCTGAGCTAAGGAAAAAGTTTGAGGAGGACAAACAGAGGATAGCCTTGTTGAGGGCACAGAGAAAGTTTAAACCCTATTAAAAATTGTCCTTTTTTATGTTTGTAGTTTTAAAATGCAATGTTTACTATGTTTAAATGTCTACCATACATGCATCCTCAGTAATGTATTTAGATGTAAAAAAAAAAATAAATAAAATGTAAACCCGTAATGATTTGTTTTATTGAGATTGTTCTGTATTTCTTTGTGCATCCAGGGTCTGTGCCCGCATCTGGCACCTTCTAATGCTTCTAAATGCCATAAACATCAGTAGTAGAAGCAGAGCAGCTCCAACCCCAGCCAGAATATAAACAGTCACCTGAAACACTGACACAACATTGAATTTCAACTACTGCAGTCAACTTATGTATTAATTTAGATGGTTTTGTTTATTAAGTTAAGATAACTTGTCATACTTTTCTTAGATTTTAGAAATGGGTTGTCCTCCACATCCGTGCCATTCTGTCCTGCCAGTAAAGGTCCCAAAGAAATGAGATGGAGATGATCAGAAGTGTGTAAAGCGTCTCTTCTTTGTCTTTCACCCCCTGAAGCTGTAAGGCAAGTTTTAAGTTTAAATCTAGTCTGAAAATTGTAGGCAAAAAGGCAAATTACTGTACTTACAGGTGATTGAGCAGTACTGAGCACACTCCACATTTTCAGAACAGATTTCCACCCAACAATAAAAATACACCTAAAAAAATAAATTGTTTTAAGGAATGTGGGTATAGATCAGAACACTGAAATGACATAACATCCTTACTGGGTCTGTGCTATGATGGCCTGTGTGTGGGTCCAGAAATGCAAACGTTTTCACATCAAACCTTCTGACTTGGGAGTGAAAGGCAATCTTTCCCTTATTGTCAACAGGAATAGAACTTTGCATGTCATCCAGAGGGTTTGGACAGCTGCAGTAGAGATTGCAAAGAAAATCCTCTATATATCTAAGTGTTTCAGATATAGAAAAAAAATAAAACATACCCATCAAAGAGCAGATTCCACACGGAGTGTTTAGTCTCTGGGTAGGCAAAGCAGTCTCGTACACGGAGGGAAAGAGTTGGGTCTGGGGATGGCTCAACAAATGATATTTCTACATGAGCATTTTCACGCAATGGTAGGGATACAGGTAATTCATCTTCAGCAAAGAAGGATGTAAAAGAGGCATCTATATGAACAAGTTATATGGTTATAAAAACTACAGTAGCAAACTATAATTATTATTAAAATAATAAAGCTAACCTTTGGCAATTCTCATTTGAACTCCAATGCTTCCCAAAGCAACTGCAGGTGGTGGATTTGTCGCCAAAAATAAAGCATGCAAATTGGCAGCTTTTTTCAATTCTGAAGGCTCATACTCACATGCAACCTCAAGACTGAACAAAAAATGCATTCATTATAATTATTAGAGCACTAAGAGTATATTAAATATTGTATTTATGATGTAACATTATAGAGATGGAGGATTTACCTAAATGATGAATCTATGGCATCCACAACCTCAATTTCATAAATCACTTTGTTTCCATCTTTCTTCAAAGAGAAAAATGTGTTGGTCAGAAATATTATGATCATCACCTCATTGTTAAATATTCAAACACACAAGAGGAGGTTACCTTCATCTTGGCTCCACACTCCATTAGTCCAATTTTGAACACTGCAGTGTCTGGGGTGGTAATTACTGGAACACACTCTGGGTGATCCTTAATCATTAGGCTCCTTAAAGAAGTGGAATAATCAGTGTCTGCCGTTGTGACAGAAAACACAAATTTTCTGTCTAAAGAGCAGGCTGGAGGATAAAAGGAAATAATGAATGGTTTGTACACTTTACAGAAAGAAACAAATATGGCTTACAGTTCAGTCTGTAGAAGCACATATCATCATGATCATCATAACAACATCCAAGTTTGAAGCAGTCTTCACTTTCATGGTGACCACAGTCCATCCTCAGATTTTTGGAAGTTTTGCATTCTCTTGCTAAAGCACTTGCTAAAAACACTTTTTAAACATTTTGTAGAACACTTTTTAGTACCATGATTGACCACCAAATACTCACCTGTTTTGGACAAAATTGTCCTTTTGTCACTATATCTTTTTATCAGAGGGCAACTGATGTTCACTCTGTACCATCGTCGTTTTCCTTTCAGTTGGACACGCAAAGGAATGACAACTTTTCTGTCCTGAAGACAAAAAGTATTCAGCCTTTTTTGTTAAAGTCATTGTGCAACATCATTACCTTTACCTTATACATGGTGTAACAGCTGTCATATTTGCTCAGGAAAACTAGACCACGATTCTTGTCTGTAATCAGTTTGACTCCACAGGACTCCCCATTCTCAGAAACAAAGTTGACCACACCTGTAGGACCTGTGAGGACATTTTCAGTGAATGATAAAATTATTTCTAACCTGTAAGTTCAATAGTAATTTCACTTACCTTCGACTGTCACATTCCTATTGACATGGGGCCCAAACACAGCTATTATTCTCTCACTAGAACATGTTACTTTAGGTAAAGCTAATTTTTTCCTATCATGCATTTTACTCTTCTGAATTGAAAAACAATTGGCACCAAATGCAAAAACAAAATAAATCAAACAAAGTTCCTTAAAACAAGAAAGCATAATTTTTGACATTGGATGAGGCTTTGAAAAGCACGTCAAATCAGTCATCAGACTACACCAGACATTATGGGTCACATGACTGTCTTTAATTAGTGTCAACTACAATCACCTTGTCTCTACACTTGACTTAAGCCCATTATCAAAATGACTTAAAAACCACCAAGAAATTACCTGGTTGGTAGCCAAACCACTCTGATTTTACTTTTTATAACCTGTAAGGCCTAATAGGCCTACATTTTGAATTTGTATTCAGTATACATTACATGCAGACATTCAAATTCAGTCAATGGTATTGGTTATTGATATGACCTTTTTGTTGATTTGATGAGTTACAAATTCAATGAAATGATTTATTTCAGTTAAATGTACAATCACCAGTGAACATGGGTTGCCATAGCCTTAACCTACATTGAGGACACTTTCTTATTCTCAGTATATGGACAGGCCATACCTCCTATGAAAGCTCAGAATCTCAAGAATTCACTCATTGGCTGCAGCACCACAGTGGAAGTATAAGTTCTTATTTCTTCTCTGATTAATGATGATGAAGGTGTATTCAGATCAGAGAGTCCGTTCAAGTTTTAACCAACTAGATTTCAGCACTGAAACTGTCAATATAATGTTATTATGTGCGGCTGATTTTGCTTCCTAATTAGATAAGCTTTTTGAGAACACCAAAAAAATAAAAATAAAAAAAATAAATTATAACATAAATAGATGGGATTTCATGTCCAATGTTTTTGTAATTAAGAATTCATCTGGATTAGAATTGTCTCAGGTAAAGATATATTTGATTTAAACATGTTTACCTCATGTCTAGGCACACAGATGCGTAAAGTTTATGAAATTCAAAATCAAAATCTTACATATAGTTCCTTAAAGTTGATGGAAATGTGTGTTTATGAAAGAGATTAGGGAGCGTCACGCGCTGTCAGCTGGCGCAGTGACGTAACCCTTACGTACCGGGGTTTCCAGTGTTTGGGTCCAGTCCTGGTCCAGTCCCTGAACCGAGCAACAGATGAACCTTCAGCATGGCTTTAAATCGTAATCACTCACAGAACGGAGGTGTTTTGATTAACAATGGCGAAAGGTGCGTTGGACACATTTTCTGCTTCGTTTTATGTGTTGTTGGACACGTAGCTAACGCGTTTGTGCTTGTTGGAGTTTGTTTATCTCTGCTCTTCTAAATGCGTATGGTGTAGCTAACTGCTAGCTCTCTACTAGCTTGTCATGATTGTTTGGTCGCTAACCAGATATAAAACACAAGTCACTTGTGTATTGTTTAAAAAATGTCACACGTAGTTATGAATTGTATGAATTATCCCTTTACTTTAAAATAATTTGTTAATAATAAGCTTCTAAGATTAGTCAAGCAAAGCACTATGCTAACGTCAAGCTAACATTCTAACTTAAAAAGCAAAGAAGGAAGTTGCTATGTTGACATGTTCCCTCGCATCCTATTTCATAAACATAGATTTCTTTGCATTCCGAAACACCGACGCTTTAAATGAGTCTCAATTGTTGTTTATTACAGCATTGTCCGGGAATGTAAGAGTGTGGAGCTGTCACTCAATGATGTCAAAACCAAGGCAGATCTGTTGAAAGGCTCCAAAAAGGGCAATGTGTACCTCACTCCTTATAGGGTATGCTGTTGAGTAATTCTTGAATAACACATTGTGCTGAGAAATTACTATTACAGCTCTCATTTACACTCGTTTGTCTTTGTTTTAGTTGGTATTTGTCTCCACTAATGCAAAGGACCATGTGGTTTCGGCAATGTTCCCTTATCACCTGATGAAGGGCTGCAGCATTGAACAACCAGTCTTTGGAGCCAATTACATCAAAGGGAATGTGATGGCTGAATATGGAGGTAAGTTAGTGTCAGATGTGTTTGGTGACCTCCATCTTCTGTTGTCTATGTATTAGGGTGGCTCAGTTATGGATACAAATATAATACTTAGTCGTTTCATATTTTACTTCTCTGAAAGCTACCTTTACTTCTGTTAATCCAATAAGTATCATCATTACAATCTAAAAATCAATAATTGTCAGTTGAATCTTGCACTACTAATGTAACAACCATATAATCTCATCATCCAGGTGGCTGGGATGGCACAGCACAATTCAAAATGACTTTTATGTCTGGTGGAGCCATCGATTTTGGACAGTATCTTTTTAAATTAGCCACAAATGGTAAGTTTCTCAACAGTTATGTCAGACTGTACTTACTGCTTTCACTCTTATTTTATTTGTATTGTTTCTAGCCTCTCGTGCACCCCCAGCTCAAAATGGGGCTGCTGCATATGGCTATCCTTCACCAGTAATGATGAACTCTTACGGCCCACCCCCTCCTGCTCCAGCCTATCCTTATCCTGGCCCTCCTCAGCCCAGTGGTTACTATCAGGCTCCCCCACCTGCTGCTGGCAACATGGCGTATCCCTATCCTCCACCTGCTCCAGGTAGACACAGTGTTTAGCATTTTATGGCACATGTAGGTCTGAGCATTTTTTTATGATCACAAATTTTAAAACATTAGCATATTTATTGTTTTATGTAACAAGATGATACCCATGTTTAAACATTGTATCCTTGTCCCTGATGAACACTTCACTCACCCTGTTTGTTTGTATCAGGAATGTTCCCATCTGGATATGACTACATGGCACCACCCCCATATCCTGGACCACCACAGAACTGGACAGCACCACCAGCTACTGTTCCTCCAGGTTTTATAATGTGTTATCTTTTCTATGTCACTACACCTGTCAGATCTTATGTTTCCACCTTAATCTGAATTGTTCACAAACAGTAAAGCGCAAACAAAATAGGCTGCTGATGTGTCATACACTTTAGAGTTATAGTATCTGATGGCATCAGCAAGAAAACTCACACTTGATGATTTGAAGTTTCTCCATGCTTTCTTGGGGATAGGCCACGTGGAACTCATTTTGATGTCTCTTGTGAAGTTGAATAATAGAATGTAAATTTTTTTGTAAAATTTTCCTTTCTTATTGCTAAACAGGTTCAGCATCAACATTAAATTTTAATTAATATTATTTTCTGTGTTCTACACAGGCAATTCCAAAGCAGCTGAAGCAGCTGCTAGTGCATATTACGATCCCAGCAACCCTCACACTGTCTACATGCCCATGGTAAATGGACATGCATGTGAATTTTCTCATCAAACATTAAGTGCCACCTTTTCTAATTGAAGAATATTTTTGCAGGAGCGACCACCTCCTTATGCACCAAACTTTCCAGAAAAGAAAAACAACTGAAGGACTGCAGGAACCGGAACAGAACAGAACATTAAACATAGCATGATTTATGTGTCACAATACACAATACAGCATAATACATGTATATACTCTTAATTATATTCACTTTGATGATTGAAACTGAGGAAAGGAAATGGTGTATTTTTATGAAAGATTTTATATGATTCCATCAGAGTTCAAAGTAGAATCTAATGTGTAGGTTTTTATTATCGATATGTATTTTATCATTGCAAGTAGCATTTTGTACTGAAATTCTATTTGATAAGATGCTGAAGATTGCGGTATTATGCAAGAACAGTTTTCCAGTATTCTCCATCTTTTCTTTAAGATTATTATAAACAAATAACAGGTTAAAGAGGGTTGTAGTTGACTGTATGTGCAATATAATGATAAAGGACAAGCTGACCTAAAGTAAGTTCAAGCTGTTGCGGTGTTCAGGTATGCAACTCCAAGCTGAAACAGAACCCCTCTCTTTGTGTAAGTACACCAGTGTGGGGTTACAAGGCCATGCTGTATGTTAGTCTCATTAAAGTCTCATTACAGTGGGGAGTGCCATCACTGAACTGTGTAAATCGATTTCTACCTTTTAATCCAGAATTTATTGAAAGCACTAAACTGCAAACTTGTTCTTAGTCAGTAAATTTTACTTAAGAGTTTAACTACTAACAACATTATTTAGTTTTATTTTTGCTTCAATTTCAGTTTTGTCCATTCAAATAAACTCAACTCCCAAATACATTGAATGAGTTTTGCTCTGTTCTCTTGGCGCTGTGAAAGTGATGTACAAACATGGTTTGTCTATATTTTTTATATTTTTTAGTTAGGTACAACCTTTTTATAACTAGCTTTAGCTTTAAGATTCTGCTGGTTTTGGCAATACTAGCATGGAGATGTTTCTTTGCCTGAAATGTTCCACAGTAGGGCTTAAACATATCTCCCTTGTATTTGTCCAAGTACAGGTGTTTTATATCTTAAAATATATTAGAAATATGAACATGAACACAAGCAGATAGCAGACCCTCCACCAGAAAAGTTACATAGTGCGCCTTTAATGAATAAATGGAAAAACAACTCATCAGTAAGATAGTGACAAAGAACGCTATTGTAACATCATGGTTAAAAATGAATAATACATAGTGTTTCCCCTTTAATTAAATAATATTTCCCTGAAGTACAAAAAATATACACCACAGAAACCACAAATATATTATTTTAATATATGATTAAAATAATAACAGAGCTCTTTCATAAACACCATTAATCAAAGATAAATCAAAATGGCGTCATCATGCATTTAACACAGACCACTGTACACACAAAGGCTACACAAATGATTTTGTCAAAAAAGTATTTCACAGTTTAAAACAACACTGCCCAAATCCACTTGTTGATAAAGATTACTTACATTTTATGGCTCAGCTCCTATATATTTCCTGTGCTCTTCTCAAACTGGTTATGCAGCTACTTCACAGCAATCATTACATCTCAGCTACCCCACTTTGTAAACTTAACATCATGTGCAAAAACCCAAAAACCTTTATAAACATATAGAAACATAGATTACATACAGATAACATAGAAGAGAAAGTAGGCTACATGGATCATAGTTCAGCCTATGGGGAGTTCTGTGAAGCCACATTGAGTTGTGGATTTTATCTGAGTCCCTACGGCTCCTCTTGGAGAAACCAGACCTCATTGCGGCGTCCATAAGGCTTCAGGGGTGGGTCAAAGCTGCAGCAGAAGTATTGCTTACGTTGGAAGGGTGCTGTTTCACCCAAAGTACGTGTCAAACGCAAGGCCTCTGCCCGGTACTCAGTCTCTCCAGCAAAGCCCCCAAATTGTCTGTGAAGACATACAAATTCGGTGGATAAATTATTTTACAATTTACTGAACAACCATAATCTCAAATTAAGTGCCCTTTTCAATAAGTTAATATCATGACAGAAATAATTTAGATGGAGCACTGCAATCTATTAAAAATAAACAATTAGGAAAAAAGTGATTTTAGTAGTCTTGTTTTGTTTTAGCTGCCATAGATTTATGGATTTTGTGTTGGGACACTTTGTCAAATGTGTTTAAAAGTTTAAAGGTAACTACTTCCAGCAAGATACTGTGTTATGTCACTGAGTCCACTTAATCCCAAACACATTCAGTAAACAATGAGGTCACAGATCTCCAGTGACTTTCACAGACACAGCTTCACCATCTAAAACAGTGACTCAGTGGAATGTTGGAGGGAAATTATTTTGCATCATTGTATCAAAATGTCTTTTCAGGTACAGTTTTTACTCTGGACCCAATGAAACACATTTGTCCATGTTTTTCTTGTCCACGATCAAGACAGGCAATATTTATTTTCAGGTCCTTTAAATAAATAGAGGGGTGCTGGAAATACCTTTTACAGGTTTAATATACTAAATAGTTTTTATTTCTAGACTCTTTTGTTCAGCTCATCATGTGTTGAAATGGTCCATTGGGTCCCTCTCTCTGGTAATGTACAAGGGGTTTTTAAATAACAATTTCACAGTGAAATGGCTTTTTACATGGTAGACAAGTCATTGAAAGACCATTTTGTGACAAAAACTTACAAAGCATAAACAGTCATTCCTGGTCGCTCCTCGATGCGGATGGAGGTGTCTGTGGGAGGAGGCGGGGCCTGCTGGTACATTGTCGGGACACGAATGCCTGCCACCAAACGCCGGGATAGAACTCCATCGTTTCTTGGGTACACGGTGATGATGATAGGAGTGGCTGTACCCATGGCCTCAGCTAGAGAGGAAAATACATGTTTATATTATTATTTAAATTAATTACATTAAGGAAATTTGCTGCAAAAAAATTGTATAGTGTATGATAGTTTAATAGACTACTTATATCTTTTAAATTTTCACTTGTTATACAGATTCACTCTTATCATCTCTTGATATCATATTTATTTATTTAATGTGGTGTTTTGGTTCTCAATATGATGATCAATCAAAAGATCAAAAGATTATGATTTAGTCCCACATGAGGTTCTCATCTGGGTTGCCAGTTTCAATGCTGAAATCCAGTTTAAACCTAAAATGGTTTACTCTCTCTTATCTGAATTCTCACTAAACCCCGAGGACCAAAAGCTGATCATTAATAAGTGAATTCCATGTCCTCTATCTGCAGGTTTGGCTCTGGCAACCCAGGGTCAGTTGTTATTGTTGTACTTTAAAAAACAAAACAAAAAAATGGTAAGAGCGAAGGTTACATACATTTCTTTTAATATGAAAAATATAAACATGTATTACATGTAACCCAGTAACACTAACCCTAACCTTCACCCTTAATTGTTACAGGTACAGTAAAATTAAGTATATTTTCTTTATCTCATCTTACAGTATGAGATCATTTGTCTTACCTGGCTCATTGCTTCCACCAATGTACATGAGCAGCTTCCTCACCAGCTCTCCACTAACCTGGTCAAAGGTTCGACCCTCAGAAGACACAACTGCATATTTAGAAGCATCGTATCGTCTTGTCTCGAAGCTTACACCATCCTTGGACACAAATCGGAGTGAATACAAAGTGGATACATAGCACACACATCTTTTAATGGTTTTATTTCCTGGAGACAAAAGAAGTAGAGTCATACATGATTCACCTCTGACACATGGCTGTTGACAGCCTGCTTCAGGGGAGGAACTTCAATGTTTGTGTAGGTGGGGCACATGATTCAATGCAGAATTTACATATTCACTAAACTGATTTGGTTACATTTCTTCCTTTTTTCCACAGAGTTCAGTCAACCCACAGGGAATAATAGGTCAAGGTCTTACATAACAGAGATGCGCAACTGGCCCCCGCTCCCATATGCACAATGTTAACATGATGCAACACTTTGCATGAAACAGGGTTAATGCAGCACAGTCACTCAACTGTAATGTTTAATAATAATATGGGACCTGGGTATTTAGGGCAGACTTAATATTTTATCACTGTTTTCATGTCTCATTCTGTAGGCCAGTGAAATATATATATATATATATATATATATATATATATATATATATATATATATATATATATATATATATATATATATATATATATATATATATATATATTACATATATTTATTATATATATATATAAATATATTTTACAAGGCTATACTGTATAAAATTATATATACTGTCTATGGTTTCAACCATGTATTCAAAATCTTTACTTTTAGTTTTAAATAATAAAAAAACATAACTATATGTTATGAATATGCAGTTAAAAAAGGCCGACAACAATTTATGAACAAGATTATTAAAGTAAATGCAAAAGCTGCTATAATAGCTGTTCTTAACCTTGTCCTTTGCCTTGACATGATACACTGTTCCATCTCCCGACTCTTTTCTATAAGATAGTTGATCAGCTTGACTCTATTAAAATCATGCTTCTCAACATCTAAGTCACTGCTCTTCTCCATAATGTGACAGGTAGGCTACTATTCATGGTAATTACATAGCCTGTTGTCAGTGGGACCACCATTAGCATTGTGAACACTGGCATGGAACGAAAGCTGAGCCTGAATCTGGTTAAGAAGTGCAATTAATGTGTCTGTCATGTGTCGAGTGTGCAGTTTTGTGTGTGTTTGTGTTTGCCATCTTATACAATAATAGCAATAATTCTGCACTCAAAGGGTATTATTGGCACATCAAGAACTTTTCATACCCCCCCTTGTAGTTTCTTTCACAAGGAGCTGGAATGAGCTGTTATAACGGCATTGTTCAGCTGTGATTGTGCCTGGAATATGTGTGTGAGTGCTGTCAGACACGTGTATTCAGTGTCAGTTTTAATTAAGAGTGTTGGGTGACAGCCAGAGGGTGCTTCACAGATCAGGTGACTAGCTCTGATTTCAATACCTGGTGTTTAGACAAGTCAAGACAACAGATTTCTATTTTTGTCTTTTATTTTATGTTTTAATTTATGATGATTTTTGGTAAGGATGAGTGGAAACTCCAAACTAAAATGTGTAGAGGATGGAGGCTTTGTTATAGCTTATCTGCAAAGGGGCTCAAGTTTGCTTTATTTGTCTTTATCTGCGTTTTAAAACTCCATCTCTATTTTTCAGTTATATCAAGTTATTTTTCTGAGCCTTTTGCTTTTTATGTTGTGGGCCGTTTCAAAAATGGATTGCACTTGAAGTGTAGAGTAAATGCCCTTATCTGTTTTGGGTCCAAGTGTTAATGAGAGTCACTTAAGTAATTTGACCCTGGTCTGTGTCTGGTCAGTTTGGTTAGCCTCTCCGTCTCCCAGTTTGCCCTATTTCTCAAAGAGGCGTTAGGTTTTCAGTAGGCTAAAAGTCACCCAGCAAAACACAGGGAATGGAGGAATGGACGTAGAGAAAAGCCTGTTGGGCATTGTTTCACACATCACTTACTTTGCTGGAATTTGTCCATTGGCCAGACCCTGTGTACAAAATTATACTGAAACGTCAAAAAAAACAGAGAGCGAGCGGGGATTGGACAGAGGCGAGGAAAGGGCCCCTTTCACGTCACTGCCTGACGTGAACGGGGCCCTTTGTCACAGGGGTCAGCGGTGTATCGGAATACGCAGTCAATCCATATCTGAGCTTTCGGGGTTAACCACAAACTCGTCTCACACTCAGCCGCGTCCTCTTCCATGACTGGGTCAGTAAACACAGCACACAGCCTGTTCTTGATGTCTCAGTGGAAACAATGACTTACGACCTTGCTGACATTCACGGACAGGTGATTTAAGGTTAGCTCTCTCACTCGTGTATAATTCTTAGGCACATAAATTACTTGCATAAACTTTTACGCATCGGTATAACAAGCGGGAGGATGCAGCAAGATGCACATGGAAACAGCAGAAAGCACATAACATATTTAGTGAAGCGTAAAATATTAATGCCAAAGTGAAACCGTACAACTGTACAGTATAATTACAGTGCGTAGCGTTGCCTTTACGCGCGAACCAGACGCTAAGAAGAGTGAAACTTGTGGACATGCTTCCTTACCTTGGTCTCGCTGCTCAACAGTTTATATTCCGTCTCCTCTGTGACTCCAAAGAGCGTGTTCTTGATCATTCCAAACATTTTATTGCGGCGAAGTCACCTCTCCTCTCACCGAACGGATGGGCTGCTTTCTCCGTCTTTGCCTATATTTGATTAACCGTCCCTTCTATGAGCTCAAATTCTTAACCTCCTACTCACTCAGAAAACAGTCCAGTTAAAATTAAACAAGCTTCACAAAATGTCATTTGTCACCTATTCAGAGTCAGAAGTTTCAGGTCCTTGCTCCTCGCCTCTTCACTGGGCTTAAGGATACTCTGAACAGCCTCCTCTCCAGATGCTGATGTCTCCGCCCACTTTTCTTCCCTTGGTCCTACCCGCCTCGCACTAAGCATCAGTCGTGAGCATTTTCAACTTCATGTGGTGCATCAATGTGACAGCATAAGACAGTTTTCTATGCTTTATTAACCACAAATGAGTCAACTGAGATTAAAAAGGAACATTTCTTTATTCATACACATGCACAATTACTTCTTCAGTTACATCCATGTTCTGAAAGCACTGTTGATTTTGGTTCGTCTGTACCTGCCTCCTTCAGGACACGAATATTAAGAAAAAAATATGTACAGCGAGGTTTTGTGTAATGCCTATTTTGACACACATGCTGTGGCTTAGTCGGTATGAATTGGAGTTTGTGAGCAATGCAGTGCAGTGACTTTTTTGCTTTAGGGTTAGTCTATTAAAATTCACACTGAAGGCAATATTAAGTCACCACTGACTGGAGAGAGTACAAAAGAAGGTTAAAATAAAAGGATGGATTAAGTAAGATGAAGAGATTCAATCGGATTTAAGCAAAGTGAAATTTATAACAGCTGTGTCATGCAACATTACATTAGCATAATGCTGACATAATATAAAATTGGGTTTCATTCTGAATGTCATTTAAAAATATAATTTGTGAATGCCAACAACAGAAGGTGGTCATCTATGACAACAATCTAACTGGGTCCCATGTGAACTAATATAATAAACTACTGAAGAGATTCAGAGATGTGCAAATAAAACTATAACCACAGCCTTAAATAATACACAGCACACATTTATTTCAGTAAATGAAAATTTATATTACAATGAAAAGTCACATTAATTATCATGGTCATCTTATTCACACTGATCGATTTAACCATGTTATCATAGTTAAAGCAAAGTGCACTTTCTTTTAATGTCCACAACACAGCATTGGTATTCCACAATTTTATATCCTTTGAGGAGTTACACTGAATGAAGTAAATAGCCATTATGTAACCGTGCTTCCAAATCCGTTATGGTGAATAATGAGGTGTTCTTTCTGTATCGTCATTCCTCCCAGCCTTTTCCCCCAGGCTGTGAGGGTAAACGGAGACCCACTAGGCTTGCTGCTTGTTCTGTGCTGCGGTCTCCCTTGCCATGGTAGAGGTTGTGTAGGATCATGTGATTTCTTGTGGATGACAGCAAACAAAGGTATGTGCAAGCAGCATGGTGCGCCTCCTGTTGTGCTCTACAGTATCGTTCTCCTGTTACCTGTATCAATAAAACACAGACATTGTGTTTACACAGACAGAATCCACAACATACGGCATACAAGCCTACACAGAAGCAAGTATAACAGGTGTCCCACCAAAATGTTTAGCTTCCCCACAGCTGAGACATTCTGGTCATAAACAGTTTATATATATTACATCCATGTTCCTTTGGGTCTCTCAAGTGAACTGCAACAAACATACACTGACAAGCTCAGTCCTTTTTGCTTCAGTGACTGCCCATGCATTTAAGCCCCTGATGAGCCACACTCGCTCAAGCATTATTAACACAGGCTTTGAGCATAAGAGCTCTAATACAGATAATTTAGCTTGGTACTGCTGAATAGGTCGTGGAAATCAAGCATTTGGGAAAACTGTGATTAATATTATTATTATTAACAGCGCGGGGGCAAAGGATGTAACCTGTCACTTTTTAGGTGGATGATCCGCCATCTCCTTTTCTCTATGAAGAGGTTAATTGAATAATTGAATAAATGTAAGCTAGATGTGTTGAATACTACACTGTGGAACATTCCAGGCAAAGGAATGATATCTCCAGCCCCTGCCACCAGAAAAGTTACCTTTCAAATGTAAACTTTACTCATAACCTTGCCGCCGCCTGTCCTGCTAATGTATACAATCGTGTTATAATTTAGCTGTTTATTTCCATGTGTGATGTAATTATTAAATGCACCGCGCAGGACACACACGTACAGGATTTACTGCTCAGTACAATGAAGGGTAAACAGATAAGTCTGCTAATGTTAGCGATAGCAACCACGCATCCAAAAAGAAGTGAGAAAATGGTCTCACCTTATTTTTACGAAACTGGTCCATCACATAGTTATAAGCCAGAGATTGTCTATATTTTGACCCGTGCACAGCGCGGAGCTCTTTGAGTATCCCCCTGCAGACCCTCAAAGGCGAAGACAGCGTCGCCATCTCGAAAGACACATGAGTGTTTTCTGAGGTCGCGCAGATCGTGGATCAGATCATCAGCAGACCAGATGTAGACCATAACAATCACCGACAGCACAGTCGAGCACATGGAGAGAGCGGCCACGAGAGGGCGCCACATGCACGAGGCACACAGGGGCATCACGCGCTCTCAGGTGACCCGCAGTTACAGGTGTTTGTGCGCAGTGCACGAAATATGTTCTGCTCAAGGTAAACGAACCTTATGCATAACATTAATCTAACCTGCATTTGTACATTTAAAACAGCGAATGTTTTTGTTTCAAATAATTAAATAAATAACAGCAACAACATAAACTGACTTTAATTAGCTAGTCTGCATTAGCATCGTGGATCTATTAAAATATCGATTAGCTTTACTAGACGGTTTTGTGCGTGTATTACCTTTTATAACAGAACTTAAAATGTATAAATACCAGGAAAAGCATGTTGGCTAAAGCAGCAGTTTGTTTAACACTAAGCTTTTTGCTTTTTCAGAAGGAAGAGTCTTCTGCCTTTGTCCGTATGGAGAGAACGGGAAGGAGTAAGTTTTATTTATTACAGCCTCTTTGTTTATTCTTCCATTGTGAACCAAATCTAATGCTCACTCCTATTTAATGTTATAACATATGGTCCTAAGCAGATATCTTTGCTATAATAAAATATTTTTACATAAACTGATCTACCACAAGTTATGACACAGAGTAAGCTTCAATACATCCATCCAAACCAGTCACCCCTCTATATAGACCCTAATTGAGTGAGTGATGTAAAAACAACAACAACAAAATAATAGTAATAAAATAAGGATTGCACACAATTAAATTAATAATTAAATTAATAATACACACAACACTGAAGGGTCAGAGGTCATTGCTCTGGATTCCTCTGCATTCTCCCTGTAAATCCACTGATAAGAGCTGGTAGGTAAATTGATGATTGACTCTAGGGGGAGCCAGTTTCTTATCAGTTTCAAACACTGGTTTGGTTCCTAGACATTTGTTGGATGCACCTCTCCTCTCCTTCCTGGTCCCTCCCTCCCTCTCACACTCTTTCAATGAATACTAATGCAGTGAGTGGGCCCACCTCCCTTCCTCCCATCTTTTTTCAGGGAAGGGAGGGAGAGGGGAGACAGAGCGATTCCAGCTCAGTATCCCTCCTCATGAGGCAGCCAGCGCTTGACTATAGCAGCAGCTCCAATGCCTTTTTTTTCCTCACTGAGCAATACTGGTAATCCTGTGCGTTACCGCTGCAACAATGTCTAACCTGTGTGAGTGGCACATTTCTTCAGAGCAGAGCTGAGAGCCGAGAGGGCGCCTGTGCCTGCCTTTCTCATCTGGATGGGAAGTCTTTTTTGGGAGGAGAGACAGAAGAAAGCAGAAGGCAGTCAGGGAAGGGGACCAACTGGCAACAGCCAATCCCCCTACCCACAAAAAGACTGTAGACAACGGAGGCCACTGGAGTATTTGCTTTTATCTTTCGTTTTTTATTCTTTTTTTTCCTCATTGCGCTGCTGGGAGGTGCTTTACCTTTTCATTTGCTTGCTCTGTCGGTCCTCTGTCTTCTCATCTATTTCGCCATTTACCTGGTCAACAATTTCTTCTATTTATGAGCCTGACAAGGAGGGGAGAGACAGGCAGAGAGACAGAGACAGACGAAAAGACAAAGAGGACGGGGATTTTTTTCACCCCCGTTGTCTCCTCTTTTCTTTCCCTGTTCATTCATTCATTCCTCCCCTCCGCTCCATTGCTGTCACTCCAGCCTTTTCTCACCGTGTGCAGCCCACGCTTCCCCCCTCCGCCTCCTCACTGCTCCTCTTCCTGTGCACCCCAAACTTTGACCACTTTTTAAACCCACCTGTTTAATCATGTCCTCCCTTTAAAGCCTAAAATAGACGTATCAATTTGTGTTTTCTCTTTTTTCACTTTTGTACCCCCTTCTCTTTTTTCCTCCCATCCTATGCATCTTTTTGGGGCGATTCTTAATGCTAATCATAGGTAGGTCTACTTAGTGTTTAGTGTGTGTCTCGGCGTCTTGTTTTTTTGTGTCGTGTGGGGTCTGTGAAGCACCCACCCACTTGTGGCCTACACACTGGAGCTTGTGGAGAACCATGGCTTCCGTTCCATCCGGCGCTCAGCTTATCATTGCCTCATGCCATGTCATCGTCACGTCACTGCTCCGTTAGCGTTTGATCGTCCGCCATTTTTGTCAACAGTTTACCATCAAGCACTCCATCACACACGCGTTAAAAACTATTTTGGCCCTGTTTTACATGTAGTTTTGTTGTTGTCCACTTCCATTAAGAGGTGTCCGATTCTGAACACACACTTGCTTCCATGATACATTTACAAGTTTAAGTTTCAAGTTTTACCATGTGAAGGTCAAGCTGTGCCTAATTTCTTCTTTTCAAATCAAGTCTGTCCGTCCTATGTTCCTGTGCCCTCTTTTTTTCTCTCTCCTCTCTCTCTCTCTTTCTCTCTGCCCCCAATCTTTCTCAACAGACTGTCATTTGTGCAGACACATACTACCACTCACACAGCATGGACTAGAAACTAACCTGGAAAACTAAAATCCATGGATCTTTACTTGAACTATTTTTGACATTTTTCCATTGTTATCATGTGGCGTCAAGATGGAACCTCTTAAGTCATGTCACTTTCTCTTCCTCATCCAAATTGAGCCAGTATTCTGTTTTTCTGATAAACCATTTCACTCCACTATCATGCATCAGCTTTAATCATTACTTTACATGTCTGATTGTTTTGGGTTACATACAAGAGCGTGTTGTTTAGAATGGGTGAATAGATGTAAGAATGAAGTCTAGAGTGAAGCTGGCTGCAGAGTATAGCTCATAAGGTGATGTTGAGGGATAGAAAAAGACAACCACAAGACTCACATCCTTGTCCATTTCTTTTTTGTATATTTCCACATTTTTCCTAAAGGCGCTTTATGCCTCTCCTCCACATGAAGCAAATGAAAAGTGGGACTTTTGAGCGAGCTGCGTTAAAGACTGTCTGGATATAGCTGTCCTCTTCTGGAATTACCCTTTAAACCTGGATTTGGTCTCATTTGTAAAAAAATTAAGTGATCAAAAACTGTTCTATAAATTATTTTTCAACATTTTCTAATGGACTTGATTTCAATATTTCCTTTTCAACCATTGAATCTTAATGGGATTTTACTGACACGGATTAAAGACTCAAGCACCATCTTTGTCTATTAATTGATATTATAGTGGAGATTTCTATGGTTGCCTCCAGTGATTTTAAGTCTTTAAAAGGCTAAATGTTAACAAAATGCTAACATTTAGCAGTTAATAGGTGAGTACATGCTGTAACTGTTGCATGTTTTGGGTCATGCTGGGTGGATGCCAGATATTTATCTAAATTTGAATCCATCATTTCCCTGCATGTGTGCATGCAGCATCGTGTGTATGAGTGGTCAATCAGTCAAGTTCTCATATTGTATTTAGTCCAGATTTGAATCCTCTTTTGTCATAATGGGCATGCCAGCATCCAGATAAATGAGCATACTGTACATTTCATTTGTTTTTAGCCATAGACCATAAACCACAGCGAATCATCTACTGGGCCCAAGTCCCTGATCATACATAACAGTGTGTGTTTGCAGCAAGAAGCAGAACACTGGCAGATCAATAAAGTAATCTACATGATGAGGCCGAGTACATTGCTCATTTCTCAAAGCAATCTTTTTTTCATTTAAGTTTTTCCTTTTTGCTGGAAAACCAAGTTTCACAATATGACAGTAAACCTCATTTTAAAGCGGTGTGTGTTGAATGAGATGTTTGATTGTGCCTCTTGAAGACATGTTTCATCCATCTTGAGTGCAGCAGTGATTGACCCCTTTTCTCTGATTAACTTGGATATCATTTGTCTGACAGCGCTTGGGATTTATGTAGCATGTGTGCGAAGGTTAGTGTGTGGTACCTGCGCTGCCCACCTGGGACGTGCTCTCATAACCCGGCTCCATTAGCCCATAGTCTCACTGCTATTGGCACACACGTGACCTCTGTGGCCTCACTCCAGATGGGCACTTGAGGCTGCGCTCCTCTGTCAGAGCTGTCACAGCTGCCACAGAGCTCCATGATAGTCTCCTGATCAAAGCTCAGCACACAGCTCACTGCGTCCTTATGTGGGATGCACACCTAACAGTACGCTATAGTGTGTGAACAAAGCAATAGATATATCTATCGTTTTCTTTAGCTGATTGGGCCTGAGCTACGGATGGTGTTTGTGCCGGCAAGTACTCCTCGGTAAAAATCTCCAAAGAACTACAACAACAAAGTACAGTTGTGGGAGAATTGACTAATTATAGACAGAACTGTGCTTTTCAATCTCTGAAGCACAAAATATCAGTCTTTCTAATTGAATTAAAGCTTTATTACATTTCCAAGTCACAAATTTAGTTCTCTAAATGGTAGTTCCTGCCAAATGTCACACCCCATTAACATTTGTGCGGTTGTATAATTCTAAAAATGAAAGGCTATCTCAATCCTAAATCAATACACTTGTAAATAGCCTCCAGTAAATCACTACAGAGCTCCGGACCTCACGTGACATTTGATATAGACGCCATATTGGCAGAGAAGAAATAGTGCCAAAGAATGGCTACTGTTCAAAGGGTCCTGTTTTGGCATTTCTTGGTGATTAAATGAAATATAGATCATTGGTTTAACTTTAGTTTGTGATTTTATTTTCTACAATCAACATTTCTAGGCAGTCAAGTGTTTTGCGAAAAGCATTGGATTGTTTCTCTTCAAACTACTTTAATTAATAGACTAATTGGTAATTCACCAGCCTAATACAGTTTTTAAATTGTTATGAGACAATGGTTTAACTGTTCCCCAAATAAACCTGCCGGGATTTCATGCTGACAGCACAGGAGCTCTATTGGACGACAGGGCTCACAAATCTACTTTTAAGATGTTTTGATAAGATGGTGCTGAAGATCAGGAAGCAGAGCCCCTGTCTCAAAGTATCAGTGTTGTAATGCTCAACAGTGTGTTTGTGAA